TTTATACAAAAAATTTCAATACTTTACAAAATTCTTTATTTAAGCTATATTCTATTACTCCATTCATGTCTCATGAAGAATTTGTACTTACAATGCATATAATTAATCAAAATAAAGTTGATTCGATCAAAGATTATATTGATTATTTCAACAAAGTTTGGTTGCCGCACTACAATTTAATATCTCAATATAATAATGCAACTGCAATATTCACTAATGATTGCCTCGAGAGTATGCATTCAGAATTTTCTTCGTTAAAACATCCAAACATTTATGAAGCTATTAAGAAGATATCTCAAATCCAATTAGATAAATATAACGCCATCAAAAATAACCAGAAGATCGAGCGCCATATAAAAACCGTTATCACTGATAGCTACAAAAATTATATTCTTGACTGCTTTCAAAAAGAACTTGAGAAAACAATTTTTTCTATCAAACAATACAACGTATGTGATCTTTCTTTGGCTCAGAACGAGATTTCTCCATATGGTTCCATAGAATCGAGTTCATTGTTCGAAAATATTCCAGTTCATGATGCAGATATACTCAAATCGATCGATCTAACAGATAAAGATACAATGATCACTAAGTTTATTAATGAAAAAAGAGAAAAAATTATGGCATTATTTAATGAAACATTAAATCATCCAGATTTTAATTCATACACTCCAATTCAAACTAATTTTGAGCAAGCCGATACAAATCAAGGTTCAGATGCCCCAATTCGCTCCGAAAATTCAAATATTGCAGACTCTACAGATTTAGAACCAGAAAATCAAAACCATCCTTCTACAAATCAAATGTCTAGTAATCTAGAACATAAGCTGGACCTTCTTGATCATATTGAAAAACAATTATCGAAAATGCGCTCGTTATTGGGAATTCTTCCTACTACAAATGCTATTGTTGGGCCGTCAAAACAAGTTTCAGTTAATAGCAAGCAAAATTCTGAAAAAAATAAGAAAAAATCTTCCATAACAACAAAATCAAACAATAAAAAACAAAATTCATCCGACAATCCTCCTAAACGTAAAGCTCCTATTTCGGAAAGGATTCTCAGCGATAATAACTTATATTTTCAAGTTCATCGAAAGAGATCGAAAAGCAAACGTTCCACATCTACAGAGAAAAAGAATTGATATATGAAGTCTAATTCCTTTTATAACTACTATATTTTTATTCTTATGACTAAAAAATAATATATTATTTAAGGGTGCACCCGTATGTACGTTTATTTGAGAGGAGGAGGATTACCCTCTCAATTTTGAGGGATTCGTTAGTTTATTTTCTCGATGAATATGCAATAAAATTTGATTTTTACCTTATCAATATACTTCATATAATATACACATGTTCATGTAAAAACTTTTTTCCCAAAATCCTCAGGAATTAAGGGATTTTTGAATTTTAAGAATTTTTTTCGAATTTTTTCGAAAAAAAATATTTTCAGAACAGCCTTAACGGCTAAGATTTAGGAACAATGTTAAGTATCAAAAAGAAAGGAGGTCTGATATAGACAACATATATCGTTGAAGGTTGAAAAAATCTCTAATATTTGAGCCCAAAATTTCAAATTTTAATTTTTTGAAAAAAGAGGCCACCCGTATGTACGTTTATTTGAGAGGAGGAGGATTATATTTTTGAAAGGGTGAAACATTATGAATATGTTAATTATATAATAATATGTATTATTATAAAAAAGAAAAAATAAAGCACGTTAAAATTTTTCTTTCTTGATTTTTTACAAAATCTACTTAGAATTATGCAAAATATGACTAAATAATTATAAATTTCAAGTTAAATTTTAATTTTGATAAATAATTTAAATTTCAAAATATCAAGTTCAGTTCGACTATGTATGTAGTAATTCCTCAATAAAGTGCCAAAACCCTATTAAAATATATGAACATTTTCAACATTTTAATGTTTTTATTTAAAAATTTGATGGAATATGAGCTTCAAACAATTATTATGTAAATAAAAATAATTAAATATATGTATTTATTCGTATTACAACCGTAGTAAGTCGATTCTTCCTTTCTTCTACTGAGTTTTGAATTTGATTTCGAATTGTAAAGAGATTCAAAGGGAAAATACTAGCGGATAAAAACTACCTCCATGAAAGGGTCATAATGGAGTCAAGTTGTATTTTTTGATATTTTTTGCTTTTCGAGCCTAAATAGGTAGCCAAGATAATGCCTAAAAATAAGGTTCTAAATTCTGAAGTTTACATGATCCTCTCGTGTGCACCCTTAAGGGAGGCTTCCGACCAGAAAAACCTCTCAATTTTTTGTGATGTTTACACCAAAAGTGAGATTCGTTAAGCGTTTTTCTCGTTGAATATTGAGTTTCCCGGATTTTAAGTTATTCATAAAGCTTCTCTATATTATACCCTATCTACTGATATGATTATTTTTGAAAAATCTCTTAAATCGACCTGCACTGAATTTTTTAGGGAAAATTCGAAATTTTAGAGGCATTTTCTGTAACGTTTTTTTACGGAATAAAATCCGAAAAATAATTTTTGAAGAATCATTTAGGTAGAATACTTATCGAAAATTATATTTATTATAATTTTGGTCGATAAAAATAAGCGGATTCAAAACTGGCAAAAACCCTTTCGAAGTGGGGGACAAACTCGCCCATTGTCACTTTTTCATTAACCTTAAACTTGTAATTTTCATTATTTTTAATTAACCTTATTTCTTTCCCAATTCCTGATTTATTTTATTCACTTACTATTAAAAGTCACATTTTAATAAAATATAATAATTTATTTATCGCATTTTTTACTATACTGTAATAAAAAATTAATTATAATAAATTAAATGTTTATTAAATCAAATGTTTTCTTTGCAATAATATTTTTAATGTTGAGTAAACAATGTTGGGATCAAGTGTATCATTTTTCAGACCTTTCTGAACAGCTTCAAGCATACTGATGCATTCGACTTTTTTAAATTGTGTCATTTCTTCGAAATCTCTTGTGACCTTTTTGATAACTTTAACACTTCTCTCTGAATCCAGACCTTTAATTTGCAACTTAATCAGGAATGAAGGAACAACACTGGAATATAACTCGATGACAAGTTCATCGAGTCGAAGATTTGGTTGTACACCACTTGTATGTGCCGGATACCATTGTGTCAAATTTTTTCTGAAATTAACTTTAAAAGTACTAAGTAAGATCATGAGATATAGCAATATATGTTTAAACTAACTTATATTTTGGTTGTACACCACTTGTATGTGCCGGATACCATTGTGTCAAATTTTTTCTGAAATTAACTTTAAAAGTACTAAGTAAGATCATGAGATATAGCAATATATGTTTAAACTAACTTATATTTTGGTTGTACACCACTTGTATGTGCCGGATACCATTGTGTCAAATTTTTTCTGAAATTAACTTTAAAAGTACTAAGTAAGATCATTTATTTTTGCATAATATAATGCCAATATGGTTTCTTTTGATTTTATTTCATTTATAAGCAAATCAGATTTACCCAAAAACTCCACTCCATAAGCGTTCATTTGCTAAATTAAAAAGTGACAATGGGCTAGTCTGTCCTTTCTCAACCCTTTCGGCAATTTGTGGACGATTCCGAACCCCCTCATTTTTGAAATTTAATAAGAAAAATAGAATCTTTATTAAATATAGATTTTAAAAAACTTGGTTATAAATTACGAAATTTTCTCACTTGGGCTAAAAAGTGACAATTTGGTCGGAAGACACCCTTAACAATTTTCATTTTTTTCTTTTAACAATTTCGTTTTATTTCCATTTATTGTTAAATGATTTTTAGCATACACCTTTCTTTGTTCATCTTCTAAATACAATTTATTTTTTCTTAGATATAATTCTATTCATTCAATTCGATCGTCATTTTTCAGTACATGATCGTAATTTTCAATTATTGATCGCGATTTTACTTCAGAATTTGTTCGCAATATTGCTTATCAAAATTATATCTCTATTCTCTCATTTCTGTTTAGTCAATATCATTACACTCCTATTGTCTAATAACATGCTATTAATTTTCTTAAAATTAAAAAAAAAATATCAACTTTTAAAAACAGAAACTTAACATCCTTAGGTCAATGGATTTTGATGTGAGATACATTTAATCTGTTTTTCTTTTTTTATTTTAAATAATTGAATATTTATAGTTGTTATGGGTCTTACATCATGTAAAACGAATTTTCTTAAAGTAAATTTACTTTTTCTTCAATCTTTCTTACATATTTATTAAAAAAAAATTATCCAAAAAAAGATGTTTTAGAATGAAAAAAATAGAAAAATCTTCATTTATAGTCTTTCTTGAATGTATACGTTTTGATTTTTTTCTTTTTTAAAAAATTCAATTTCTAGAAAAATCGAGAAAAAATCATTTTCTTCTATTTTTTAGGACGCCATACCCATTGAAATCTCCTCTCAGGACGCCATAAACTATTCAATTATAGTGTAAACTTCTCAAAAATTGAATAGTTTACATCAGGACGCCTTAGGACGCCAACCCTTTACGCGCCCAATGTTCTTATTTCATCAAAAAATGCCATCGATTAAACTATACTTGGATAGGTTAAGCTAAATAGAAACATATGAGAATCCATCGTTAAATTTTCAATTTTTTTTTTGCTACAACGAATTCTTATATAAATAATATATCCATATGAGTGACACAAATATATTTCATTTCTATGGTTCTAACTCTTAAATAATATAAAAAAATTCATAATTCCATCAATCAATGTTATCTTTAATGATATTATATGCTATTTCGATATTATATATACATTTCTCACAGCATCATATTGTAACTATCCACTAATCTTCAACAATTGATTTTTGTGAAAAAATTTGTTGCAATCTCAAAAACGTTTTAAATATTCATCAGAGAATTATAGGAACGCACAACCATACCAAGTATATCATTATTATAATCTCAAACTTATCAAAAATAAAAGTTTTGAAAACTATAATTTTTATAATTTTTTTACAATTCTTTCATGAGATTTTCATCCATCGTTTTTTCGTCTTCAATCTCTGATTTTTCTTCCATTTTTTCATTTTCAATCTTCTTTGCCATTTGGTCAATTTGGTCTCTAATTTGGTCGTAGTTATTACCAAGACCAAGAAGACGTCCAAAAGCAACGTAATTTTGTTCAACTAACTGTGTATACTTCTCATTTCTTAAATATCTTGCTTGATATTCTGAATCAGTCATGTATTGGAGCTCTTCTTCGATCTTGAGTATCTTTTTATCCAATCTTACCCTTGCTGTTCCATTATTATTGATCAATCTGAGTAATGAAAAGATTGATCCGCTTCCAGCGTAAGGAACAGGTTTCTTATGCATTCCCTTTGGATACAAATAGATTTGCGGTGATTCATAGATCGGAGGGAAACCTGTTGGGCAGGAATTCTTGTCAATTGTGATAAATGCAACTCGAATTCCTTGTAATTCATAAGAATTCACGTAATCGGCAAACTTTTTGATAGAATCAAGCAATTTAGTGTTATAAGAGTGTACGTAATATACGATATCGTCATTTCTGTCATCATCTAAATATTTTTCGTAATTTTCGCCGACTAATTTAGTAACAATTCCGTATTTGTTATCAGAAGGTTTTTCTGATTGGTAAATTATTTGAATTTTGCCTTTTAATACCTGTTCGACGTAATTTTCTATTCTTTGCTGATTAAATTTTCCTGTTAAAGGTTTGTACATGAAATTGGAGGAGAAGTTGAAAGCTGCGAATCCTGGCTCATCAATATTGACTATTTTCATGAATTCTTGTGCTTTTTCGATAAATTCTGGCTGAAGATATCCAAAATAATGATCTTTGTGTTTTCTTGCGATAGCAGATATATCAACATATTCTTCTGGTTCGCTTGTCCAGAAGAAAGTAAGCTTTTCACGCTTGTTTAGTTGATCTAATCCGATATCATAAGAAACGAACTCTTGTAAGCCTTCTCTGAAGGATTCTTCGTCATGGAATAGTGTATAATACTCATCACTAAGTCGGTAGACTGCCATCTTCGCTTTAGGAAATTCAATTTGTTCAAATAATTTTTGAGATGCGACACAAAAGCCAAATGGACCGTGTGAGAAGCTGAACGCCATATAATGTCTGTATGCATCTTCGATTTTGTCGCTTGTCGTAAGAATTGTGTATGGGAATATGTGATAAAAACCTAAAAATTCAGAAAGTCCATTTGCTGTATGGAATTCTTTATTAATTGTTGTTCTCACGACATGACTAATTATATCATAGCTTGGAAAAATTGGAGTAGCCATGAGTGGCTTTCCTCCTTTGAAGAAAGCTAATGTCGACCAAGATAAACTGTAAGAGTGGTATGTATGTGGTGCTGTTTTGTTTGTTATAACTAGAACAGTTTCATTTTCTTGAGTTTCTGAGACTTTAGTGATAATCTCTGTGAAATTTTTATAATCTGGTTGATTTTCGCCTTCAAGGAATAACACAATCAAAGTAACATTAGATTTATAAATATTTTCAAATCCTTCATCATTCGGGATTAAATATGCAGCTCTAGAGGCTACGAGGAAGAGTAAAAAGGAAAATATCATTGATTTTGTCAATTTTTTTCACAAAATTTTGATAACCTCACTTTCTTAATCGAATATTTTTGCTGCTTCTAGAAATAGAAAATTTACCTGAATACTCAGTATCGGAAAATAAAACGGTACCTTTTTATTTCGAAATTTCTCCCTAATTTACCAAAAAAATTAAAAAAATGGGAAGAAAATCAAGAAAGAAACAAAAGGAAGAAAGCGAAAGTGAAGATTCATTTACTGACTCAGAGGAAGAAGTTAAACCCAAGAAAACACGCGGAAGACCAAAGAAAAATCAGAAAAACAAAGATTCTGAAGATGTTGAACCAGAACCAGAAGATATTGATGATTGGACCCAATTACCTATAGAAAGTTTGCGAGAAGAACTCAAGAAAAGGAATTATTATCCTCCAATGGTTGAATTCTTTGATAGGCATCAATTAATTATGATATTAAATGAAAAACCTTCAGACTCATTTCAATTGCCTTCAGAAACAAGATCTTTCAATGTGATGATGCAACACGGAATTTTAAGCAAACTTAATACTCAATTATTAAATCATTCATTAACCCAATCTCAAATATCAACATTACCAGAGGATACAAAGAACCAGATCAATTTAGCTTATAATTCCGGAATTACAACTGATGAAATAATTTCAAAGTATATTAAACCTGTTCTGAAGAAATGAAATGATACATATTCTATTTTGTTCAATATCCTTTTGTTTTTTAGAGTTAAAAATGCTTTTAATTAATTTTCCATGAAATATAAGTTACAATTATGTTCTTAGACCTTAAATTTAATAGCAAAAGATACCAGAATTCAATCAATTTAAGCACAAAAATCTTCAAATATAAAAATTTCGGAAATTTCTCTTTACAGCAATGCTTTTTATAGTAATATGCAGATGTTGAGTGATTCAGTGCAATTACCATATTACATTCTTGGTCTGAAACATACTTTTTTCATTTATTTTTTTTTGCGTTCCAAATGTTATTATTTTTTCAATGTGAAAGCATATTAAATGATAATAATGCAATCTTAAAACGTGCTTATAGAGAGAAAGCCATCGAGTTTTATGCAAGTGGGGTTTCATCGCAAAGAATTAATGGCACAATCCAGCCAACAAAACCAGAATATGCTTTTGACCAGATAGATAAGAGATATGATTGGTGTTCTAATTGCGGAAAACACCAAAAGGACTTCCCTTGGATAATTTTCTCAATCAAAAATCATATTATGAATTTAGAAGGTTATTTCCTCAAGGCAGGATGCTGTTATGATGGGTGTTGCTGTTATGATGAATCAAAGCGCTGTTGCGAGTGCTGTCTTTTTAGCTGGTCCTTCCAAATTTCAAATGATAATATCACATGGAAAACAATTCACAAAGTTGAACGCGATTACGAACTACATCATTGTAGAGAGAAAACATTCAAATTTACAGAAGTCCATAAGGCCAAATTTGCAAGATTAATTCAAGATGAAACCTGCTATGGAGATCCTCCATGCATAGCACTAAACAAAATAGAACTGATCGGAAATTACGAAGGTGGCATGCCAATAGTTAATGATCCAGGAGAAATAGAAAATGATGAGGATGATGTAAGCATAATTGGTCATATATCAAAGAATTCTATGCATTAAGTCTTTGTCTACTAATAATTACCTTTAAAAACTATCATTATTTGTTTTTCAATTTTTCATTGCTTTTATATTTAAATCGAGTTTTGTTCAATAATAACAAATATTTTCAGCCTTCTCATTCCCAATGCTTTCTTAATTTCTTGAAACCTCATAAAATATAAAACAATAAAAATGTTTGTCATTAAATTGATCATAAAATTTTAATGTCCTGCTTCCTTACTGCTGTAATACATATAGGACGAATTGATTTCAATTCTTATGGGGTTTAATCTCCGAAATAAATCAGATTTATTAATAAATTGTTTTTAAATTCAGCTCAGTAGTTGATTTAAAATGATTTGAGGTTTTATTTCAAAACAGTTAACTTGAAATAAAAAGAATGTCAATTTTTCCAGTGTCACACGAGTTTACAATAATTTCATGAACAAAACATTGATATCGCGATAATTTGGAAGAGAATAGTTGTTAACAATTAAAAAAAGTTATGAAAATTATAACTCGTAGCTGTCAAATCATTAAAAATGATTTCTACATTTTGTAACAGGATAGTTTCCTAATTCCAAAGTGATATTTTTTTTTAAAAAATCTTAATTCAATATGATTTGAAGTTTGAACTTATGGAAAGTAATCGTTAACCATCAATAAACAATATTTCTCCTATCGGGAATTCCTTATATCGTTATATTGAATATTTCAATTCAATTTAATAAGTCCTACGATAATGCTTTTGAATTTTCTCAATGTTTTATTATTTCAATTCCCGGTAAAGTGTCAAATTAATATTTCATGACTGATTATCCCGAGTACAGCACATTTTGGGAAGGTCAAACAGCCAATGTTGATACAAATAGTTCTCATGGTCGTTCACCATACTATGAGAACACTACATGGGGGAATGGATATCTTTACGGGTGCACATTTGAAAATCTGCAAAATTGTTTCGTACCGAAATGGCTCACAAAAAAAGTGACAGAAAACCTTAAATTGCGCGGCAATTTTAATTAAAAAAATAAACATTAATTTTTGTGATTGATATTATGCATTTTATTTATATTATATAAGATTTAAATTTAGGGGAAAAATTGGAAAAAAAATAAGATTGGAAGTCTTTAGGTAAGAAGGAAAGGGCAAGAGATATATAGTGTACCTATATACCTCTTGCCCTTTCATTCTAAGTAGAAATGGGAGAAACTTTGTCCGCATCATAAGTTATGCGGACAAAGTTTCTCCGATTTCTAATGGGAATTGCAGGCTATGAGGCACTATATAATCAGTACCTCATAGCCTACAATTCCCCTTATTAGACTTCCAAACTTTGAGTTAATGTCTTGACATTAACTCAAAGTTTGGAAAACTTCTCGTAAGAATCAATCGTCAAAAACCTCGATTGCAGTTATATTCATTGTGTTAAATTTGATTTATTTTGAAATTTTTATAAATTAAATTTTATATAACATAAAGCGTTATGAATTAGTATTTCCATATGAATTTTATCTCGAAAATAGTAATTCTGTACAGTTATATTTCGGTTAATTTTGGAAATTTCTAGGAATACTTTAAGATAGTATGATTATATATAACTCTGCCTTCATGATTTATTTTAGCTTTCGCACAAAGCCAATCAATATCAATCTCTTCTGGAGAATGTCTTCTCATCTAGAATATTTTCAATACTTTACATACAAACATTTTTATTTCTAAAAAACTTTTTAATTTTTTCTAGGATATATGAATGAAAATAGTTAGAACAAGATTTTGAAGCTCAAAACATTAAAAATTATTAAAGATTTGTATAATATGATTAAAAATGGGAAATAATATGAGGCAATATAAAGGAATATGAATATTAAATAAATATATCTAAATAGAAAGAATCAGAAAAATCAAATTATTGGCGCCAAAAATGTCACTTTTTTGTGAGCCATTTCGGTATGAGATATGCCGATTTGCTAATGTTTATTCAGATTCTTATGGTGGTGCAATTTATTGCGAGAACTCCAATCTTTATGTCGACAAAAGTGTTGCAGACACATGCTACTCTACATGCGAGAACAGTGGTTACAATAATTTGAATAAGCAAGATATCAACAAAGGCCAGTTTATTCATGCAGAGAAAGGTGGCCGATGCATTTTAAATCGAACCACCATTACGAACTGTGCTCCCAATGACAAATTAGGATATTTTCCACAACGACCTTTACATTTCCAAGTTGTTCATTCTTTGAAACTTAATACTATCAATCTTTCAGGCAACCATTTGACATGGGGCTCAGGCTTTGCCTTAGAGGGCACACTCGAGAGTGCACGATACATCAATATTGACTCATCCAGTTCAAACATGGTTGCAATTGAACTTGTCAACGCCCCACAAACGACACTTGAATACGTATATCTCTCTAACATTGACCAACAATGTTCAGCTAACGCATGCAATTTAGGCTTACTTTATTTCACTAATTCTCAAGCCAGATTTAATAACGTATTTATTACCAATCTTCCTCAAAACTATCTAATCTACAAGCCAAACGATCAATCCTCATCATGCACATTTAATAACTACAAACTCTATGAAGGTGCTAAGATAGATGGAATTACACTTGAAACAGAGGCAGCAAGTATTGAACAAAATTCAAGAAATTACATCACTGAAGAAGAAAGACTCCGCTTACTCGGATTACTAGAACCATCTACCTCCACATCCACATCTACATCCTCAGAAGAAACCACTTCATCTTCAACAACAACATCCTCTGAAGAAATCACATCATCATCAACAACAACATCCTCTGAAGAAACAACTTCATCATCAACAACAACATCATCTGAAGAAACTTCATCATCTTCAACAACCTCTTCCGAAGAAACAACTTCATCATCTTCAACAACCTCTTCCGAAGAAACAACTTCATCATCTTCAACATCTTCTGAAATAAATCCAGATCCAAATATTCCAACACCTTTACCTGAAAAACCATCCGAGCAAACACCATCACAAACGCAAATTGCTACCAAAGGACCAGATTCAAATACAGATCCAAAGAATAATCAGAACGAGAAAATATCTGGTCTTCCAAAGAACACATTTATTGCAGTAATTGTTTCTGTAATCGTTGCGGTTATTATCATAATCGCTATAGTAGTTTTCCTTATAGTCCGAAGAGCTAAGAATAAACCGCATGATGTCACTAGCAGCGATTCTCCATCTCTCGAAGATGAAGATTTCAATGCACCTACACCTGAAGCGGAAATCGACGGACTTGTAATTAATTTGTAATTTTAATAACTGTAAACCATTCTTCCAACAAATTTATTTTTTGTTATTTGAGTTCTACTTACAGTAGCATAAATTAGGACAAATGTGCGCATAATTCAATAAATTAAAATATATCTGAAATATTTTCTTTATATATCTTTTCCAAAGATATCAATTATGCATGGTTCTAACATTGCTACTTCTTACATGGATGTATGTCAAATTTTATTAAAAAATTTAAGTTTAATCGTTTCAGCATGTTATGAAGACTAGAATGTAAATATCTTTTGCTTATCTCCCCACCATTTTCATCAACTTGATAAACAAAAGTCAAATATTATTCTATATTCTTTTGCGATTTTGAGCGTAATCGATTCATTGATTCAAATTCAAAAAACCTAAGCGTTACATTATTAAGATATTCAACCATGAGTACAAGATGAAAATAAAAATTATCATGGAAATGATGATTAATCGAATTCAAAAAATTCAATGAGATGCTTCAATAAAAAAGACCTTACACTAACCTTATATGTAAAAACAATTAACTTTCATGATATATAAACGAACAACGAGTAGTAAACAAATTCCGTTTAAAAAAACAAAGAATCTTAATATAATTACGAACAAATCGAGGAATATCTAATACGCTATGATTTGTTACAAAATACAAAAATATAACTGAGTAGGTTAACTCACAGAGAGTAGATTTTTGGCCTTCTCCTAGCAGATTTTCGAACTTCTGCAGGTGGTTGAACAATAGAATGCTTTGGGAATTGACCGCATGAATTTTCTACACGTAAAAGTCTTGGAGATCTTCTAACCTTTGTACTGAAGAATGGTGATTCTAGTAATTTACTTGCAGATGGCCTTTTTACTGGATCTAGCTGAAGGCATTGCTGGATAATACTCTTAACAGGGAGCGATACAGTACTTGGAATTGTGTAATTTACAGTTGTGATACTTCTCATAATTTGAACGATATTCTTTCCTTTCCATGGGATAGAACCTGTAGCAAGATAATAACATATGACTCCACAAGACCAAATATCAGCTGACTTAGAATCGTAGTTCAGGTGATTGATACATTCTGGAGATGCGAACGCAACTGAACCACAGAACGTTGCTCTCATTTGGGAGTTGTTGTCTGTGGATAGACCAAAATCAATTAATTTTATGGTATTTGCATTAGATATTATGATATTATCTGTCTTCAAATCTCGATGACTAATTCCTTTGTAGTGAATGTACTGGATAGCTGATAGTAACTGCTGCATAATAGATAAGATAGCGCTATCGGTTAAGATTTTACCGCTTTCCATGTAATGTGTAAGAGTTTCTCCACAGCATAATTCTTCAACAAGGTAAAAGTTATCTACATCTTCTAGGAAATCAATGAATTTTACTATGTTTGGGTGATTCAATGTTGGGAGGACTTTGCTTTCGATATCCAGGAAACAATTTTCTGATCGGGATTTTTTGATAAGCTTTATACAGCAATTATCGTTGGTATCATTGTTTTTAGCACAGTAAACTGTACTTGATGCACCTTCACCAATTGGACATAATAGTTGATAGCTTCCAATTTCTCCCATAACCAACAAAATGCCAAATTTTGAGATCTTTATTCGGTTTCCCAGAAAAAAATAAACGAAATGTGAGAAGGATTTAATGTGAGAAATCAATGGTGATTGTTTTCTATAGAATTTAAATGTCTAATAATCCAAAAATGGATGAATAACATTGAATAAATTCAATGTCAATAAATTACGGTTAAAAATCATTTGTTAATTTTGCAATTTAATATTTCATATTAGTTATCATTCTATATTTGCATTTTTATTAATTTTCAAAAGATAAAATTAATTGTGAGTAATTTGTTCCAATATAAAATAAAATTTTGGCCAATTTTTAACAGATCATATCAGAATTAATACCAAATAATTATTATGAAAATTTAATTTGACAATGTCCATATTTTTTGAGAGTGAATCTTGCGGTTGATTTTATTATGCGAAAATGCATAAATGTTAAAGCCGATAAATGTACATCTATTTCTTTACACTTGAAAATACATTTTGCTGATAAATTCAAAAGTTCATTGATTGTTACGGTTTTACTTGTTATTGAGAAATGATATAATTGTTACTATATTCAGTTGTATGAATTGATTTTTAGAACTGATTTACTCTTATTTCAACCATGTTTTGATTCAAGATTACCTCAGATAATAGAGTTGTTAATAGACAAACAAAAATTTTGCAAAAGGGAAAGAAAGATATTTATAACAACGAAGTAAAAAACAAAATAGACAATTTTTGGAAATTTGATTAGACCAACATTTAGAAAGGACTGCCTAATACATCATCAATCATAAGTGTTGAGTCACCAACTTCATTATCTATAATTGGAATTGCTAAATAGTAAACAAGAAAACTCATCACAAGAGGTTCAAAGAAAATATAGCCTAATTTGTAAATAAAGTCAATATATTGCTCCAAAGTTGAATCTCGATAACTCAGATGAGCTAAATGATAAAGTGAATATCCCCATTCGAATCCAAGTGAATCAAACACTATGCTAAGCGAATAAATGAACAATATTATTGATATAGCGTTTCTGGTTTCACTAGAAAACAAGTTGTAGGAAATTTTCGAAAAGATAAATGTAGCTGTAAGGATAAATATTGAAAGACAATGCAAAATGTAATAAAAGTAATTAACCACAGATGGTAACGTTACAAATGCTATCTGAAATATCTTTTTTGAGTCGCTAACGTTTGATATTAGAAGACTAATTTTAAGTAAGTATGTAAGAGTGAAGTAAATTTTGAAACCAATGCAAATATATTTGAAAATGAAGGAATAGGAGATATCAAGATTTACTAAAATAGTTCCAATTTCTGAAATGTAAGAAGACATTGCAATATAGTACACATCGATATTGGCAATATACAACCTGAAAGTTAGTGTGGATTTTACTTTGTAGATTGAGCTGCTAACCAAAAATTGAGTAATATTTGCGAGAGTGACGTAGATAATTATGCATATTGTAAAATGCAACTCTGGACGCTGTCGAAATTTGAAAACATTTGGATTTCTTCGAATGTAAAGAATAATCATGAAAATGTAAAGAGAAATAAAAATATTTACATAAGAATGAAAACTGTATAAGATATAAATGATATTCTTTGTTGATAATAGTCATGTCTGCATGTTATTAGTGAGCAGTCATGGAGTGATGTCGATGGAAGTTTTGCAACATCAATGAGATTGCGTCTGAATGTGTTGTTAGTGCTGTCAACAAGAACACCGCAGCGGAGGTTGTCGCAGCCTGAGAATGCTGATCGGCTGACGACTTTGACACAAAGAGGGATGTTGATAGAACGTAGGTTAGTGCAGTTAGAGAATGCATATGGACCGATGGTCTCGATGCTGTTGTCTGGGATTGTGACACTAAGCAAGTTCTTGCATCCAATGAATGCACTGGAAGAAACACTACGAACGTTCTGTGAGAAGCTGAAGTACTTGATAGGTGACGCAGGAGGGAAGCAGATGAGCGTGCTACGACCTTTGTTGAAAAGAGCACCGTTGTCGACTTCGAAGAAGTTGCTGCTGCTGCTACAAAAAATCTCGCGAAGTGATGTGCAACCGTCGAAGACGAGAGTGCCGATGCGCTCAAGAACACTACATTCACTGATAGTGAATGTAGTAAGAGATGAACAACTGCTGAATGCGTAGTCTGAGATGTTAACAACAGTGCAGCCAACTTCGAAAGAGATGAGGCTTGTGCCTTCGAAGCTGTTATCACCAATGGCAACAATGTTAGGTGGAAGTGTGATGCGACTAAGATTGTGACTGTGGCTGAAGCTGTATGCGTCGATAAAACTCTTAGTGCTAGAAGTTGAGAATGTGACTTCTTCGACACCGGAGAGAGAGAAACAGTATATGCCGATGTAGCTAAGACTTGATGGGAAACTGATTGACTTGAGACTAAAACAGTTGCTGAATAACTGCATCTCGATCTTTCGAAGTCCTTCACCAAGATTAACATCTCGAAGATTGATGCAGTTGAGGAATGAACACGCCCAGATGTCGTATGTACTGCCACCGCCAATGATCATTCGTTCAAGAGATCTGCAACCATCAAAACAGTGCTGACCAAGACTTGTGAGTTTGCTCCCAAATGAGATGGATGTTAATGATGAACATCCTGAGAACGCATACTCACCAACACTGACAACTGATGTTGGAATGCTAATTGAATTCAAATTAATATCATCTCTGAATGCGGAAGATCCAATGCTTGTCAGATTATCACTTGATTCAAATTCGATACGAGTAAGGACCGTAATAGACTTGAATGCTTCATTGCTGATAGTCTTCACTGTCGATGGAATTAGATAATAATCACTCTTGTTAAGACACATATTCAAGATAGATTTATCAAGATTGTAGAACATCAATTGGTCATCAATACTAACTTGTGCACCTTCGGTAACATTGATAACAGGACTACTAGTTACCCACCCTCCTCCAATATTCTTTATTGTTGATGGTAAAACTACACTCTTCAAATTATTGCATGATCCAAATGCTGCATCTCCAATATCTGTTATTCCATATGGAATAGAGATATTTGTCAATTGTGTAGAGTAAAAACACTCTTTAGGAATTTCCGTTAGTCCTTTTCCAAATGTAATGGAAGTAATTGGGCAGAGAGCAAAAGACTTTTGGCCAAGGGATGTAACGGAATCTGGGATTGTAATTGATTTCAAATTCGAGCTTGCAAAAGCCCATCCTTCAATAGTCTCTAAGCCTTTATTCAGTGTTACAGACTCTATAATGCTATTCACAAAAGCTGAATTTGCAATCGTTTTAACTTTACCTGGGACTGTAAATGTTTTGCTTAAAGCTGGAGGAAATTTTATTAATACTGTTTCATTATAACTATAAAGAACTCCACCAATGACTTTGAAATTTTGGTTTGATACGTCACATTCAATGGTTGTGAGTGTACTTAGATCTTCAAAAGCACTTGCTTCCAAATATGATACATACCTTGGAATAAATATCGACGAAATTTTTGTACTTCTTAGGGATCTCCATTCAATCCTTTCTAAAAGTGAATCTGATGGGATATCAATTTGGGCAAGAGATCTACAATTATGAAAGCAGGCTGATCGTAGAGCTTTTACTGTCTTTGGAATAGAAATAGATTGAATCTTACAGGAATAGAAACAATATGGAGCTATTGTTGAGAGAGATTTAGGAAGAATGACATTGGATAATGTTGTGCATCCAGAAAATGCATATTGACCAATTGTTGTCAGTAATTCACAATGACTGAAATCAATAGCACTAAGTTTTGAACAACTATAAAAAGCACACTCTGAGACTTCTTTTAATTGTGATCCAACTGGAAATGTGACCGATTCTAATGTTGTTGCACTTCCTAAAAATGCACCTTTCGTACATTGGATGCTAAGATATTGTCCGTAGATTCGTTCGCATTCAACTTTTAATGTAAAATCAACAACATTTGTTGTTGTTTTTAATGTTGTTCCCTCATACGGATCTGATTCTGTCATTTGTTAGCAACACATGACCATTTCAAATATTCGATTTATCTCAATTGAGAGGTATTGAATTTTTTTTTGATATATTAAGACGATAAATTTAATGATTTAAATAGGAGAATATCTCATAAACTTGAATCTACATCAAGAGCTACATTTAAAATCAATTTATTATCATATTCTTCTTTTTTGAAATGAAAATTCGCTAACATTCTCACATCAAACTTCATATTTTCTTTGATTCCCAAAAAAAAAATTAAAATTCCGTTTTTTATTTTAATGGAAAGCCATGATTTTTCGCATATAGATAATGTTTTGGCAGATGTAGATAGATATTTAATGGAAAACTCAACAATTTCTGATCCCCAACTTAAAGAAAATCCTCCTACAACAAAAAATCCGGCGCAAAATTTATCTCCTGTTTCTAAAGCTCATAGTGACATTAATTCAATGCTTAAAAGATTTAATGTTGATCAAACAGAAGTACCTCGCCAACCAAGAATCAACTTTAATTTTGATACAAACCAATCTTCCTCAATCGAATCATCATCTTTTAATTATGAATTAGAAGCTGGGCCTAAGGGAAGTCCCAGTTATAAATTTATGAATACAAATAATAATTCTTTTAATCAAAATACTTCATTCACAAATTCTTCAAATTTATCTCAAAAATACACGACAACTCAACCAAACACAACAGGATATGATAATTACCTATACAAATCTCAAAATAGAAAGCAAACGATTTCAAGAGGAAGAGGTAAAATCCAAACTGCAGAAGAAATCGAAATTGAGATGCTCCAAGCTGAGAATGCTTCTTTATTGCAAGAACTTCAGCAATACCAAACACAATTAATAAAAGTACAAAATCGAAATTCAGAATTATTGCAAATGATAGAAAACAATGAGTGTGAGCTCTATGAAATTAAGAATAGAAAATGATAACAAGCAAATTATCAGACGAAAATATAAATTAAAACAAAAATATGCAAATTCAAACAGATAGATGCAGTGTTGTGTAAATTATACTATACTTAATGTCTTTTGGCACTAAAAATTGTTTGTAATTTTATTACGTGGGCATTTTGGATAAAGTATTTCAACTTTCATGAACCACTTATGTGAAAATTCATAACATTATTGCATCAATATCAATTTACAACCAACAATGCATTCTTTTATTCCGAATCAAATAATGCTTGTTTTATTTTCAACTTAAAATATTTCCAATTTTTCGAGGGGTGAATGGTATAATGGTTAGTATTGTTGATTGTGGCTCAATAGATCCGTGTTCGATTCACGGTTCACCCACTTTTTCCCTTTTACCCACATATTTTTTGACAAATTGATTTTTTATCAGATTTATCATCATTTTGTTTTGAAACTTTTCACTTATTGAATACATTGATTTTTAAAAGATTTCAAAAGAAATTTGATTTTTTCATTTTTTTCCAATCTACAAAATCAAATATTATTATTTTAAACATATTCTTTATTCTTACAAATCGCTGATTTTAGCTAATTTTTCTTTTTCTTCTTTTTATCATTTCTTGATTTATTTTGTTCTCTTTTCTTTTTCCATTTTTCGTATAATTCTTCACCATAAACATCAATAACGAATGATATGGCGAACGATACGATGGTTGCAATAACAGCAAACGCGATAGAAGCGTAAATTGTTTTTGGATACAAAGAAACAGCGTTTCTGTATGCTTCAAAGAATCCTCCGAACAAAGTGTTGATTAAAAGACTCATTATTGTCTCAGAATCAACACTTCCCGGCCGACTTTTTGAAGCAATATTGTCTTGATTATTCGCTTCTTGTTCTTTAAGCTTCGGAATGAAGTGTATCTTATTCCATTCATGAACAGCTGTTTCATTACTGCCAACCCATATGTTATTTATTCCGACATTTTTATCAACAACCCATAACTCGTAACCAATCGAAACAATTGGCATAAGAGTGAAGTTTATGGGCTCAGTTGTGTAATTAGGGTTAGGAATCTTCCTCGGTTCCCATTCTCCTTTGTAATTTGGATTATCTATCAATTTTGCATGCCATTTTCCTTTGTATTTCTCATTCTTCACGAGTTTTCGTGTCCAGTTACCGCAATGATGATTGGAACAGTTCGGATTCAAGACAATTGGCGGTTCCCAGTCACCCATAATTATTTCATCCCAATCTTGAGGTTTTGTAGCGTTAGGATCAGGTATATACATTGATTCGTTGACTTTCCAGTCCGCAGGCATCGTATCATTGACGTCTTCGATGTATTCTGGTTCTGTTTCATTCCAGTCTTCAGGTTTTGTCTCGTTTGGATCGGAAATCTTCTTTTCAGGCCAATCCGATGGTTTTTTATCTGTTAGATCTGGTATTTCTTTCGGAGGAGTAATCGGAGGATCGAAATCATTCAAAAGATTGCCTTTTTTGGCTTCGGAATCATCAATGAATACCGAGAATGTATTGTCTGGTCGAATAATCAATGTATAAAGATGGTTTAATTTGTCACCTTTTGATTCTGGAGGAGATGTCATATGATGTTCTTTGATTGTGTCCTCGTGTGGCATTTGGAATCTATAAATGAAGTGAACTTTGTTGGTTGTTGAGCATTTATCAGGTCCAAACATGATAGAATACTTTGTTTCGTTTGTTACGTTGTTTTGGTGGTAATTTTCAGACGAAAATAGCTTTGCATAGCCTCCAGAACAATCATGGGAGTCTTGGCGTCTGATTTCGTATTGAAATACAAAAGTATTGTTTGTTATGTTAATTGGAGTTTCAAAAGGATGAGAAATACCAAAGTATTTAGGCCCATCCTTCATGAAAAGAAGTGTTTCGTCATCAAGACCTGTGGGAGACGCAGCTCTTATTGTTCCCCATTGTCCTGTGTAATTTTCTGCTTTTGTGACTATCCATTCTTTCTGCCAGTTGCCTCTGCCAAACTGGTAGAAGTAATCATAGCCACCTGTTGGCAACCTCTGGATTTCAACCAGAAGAGATAACAATATTAACATTTGTCACTTTTTACGATAAAATGTGACAGATCTGCTCAAATTACAACAGTGAAGTGAGCAATTTCATGCATATAACAAGATAAAATTTATTGTTATTACATATATTAACAATTGCATGCGGAATTTAGCCATAACTATATAAATTCAAATTCTCGCATCACATTTGATCATAAAATCAACATTTTTACATGATTATTTCAATTTACTCATTCGGACTGATTGCAATGATACTAGTAAGACATTCTAAATATCCACAATAATCTTAAATCAATTTATATATTCTCATTATCATTGAAGTATCTCTAACAACATTATATAGATGCTATTAAATCCATTAGCAGAATCTATTGAGTAACTTAAAACATGCATATATCTCTAAAAAATTGATCAATAAAAATACCATTTCTTATGGAATATGAAAAAATAGTTTTAAAACATCAAGATAACGTAACAAATAATGATACTCATTTTAATCATTTTATTCAGAACAATTTCAATCACAAATTATTGGAAAAAAAGCTAGTTTATAAAAAATAATATTTATATCAAACAGATTACTTTCAAAAACAACAACCAAGAAATATTATAAAAAAAATTAAAAAAATTACTCATAAGCTACGATTCTTCTTGGCCTTGCGTATCCTTCTCTACAGAATGGACAGTAGTTACTATTTGCGAAGTGATGCTGTGCGCATTCACTGCAAATTGTGTGACCACACGGCATAATCACGATATCGGTTCGATTTGTAAAGCAGATACCGCAAGTTTCAGGATTCTCCCCCTCAGGAGACAATTGAATGGGCTTGACACTTTTATCGACCTGCATCAGACAAAGTGGGCAAACAGTGACATTCAGCTTCTGTATGCAGTCCTGGCAGAATACTGAATGTCCACAGTTGATGAAGAACACGGAATCATTCTTTCCGCAGAGAAGACACTTCGGAGTGCAAATGCACTTCTCAACTTGAGCATTTGGAGCGTTTTCGTTGACCATCACGTTGATTGGGCCAACGCCGACCACGAAGCCGCTGCCAATTTGGAATTCTCTCTTTGTATCGACTTTGAATATTTTATCTCGGTTCAATTCGCCACCGCGCTTAGTAATATCGATCCTATTAATAATCGTATTAACATCCTCGGCTTTATTAATAACCGTTTGGTCGAATAAAGGTGATTTGAAATGAGCTGAGCCTCCGTGGTGGCAATAGATGGATGATTCCGATAATCCAATGAATGTTGTGTCATTAGAAACTAATTGACCACCTGTGAAGATGTCTGCTCCATATTTTCCCGGTCCAATAAGATATGAATTTTCTAAAGCGACGAAACTATGATTGTAACAGCCTAAACATGAATACTTGCAACCAACAAACAATGAAGTATCGATTTTTACTGATTCACTATCGGAAACAGCCACTCCAAAGTGTTCTATGTTTTCAATATTGCAATTCTTGATTGTTGCTACGCTGTTCGTTCTCACAATGATGCCGCTCATCTGGCTGTCACTGATATTACACTTTTTAATCATCCCAACTGAAGATTGACAAATTGATATTGGCGGAAAAGTCATGGATTTGAAGGATGATGAGGAAATTATTGCTGTTGTTGATTGGGAAGCATTAATTCCGTTACCGTTGCAGTTTAAAAACGCAGATTTCTTGAGAACAACTTTGGATCTTTCGAAATAAAGGGCTGTATGCTCTATATCAGAGAATTGTGAACTCTCTATAAGTACTTGAGGACAACTACTAACGTATAAAGCTCCTTGTTGAATATTTTTGATAACTGAATTTTCTATCACCAAATTTTTAACATTATATCCTGCTAAAGCCCTATTCCCACCTTCGCTTATCTTAGTGGAACGTATAGTTATACGACAATTGCCTTCTGAAAAAATAGTATCTCTTCCTGTGTCAGATATAAGGCAAGACTCGCATGAGAGTATTGAATTTGATGTTGCACATATTCCTGCGTATTTTGTGTTCTTGATTTGACAGCCTTCAAGTACCATTGCCGAACAATTATCAACACTTAATCCAAATTTAGGGGAATCTGTAAAGAAACATTTAGAAGCATGAACACCAGCGATGTTTTGAATGCTTAAAAGGTAATCTGAATCATCTGAAATGTCATGAATTGCTGATAAAGTTAAGCGTAAAATTCCATTTTCGACAACAATTGATCCGCGAAGGTTAAGACCTTGAATTTCTACTTGGCAACCAACAATTTTAATCTTTTTACACGTTATTTCATTACGAAAATCAAAAGCAAGGTTCATATTTTCAGTTATTATAATTTCATCTTCTATTTTTGCACTCTGACTACTAGAGAACTGTATATCTTTATCTTTGTAGTCTATTGAATGCAAGGCAACATCAGGAAATTGATCTATGTTAATGAGGATGGGATTTTTCTCGTTAATCATAGATTTTTTTTGAAAAATTTTATTTTTACAATTTAGAGAAGGTGACAACTTATCGCTCAGAGATTCATTTGAGAAATGAATTTATGGAAATACCCCAAAATTCAAGATTATTCAAATTCTAAATTAGTGGAATATCAACAATGCGAGCATTGAATTCCGATTATAATGACACAACGATAAGTTTGGTTGCAGTCATTAGAGCAAAAATGAAGATTTGCAGGAAAATTTGATTACATATCCAATGAAATGACCAAATGACACTTGGAGTATTATTAGCAAAAACAAGTCATATTAAAGATAGATATTTATAAGTTTACAAAACAATATATTTCGAAGAAATATTTTCTCTCTATATATTCAAGCTTCGCCTGAATTTGATATTTCCTTTTCTAGGAAAGGCCTTTTCATTTAGTTTACGTGGCTTAGCATAAAATGAAATTGGATTTTTGACAATTAATTTTGGTAAAGAAACAGCAGGATATGTATTTCTATCAAGTCTAATGCTACTTGTACTCAATACTATTTGCTGGTTCTGTTCCATCAAAGAAAGCAGTTCATCTATAGTTGGTCTCTGGACAGGGTCTTTAATTAGGCATTTCTTAATAATAGTACCTATTATTCCAGTTGAGACAATGACCATTTCAAGCTTTCCTTCTTTCATCTCATTCATAAATTGATACTCATTAGTTGTATACCAGGGATAGTGCAAAGTATTTAGCAAATTCAATGTTACACCTATTGCCCAAACATCGGCTTTCATTCCGTCATATGTATCTGTCTGAAAAATTTCTGGAGCCATGTAAAATATAGTACCGCAATATGTGTGCATAACGTTAGAATTTTCCTTGCTAAGCCCAAAATCTATTAATTTTGGATGTAGTTGTTCATCAAACATAATATTTTCTGGCTTTAAATCTCTGTGACTAATTCCACGCTGATGAAGATACTGTAAACCTTGAAGGACCTCATATGCAATTCTAATTTGCTCTTCGCTACTAAATTCCATACCTTTGGACAATAATGTTTGGAGATCACCAGATGGCACATATTCCATAACTATCATGATAATGTCAGGCTCATAAATGACATCAAATACCTTGATGATGTTTGGATGATCAAATCTGCTGCTCAGTCTGAGTTCATTTTCTAAATAAAGCAAGCTACCAAGTTTAGTAATTTCATACCTATCTAGAATCTTAATTGCAACCTTTTCGTTAGTTTTTGGATCATATCCTAAAACAACAACAGCAAAGCTGCCTTTTCCAATTGTTTTAATAACATCATATTTGCCTACTGTTTTAGGGATTCTTATCTGACAGCAGCTGGAGTTAATATCGTAAGAGGATTCATCTTGCATTTTTGTAAAAATGATGGACGAAAAATTTTGCTAGATTGAAAAGCTCTCTTCAAAACATTGCGAACTTTTGAGACATTATTTTTGAGAATGTCGTCATAATTAATCTCATATAGATATATAATTTAAAAATATTATATCGGGATTTATTGAATGACCAGAAATTGAAAATATAAAATATAAATTATAAATGAAGGGACACATAAAAGTAAGCACATATATAAAAACGTAAAATTAATCCCCATTCATTGAAAATTTTGAAAGAGCTACAGTTAACAAAATTAGCTTTGCATTTTTGAAATATTTATCATTCAATGCTTGCATATTTCATTCTTTTACATATAAACTATTCAAAAGTTAAAATCGTTTATGAACCATTTATTCTTCATTACATAATGTCTTCATATGTGGTAAATAACCCATTCAACCTTTTTGATAATACTTTATTAAAAAATTGTGTGCGTCATTGCACTTAGTTGGCTGCTTAATTTTGGTATAATAGAACATTTACTATATTAATAATAAATTATTTTTTTGTACGTTTTTTTATTTGTAAAATCATTCAAAAGTACAAAGATTTATCAATATCTAGTTCTCTTTTGACAAGCATATAAAATTTATTTTTAAAATATATTCCGCAATTTCACAAATTTTGAAAGTGTACCCATTTCAAATTCGGAGAAATTATAAAACACCTTATCTTCACGGACACCATCTTTAAAAATAAAATAATATTTAAATAATATCATTTATTCTCTAAATATACAAAACAAAAATAACGCTTAAATTAATGGATTACAATTCAATATCTCATAAACTCTGTATTCTACGATTTCTTCTTGTGACCAATTTATCAGGAACTTCGCGAGCCTTTGGTTTTAGCTTGGCAATATATCGAGCATCGAGCTTTGGAAGGGACGGACCTTGATATGTTTGTCTGTCGTGGAGTTTTCCAGTCTGTGTCTCGCTCTTCCTTATGAATATTGGCATCTTGAAATGGTTCTCTATGAAATCCATGAGTTCGATGGCAGAAGAACGTTCTTTTGGATTGAAATCAAGAGCCTTCTTGATGATTTCTGCCATAATTCCATCGGGTTCAATATTTATTTCTAATATGTTGTCTTGAATTTCTTTGATGATCTGAACTTCCGATTTCATTGGCCATGGGAATCTTTGAGCGGCTAAAACGTGGCAGGTGATTCCGAAAGCCCAAATATCGCTTTTTCTTCCATCATATACATTTTCATTAACCAACTCAGGAGCCATGTAAAAGGCTGTTCCGCAGAATGTACTCAATGCTGAAGCATTTTCTCGAGAAAGACCAAAATCGATGAGCTTTGGCTGAAGTTGTGCATCAAATAGAATGTTTTCCGGTTTGATATCTCTGTGACTGACACCTCTTTGATGAAGATAATTCAATGCATCTAAAATCTTATAAGCAATTGTTACTTGCTCGTCGAGTGCAAAGCACATTCCTCTCTCTAAAAGTGTTTGCAGGTCTCTGTTCGGTAAATATTCCATTATAATCATAATTATGTCTGTTTCGTAGATAATATCATAGACTTCTACAATGTTAGGATGATGGAAACGAGATGATAATCTAAGCTCGTTTTCAAGGAATAATAGCATTTTATGGTTTACGATTTCAGCTCGATCGACAATTTTGATTGCAACATATTCATGAGTTTTAATGTCTTCTGCAAGTACAACTACAGCAAAACCACCTTTACCAAGGGTTTTTATTACTTTATATTTTCCAACGAACTTAGGAACACGAATTGAACAAGAAACTTCCATAAAATTTATTGTCAAAGTTTCTATTTTCAATATATTTCAAATTTTGTGTAGAGACGTAAAATAACAAATTAGCTATACATATAATAATAAGCAGAATTTAATATTTTAACATTTTTTTCATAACCTTCAAGAATTATATTATAGTTGAATATGCTTAATCTTTAAAATTTAATATTAGCTATCGATAGCTAGTACTTTCAACTATCTTAGTCCTCAATTTAAACATTTATTTGATATGCATGCTTAATGACTGTGGTTCAGCATAAAGTAGTTAATTTAAAATATGTTACCTAAGTCCATATATATTTACATATCTTTAAGAAGAGTATTTGAACGTCCTCAACAGCGAGCGTATTGATAGTACCAATATAAATATAAATCATTTTCTTATAGAGAAAAATAATTCCGAAGATACTTTAAAGGTTTATAGGCCATTTTGCAAATACAGATCAAGGTAAAGCACTTTTCACTACCCTCATAAGCTCTTCAAGCACAATAGGTTTTTGCACTTTTTCTCTCAAATGAAAAAATCTATTACAAAAATGATGATATCAATACAATATACATGCTGATAAGAAACAATTTACACAGGTTTTATAGATAAAAAAGATAAATTAGATATAATTATGATTCAGCAGGTTCACGAACTATAAATACAATAAATGTCAATTAACTATCCATTATACTTCAGAGTACTAAAGATTATTCAATATTTTTCCAATATAAGCAATTCACCAATTTTTTCATCTCATTTAATATTAGTACTAGTGTGTGATACTACATCAATGTCATCAAAAACTATATTTCATAAAATTATTTAAAAATTTTCATATTTTGTAAAAAATATTGTTTAAGTCGTATGCCATTCATGCTTTTAGTTTGGTTATGTAGAATAGCATTTAATTTTTATATAACCTCATATTAATTTGTTGGTATTTTCAATTTCAACTTTAATTTCAGATATTTTCACTCATAAATATCCTTAAAATTGAAAAAATAAATATTTTACGCAAAAATAAACATAAATATTATAATATTATATCAGCGCTCTCACCAAAAGAATTCTCACAGCTTTTGATTTAATCGAGTTTGATCTTGATCTAACTTTCAGCGGCTGATACTCTTTATAATTATATAAAGGCTTAACTGTCATAAAATACGCGTATGCATTTGTTCCTATTCCGTATGTATTATCATCATCAATTTCGCATCTTAAGACAACTATATTATTATTGAAAACCTGACATCCTTTGTTTTGTTTAATAGTACAATGCTCAAATAAACATGGCTTTGTATCACTATCAAACATATAATTCTTTGCATTATTTCCATTAAAAGTACAGTTACCTACATAATTGGTTCTTCCTAATAATTTCATGAAATAATCAGTACATGTATTTTCTGTGAAATTACAAGATCTAATATCCATACTTCCATCACCATTCAAAGCAAATAAGTATCCTCTTGCATTGAATAAAATGAATTCACATTCTCTAAATTCAAGATATGTCGAACAAGCTATGTTAACAGCTGAATCTGAACATGAGTTATTAGCAAATACAGTATTTGACATTGATATTCCATCCGATGTCTGCAATTCAACAGAATGGACTCCGACATTTTTATTATAACTAAAAATACAGTGACCAATTGATATCAAATCATTACCTTGTGAAGAATAGAGACATCCATAATCATTTCCTTTAGAGTTAGAGATATTTGAATCACCAAACTTCAGACTTCCATGCAGATGATAAATTGGACTATTTCCTTTAGAATTTAATCCAGAATATTCTACTGATGAATAATTAAAATAATTCTTTGCTGGGAAAGATGATGAAACATCGACATAAGAATGAATTCCATTACTATTGGAAAGAAGACTGCACTTAGTTGACATAATTCTCCATTGAACACATTCTCCTTCAGTCGCAAAATACAAAGCACCTCCATTTGATGAAGGATTACTGCATTCACTGAATAGAATATTATCCAATGCAAGGAATGTTCTATGTGAAGTGGATTCAAAAGTAACAGAATGTTCGTTACATTTAATGAAAGTTGTATCATGAACATAATATTTGAGATCATTTCTGAGTATTAAACCTTGAGATTGATTTGTGAAATTGGACAAAAGAATAAAATCTGAGAAATCATTAAGAATATTAGAGAAATCTAATACTATTGGGTTGTATTCTGTGTCTGAGTCGGCACTGAAGTTTTGGAAGTCAATCTCAAATGTGCTAGTAGTCATGAAACTAGTTGATGCATCTCCTATTCCTGATGCAACATTAGATGTAATAGAGTTTAATAGAGTTGTAGAACCAGAGAATAGATAACAATTCTTTATGTCTGTAAATATAGAGTACTCAACCAGAAGCTGATTAGATGTTATATACACGAGAGATGAAGTTGCAGTTATGTTATCGAATTTACATCTTCCTATGTAGCTGTTACTTGATGAAAATTGCATTCCATATTCTCCAGAGCTCTTGCAATCTGTAAATAGCGAGTACATAACTTCTGCTTCATGCTTTCCTTGATCAATGTACAACAAACAGTGTGTCTTTGCCGTGCTTGCTGTGATGTTAACTCCTATGACTTGAGGCTTTCCTCCGGAGATGCGTACTGGACTGACAGACAGGAATTTATTTCCACTGTCTGATATCGAAGTGTGATTTACTATATTCATTGTTGAAGATGACTTAGTAACATCAGTATATGAGTGAGCTCCGTGCATATTGTTAGAGACAGAAGATCTTACAGATGCAACTCTTGTTTGAACGCACTGCCCCTTGTTCGAGAAATATACACAACCTCCTTTGTCTTTATTGATGCTGCAGTTCGTGAAAGAAACTGAATCTATTATAAGAAGAGTTCTATCTGACTGGCTTTGTAAATTAATAGCTCTACTCGAGCATTCTTCAAATGATGTGTCATGCACATAGTATTTTTCAGCGCTTGACAATGAAAATCCTGTTGTGATCGCATAGTACTTGGAATAGACGGTGAATCCATTGATTGATATTCTTTTCTGAAATGTTATTCATGTTCAATATGGACTTTGTCAACTGTAAAGGGAAAATTAAAATATTTTATTGAAAAAAAAATCATTGTTTCCTCATTGAAAAGCAGATTACATAACAGAATGATTTGTATAGTGGGAAATTACCATAATATGTTGTTGGATGATATTTATTAAATTAATTGTATTTTCAAAACATTTTTACAAGCGAGAATTGTCTTCAATGCTTTCTAAATTGCTTTCGGAGTTGATTTTTGCTTGCTTCGTCTTTGTATGCTTTGGTAATAATTCTTGTTTAATATCTGTCCTTTCGTTTATAGAATCAATTTCATTTTGAGTGTAATAATTCGAATATATTTCTGCATCGAGATTATGTTGTCGTTCTGCTGATTGTTTTTGTTCAAATGGCAATCCGAAGCCAATTTGACCTAAAAGATGGAAGAGCATGGGAGAAAATGATATTGAGTATACAAAATGAGCAATTTTTTGTGTTCGAAGTACCCAATATGGATAATTTTTCATATTTTCAATTCCAACAAGAGTTTCGCAGAGAGTATGAGAGAAATCATTGCAATTATGATACATGAAATTGTAATATTCACTCATCCATTCTGTTGAATTCATAAAACTTTGTATAATATTTTTGCATTCATCGAAACTAAGTGAAATATCGCAAATATCATATGAAGTATAAAATTCTCCTTCCATATAATCAGGAATCATATTTAAGCATTCTGATAAATGAACTCCTGTTGTTTTTTCACCGAAATACCCGTAAAAATACTCTTCTTTGTCATCCAAAACTACACTAGAATGATAAACTCCGAGTTTGAGCCAGCGAAATGCTCGGTTGGATGCTGTAAGATCATATACATTAACTTTAATTTTTACCATCTAAAATTATGAAAGGCTTCACTGGCTAATCTCAGCTAAATATTGAGGAGAAATTTAATGTGCTGGTAATTCTCTATAGAAATGGAATTATTTGCAATCTTTCAAATATAAAAATAACATATGTGAATTTAATGGTTTAAATACTGTAGTTTTACTTTCATAATGTTTAACTTTGCATTTGCATCAGCAACTTACCCAAAATTATGTAATTATTGATTTTGTGGTAATATTGTTTTGTTGATTTCAATACCGGTTTCGGTCTGAACAAGCTGCACTTTCACTATGTCATTTGACAAATCAAGATCGATTTTTGCACCATTTTTAATCAGAAGCTGAATCATTTCTGGATTCTCCATATCAATGGCTTGAGTAAGTGGACTTTTATAAATTTATTGAAAAAGTAATGATTTTGTAAAGTATTTCATATTTAAAAAATGAATCCATTTAGAGTAAAATGAATATGCTAAGATTTAAAAAGAATTTTCTGAGTGGATAGAGAATATAGTGAATGCATAATAAATTGCATTAAATAAAGGTGAATCCAATAAATTATGATAATGAATTCCATGAGATGATGAAAAGTATCGAAAGGAATTCAAAATGAATTTTATCAATTGATAAAAAACTAACTTCATATTTACATCAGCGCTATGTTCGCAAAGCAATTGAATTGTATCGAAATCTTCATTTTCGATAGCAATAGATAATGGAAAAGCCTAAATAATACAAAGAACATCATGAATGAAAATATTGAATGAAATTGATATCAAAATGAATATAATTAATGAATAATGAATTTCAAAGGAAAGAAACAAATCCAATGAATTTGATAATGAATTCCATAAGGTAATGAATGATTCCATGATGAACTTAATAATGAACTCTATGAATATTATAAATGAACACCATAATCATGAAAATACAAATGAACATCATAATTCAAAGATGAATAAGTTTTGTATTAACATCAGCACCATTTTTCAAGAGAAAATTGATAATTTCTGTGTTTTTATGAAGTACAGCAACTAAAAAAGGAGTTTTCTAATATAAAATTGAACGAAATTAATTTATAAATTGAATTGCATGAATTTATCAAAGAATATGATGAGCTTTAATAAAGAATTACATCATTAATCACAATAAAGAATGTATATTTCATCATGAGTAACAAATAGAATCCAAACTTCATGATAAAGGATAATGAATGTAATGAATTAATAAAATTGAACTACAAAAACTAATGTTGAATTACATAAATATAAACTGAAAATCAAACACGAAATTTGAGTTGGCACCATTTTCAATCATGTATTTAACAATATCAAATGAATTCCATTCGATAGCAAGAGCTAAAGGACATTTAAATGTTGCCCAATTAATTTAAATATAAAATTTCAGTATGAGGAAATAAAATGAATTTCATTAAAGATAAAATATTGAATATAATGAGCTTGGCAAAAAGAACTCTATTAAAAATCAAATAGAATACAAGAGCAATTGATTTCAAATCCATTTTCAATAAGAAAAGAAGCTGCTTTGAAATTAATCCAGACTAAACAATCGCCAACGTTAATATCATGAGAAGTGAATGTATTCATTATCCAATCAGCAATCTCATCATGATGATACTTTATTGCGATATCTAAATACATTCCAAATGAATGTCCTTCATTTGCCAAAATTGATAAAATCTCAAAATTACCGCCCATAACTGATAATTTATCAGTTTCATCTGAGTATTCAAGACCGTTAAGTCTTAAGAATCTGAAGCATTTCTCTGATCCAAACTGCAGTGTCAAGGAGCGATAAATTGTTTTTGATTTCGTCAAATTTATCAAGTTTTGACAATTCATCGATTTTATCGAAAGCAACTAAATAAAATGGTGTGTCTTCGCTATAAACAGTTTTTAACGCTTCGGCATCTTCATATATATTGCAATCGAATTTAATTCCAAGATTCTCTAATAGTGCCTTAAATTTGTCTGTTCTAACATTAACTTCGAATTCAAAACTTTCTGTCAACTTTACATATAATTCCGCGAAATTTTTCATCTTTTTTTCTTGGATCTCTGATGCTTTTTCTAATGCATACTTCACAAATTCCAAAGGAATTGCTTTGCTGTCGATCAAATTCTTCAATTCTGAAAAAATTATTTCTAAATCAAAGTCTTCTTGGGGAGTTAACAGCAACAAATTGCTTACACGCCCATATGGTTTAAATACTTCTAATGTTTGAGCTTCTTTTAATAACTTACCCCTGAGCTTGGACAAATCAAGTAAATCTTCTTCTTCCATTTATGATTTTGAATCATAGAAAATCTTCTTGGTTTAGTAAATAGTGTGGTATTGATATTGTTATATAACTCAGAAGATATTTTAGAAAAATGAACTCAAAATAATGCAAAATATTCTTAAATGGATATGCATTTTTCTATTTTCTTATGGTTTTATAGTCAAAAACGTGCTTTAATTGAATTTAAACAAAGGTTGTAAAACTAAGATTAAATGAGTTCATAACTCCATTTTTTACTTTAACGCAATTTAATTCTTTCCATTAAGTAGAACTATATATCTAACCATATCCATAAGATACTTTATGAAGTGTTAAACACTTCTCTCGTTTGCATGTTCCTCACCTGGATGGAGACTCCAAACTTGCTCGATCAGGATTCCTCCAGGGGGTCCAAAAAATTTTAAGGTTAAGAGTTTTACAACCTTTATTTAAACAGAAAAATTGAGTTACAATTTTCGAAATTTGTGGAGAAAAACAAAAAGAATAAGAACTCTCTTATTATGTAAGTATTTATAAACAGAATACAATAAAAAAAGAAGAAAAGATAAAAAATTATTTTGGAGGAGGACATTTTTCTTTCATTTCTTTTTGCTTGGCATAAGCAACATCATCATGGCCTATTTCAGGGCACAATGTTTGTATTTCTTGCCAAATCTTGCAATGTCGATTATAATGGTGAATAACAGCTGGAACAACGTCAGAACCTTCCATAAGGAACTCTCCTGCTGGTCCATTATCTTTAGATACCTTTCCACCACGTGTAGAAATGATTTTGTCGCCAACTTTTGTTCCAGAAAGAATTAAACCTTGACTTGAGAAGACTCCTTTATAAAAGTAATAGCTAAGGTATCCTTGATCGATGGTCTTAACTTGGAACTTACTCCATTCGGGTCTTCTAAACATAATATCATAAAATTTAAGAATGCAATTAATTCCGCCGTAAACCATACCAAAGCAAAGTGGAGTCCTATTCTCGTAAAAGTCTTTGGCATAATTTGGATCTGCTTTTGAAACCCAGTCAGTATTTATTTCGCATTGCGAAAATTTCAGCATTTCCGTGGTAGCTGCCATTGTAGTACTAGTAAATGCAGATGAAAATGGGTCTTCTTGGAAAACGGAATCTAGAAGATCCATTATAATGACTCTGTCCATTAAATGTTTGTAATGATATAAAAATGTGTAGAAAAGTGGGTGTCTGTTTTCAAATGGGTTCTTTACGTATTTCTTGTCCATATATCCGATATTAATCAGCACGGCACCGCAGTTTGTTAAAAGAACTTGTTGATATCCTGAAAGTTTCTTAATTGCAAGGTTATCACAGAATATTATAACTATAGCTGAACATCCTGTGGAACGTAATGATCGCATAAACGTTTGAACGTTGTTAGAACAATTCATCATCGAAGTAATTATGAAATCGCGTTGAGTTGATGTGCCATTCTTGTTGAATTTATTCATATTACACGTTGGGCAGTTGCCAAACTCAGCTGATTGAATTCTGGATTCAAGATCTTTTGTAAGCCAATTATTTGTTCCGATTTTCATTGCATAGCTAGGTGGTTTTACGTAATTTGTATGTGAACCTGTAGTGCATGGTCTATTTTTGTTTGTTATAAATAATTCTTTTTCGGAATTTATTTCTTCAACAGTTGGTATCTTTGTTCTTGTTGAATTGAAGAATGCTATGAAACATACGACTGCTAGTAGAGCTAAAGCAAGATATAATGGTCTAAATCTTGAGCGCTTTAGCATCATCAGATTCTTCCTTTGGATTATTTTCAAAATGAATTATGACTATTAAAAATATTGTTCAGAAATATGGTGTGAATTTAATAAAAGTTCAAAGACACAATGTTTAAGAAATTTCAGTCGATAGATTTAAACAATGATGAGTATTGAGAGGGTTATTTATTTAATAACAGTAATTTAATTGATTGTAAGCTATTTTTCTTAACTGTTAAGCAAATAAAGAAATAAAATATTTCAAATAATATATTTCCATTGTTTAAACTTCATGATATGAAAATCTATTATGGCAGTCCCAACGGGAACCGCGGTAATTTACCGAGGTTTCCGCACACCGGTTCCTTTTTTTAGGAATTTTTTAGATTAAAAAATATGCTTTGTAAATCATTTTTTGTAAATCGGCAAAAATTTGGAAATATTCTGACGACAATAAATCTGGGAATAGTATTTTAAATACGAGAACAACCTATTTAAAAGTGTTTCGCTCGATTTTGTATAATTTCAAATTTTCGCATATAGCTTTCCGTGAATTACCGTGATTTTACCGCCACATCAATAGTTTACGACACTTTTCCCGTAAATTGAGTAGTTTACTGCACTTTTTCCGTAAAATTGAGTTACGGGAATCCGTAAGATTACCGTACCTCACTTCTAGTTGAAAATAGCATTAGTATATAATAAATAGATATATTATTCATATTTTTGATTTTGAATTACGGAAAAAGTGAGTTCAGAACTTCCAATTATTATTTGATTAATTATGTTAAAAATACTATAAGGAATTAAAATACATAATGTTGAAATTTGAATTACGGAAAAAGTGAGGGTGAAAGTGAAGTGAAAAAGTAAGATATTTTTTGTTGAAATAATCATAGTTGTACAATTTTGAAACTATATGTAAAGCTATAAATTGAATAAATTCAAAAACAAAAATTGTTTATTCTTATTAATAAATTTATATTAATCAATATTTGAACAACCCGTAATTAAAATTGAATTCCTCTTAAAATTTAATCCATACGTTAATTTTTAATTTGCTCGGCGAATGCCGAGCTTTCCTACTTCTCTTGTCATTCCTTCAAAAACTCTAATCTCATCGCACTTACAAACATCATGATTTGATGTATTGTCGAGAAATCTTAGACTTGTTTGTCATTTGATTATAGCATTTGAAAGTCATCTCGAAAATCGATTAACAAGACAATTTCCCAAACATCTACATACAAGTAGATGATGGTAAACCCATTAGAGTTGTTTTGCTATGATTCCTCCAATCTTATGATGAGAAAAATCATATCAAAACAGCTCTAATCGAACATTCTACACAGCTTAGCATCCAGCTAGTTCCAAGTAATGCGATTACAACATCAACGGCCAAAGCCTTTCAGAGTCCTTTAATCATTTCTTCTCATCTCAATGTGAAGTGGCCCCAAACGAACTACAAGCTGACGTTACAACGCATTACAACCCGGTTAATACGAGCATATACATTAGAGCTGCTTTGTTATGATCTCCCTCATCAATTGATGAGAGATCTCATTATGAAGCAGCTCCAATCGAACTAAAAACCTACATACAAATGAGTGAAAACAAACTCATTAGAGTTGTGTTGCTTTGATTTCTCTCATCAGAAGATGAGAGATACCAGAACAAAACAACTCTAATCAAACTTTCTACACAACTCAGCACAGTATCAATGCAAAGTAATGCGTCTGTATCGTTAACAAGCAAAGTTGTTTCGGGTCCTTCCATTTTGGAAGAATTCGGAACAACTTTGCGAATTGATAGTGTAAACCCATATACATGAAAGCGTGCATGCATAAAGACAGGTATTGTCAGCAATGACTACCTGCCCAGCTATGAGTGATCAGAGAATTACCATCTCAGGCTTTTTGAGAACGTTTCAGCCAGGACCCTCGTATGTTGACTGTGAGAAAGGCATCCTTTATCTGAAATAGATGCTTTTCCAACAATCAAATTCGAAGATCTTCGACGTTGTTGTAAAAAGAGAAGGAGAAGGAAAGAAGAGGAAGGAGAGGAAGAAGGAAAGGAAAAGAAGAAGAAAAAAAAAGAAAAAAAAAGAAGGACATATTAAATATAATGCGCACTTAATAGTGCCGAGGCGGCGGAGCCGCCGAGGCGCGATTTTTTTGACCCTATATTACCGCACGGCAATGTTTTTCTCGATTTTGTACAGCCCTAAAATCTATCTAAAAATAGAAGGGAGTAGCCGCTTTAAAAATGTTTTGACCTTGCTAATTTTCAAAAAAATTCAATAATTCCATTAAAAAATATAAAAATTTTATTAGACTTTATTTATTTATTTGAATTTTTGATGGTTAGGGTTTTGCAAACTGGCACGGGTTTCGAGGATTCGTGCCAGTTACGGGCGTAAAATTGAATGGACAAAGGGCAAAAAAGGGAAATTTTTGCAACATTGTGCCACTTTACGTGCCACTTTGCAAAACCCTATTGATGGTAAAAAATTTCGGAATAAATAGGAGGTGGCTTAACTATTCTAAGGAAGTCCGATATGGATCCATTCAAATATGAGTTGATCTTTCCGAAAACGAATTCATAGAAATTTGAAAATCAAAGTTTATTATTTAGAAAATGAAAGGAAAATTAGCAACCATTACATAATTTCATAGATAAAGTAAAATAAAGTTTATTCATCGTCGTTATCATCAATATCGTAGTCAGCATAAACAGGTTTCGCATGGCGAGATGGGTTACTACGGGCACCCTCAGGACGAGGTTTAACAGGGGATTCCTTTTGTGCTTTCTTTGGTTTACGTCCTCTTTTTAGCTTTTTAGTCTTAATTTTACCAAAATCAGGCTCATCACCATCATCTGCAACATCGTCGTCAATATCATCATCAACATCGGATGAATATTGACCAATCTTAGAGTCTCGAGCCATTTCTTGCTGGTTAAATATCCTTGTATTCACTCTGGTAGCTGCCAGAAGCCTTGTCTTATCGGTAATTGTCTCATCCTGATCAGGATAATCAGGATAGTGCACTTTAATAGAATCACCTTCTATTGATAAAATAGTTCCTTTGTAAATATCAAATCCATTTGTATCAATTACGAAAATAGTTTCTTATGTTTTAGAATGTATCAACTAAATTTCGTAAATAGTTTGAATTTAAAACATTTCTCCCTTTGAATGATGTTATCCATCAAAAATTAAACATTGTCATTATAAATGTCTGTGGAAAATTAATTTTAAAGAATTTTTATTGGTAAAAACTAAATTTCAAATTCAAAAGTACTGGCAAAAACAATTATACAAGTAAAGCATCTTCATCAGAACTTCTTTCAAGGGATTTCTCTTTGAGATGCTTGAACACGAAGAACCGACAATTGCTGCCCCAATAACAACCAATGGAATTACAACCCCAAGAGTAATACCAATAATTTTACCATTAGAACTACCAACATCTAGATTATCCCCTGATGATGCTATTGCAGGTGTTGGAGCAGGTGTGGGATCAATAACTTGAATCATTTTGCCATCTGCAAGGATGCCTGCAATACCGACATTACCTGTTCGAACAACCATAGAAACAAAGTGATGAGAACTGTTCTTCAAGTTTCTTATTGAATACAATGGTTGTTGGAACATTGTGTCTATTATTCTGTTCTTCTGGATGTCATCGAAAATGAAAGAAGTGTTGCACGAACCATGTAATTCACCATCGAGATAAACATCGAAATGGCCACCATATATCGACTTGTCACCAATTATTGCTATGCTGTCACCAGTTTCATTCAAATCTATGCTTAATGTTAGATTTGCATCTTTTTGCAATTTCCATCCTTTTCCGTTGTAATACAAACCTTCCTTAGACAAAACACCATTACCTTGTATTCTCCAATCTTTGTGTGTTGCAGGTATTATATTTCTTGATGTTGCCGCTTTGAGCAATACAGGTTGTATTTCAACAATTCCTGCAAAATTACCATTCGAATTTGAGTAAATACTCAGATTAACATATCTGCAATAATATGCAGAACCAAAAGTGATTGTAGAATCAAAACGACCATCATAAATTTGTTCTCCATCACATGTAATCGTACAATTTCCATTAACTTTCCGACTTCTTTGAGGCATGTACAATCTTTCAAATGTAAGTTCTTGACCGAAATCAATGTCATAATCAATAGGAAGTGGTTGAACAACATTTGTTGATTGAGATGGTGATGTATTTCCATCAAAAAGCAACTTGTTTAAATCAGCTGCTGGATCTTCTGTTGTAAGCGATTTTAATAATTTGAAATTGTTTGGTGGATATTTGATTCTTAAATCACTTTCCCAATAAATACCTAATGTAGGGTCATTTTCTATCTTTGGCATGAATGGATTCTGATCCGTTTCTCCACGAATAGCTCCAGGTAACCAAATTCTATCTGTTTGTATTCCTTTGATGTTATCAGATGTGTTGTAGATATATCCAATTTGACTTTGACCTTCACCACCAACATTGTTGATAACGAATCTGAGATAGTACTTCTTATCTTTTGTCAAATTGACCCACTTACTATTTCGATCATTTTTATTCCAGCCTCCGTATCCCCAGGCTCTAAATAATTTAGAACCTGCATCAATATCAAAATTGTCATTGAAAGGATTCTCTGAAAGATAAATCAAGCATCCTTCATCATGATAAGATACAAATCTATAAGTATTTGTTTCTGGAGGATAGAAGCAACCATCTGTTACAGCAAGGAATTTGTACCTCATCTTTGGAATATTGAAATCAGATTGTAACATAACATGGAATTTGTCTTTAGTTTCGAGATATTTCTTGTATGCATTATCAATTGACAATGAAGCAGAGTTATTAAAGTATGTCAATTTTACACCTGGGAAAACTTGTTTGATTCTGACAATCATCTTTGTGATGTCCTTTGTAACATCATCTTCGTATTCAAGGTAGAACTTGTCAACAATACTTGGATCTGGTGGAGTGTATTTGTATTGACCAGTTCCGATTGATTCAAATGTTCCTTGACCCGGAATGACTCTCTTGAATGTGAATGTGTGCATTCCATCTCTTGTCTTCTTGAATCTCTCGAAATCGAAATAATATGGATCACGTGCAGGAATTCTGAATGGTTTTGCTGTTTCAAATTCAACACCATCTAATACATAACCTGTTTGATAAATTGTTGATACAGGGTGGAATTCTTTGTAGTTCCATGAATCCAAAAGCTCATGTGCTTCTTGACGAATAGCTGTAGAATAATTATATAAATTAGGCCATGTACTGAAATATGGTCTCATATCTCTCTTGGTCAAATGAGACATTGTCAACATGAACTGATTAGGGAAAGAATTGTTTCGAGGGAAATATTTTCCATCTTTTGTAGAACGGATAATTTTCCTTTGTAGATCTGAACCAAACCAATACAAAGGAAGACCATACCAATACAATAAATCATTAGCATTAACATTTCCGTATTGATGTGCTGTATTTGACCAATCACCAGACATTTGCGCATTACCAAAGAAATTCACCATTCTCGTTGCATCAACTTCCATCATTGTTGCCATTGAGATTAGATTCAATGCATTGTTTGAGACTTCACCCCAGTTACCATAGGTCCATCCGTTCTGGAAATGATGTGCATATTCGTGAAGTTGTCCCCAACAGCCCCATCTTGCAGATTCATAACTGACCCATCCAGTTTGCCAACCAATTGGTTCATAAACTTGATTTGCACCTGTAAGAGCAACAGCTGTACCCATTCTGACGAATCTGTCAACTGTTGTACGAAGTGGAGTTACGACTCTGCCATCAGACCTTCTTGGAAAATTAGCAACATCGCTGCACGAGTATAAAATACGAGAAACACTTCACCAAAAGGCCATAGCATCATTAAGTTGAACTGCAGTTTTCGTGAGACTACTTGGTGCTGCAACAAAACCTGCACCATAGTCGAGTGATAAAATTGGACCTGGAAGTTGTGCGATCTCTTCTTCCCACTCTTCATCTGTTGTGACACCATATATGAAGAAAGGACATCTGATGACACCTGTGACATTGATGTCTACACCTGCATTGAGAGAATCTGCATTAACAAAGAAGTCAACTGTGCCACCATATGGCCATGAGAATTGTGTTACAGTTCCTTGAAGAGAAAACTCACATCTTGTTCCACCAAGTCTGACATCATGACTCGCTTGGGTATCAACATGTCTATTAATAGAAAAAGTAATTTTACCAACACTTTTTGTTGGTATTTCGATTGTAATACGTTCACCAGGTGGAGCATAAAGACCTGTTGGATGATATAATCCACGTCTTGAGTTTAAGAAAATTCTTGCTTTATATCTTTTTGAAGCATTGATGACAGCATCATCACCAAGGAATTGTTTTGAACCTGCAGGATGGTAATAAAGTTCATCTTCACTAACACTTTCTGCCCACTTGCAAAAGTCCTTTCTAATTCCAACTGTTTCACTATCAAGTATTGATTTAGGACATGTATAAGGATGACTTGGCCAAACATACTGATCATCTTCAATTGGCGGATTGGAATAATTTTTAGCTCTAATAGGTTTTAAGTTCATCGATTTTGGAACTTCGTTTAATATTATAATAGAATCTGTCTCCTGTGCTTGAACAGTATCAGTTCCAGGATATCCAAATTTTGAAGGAGTAAAAGAAATAGTTGACGCCAATAGGAAACAAAACATTTTTTTAATATTTTTTATAAAATTTGAATGGAAATAGAAAAAATCAAAATCAAATTATGCATAACAAATCAAGAGATAAATATTTTTTAATGAGGATACCAGATTTTGAATTCTATCATACTTTTGAATGAATCTGCGACAAGAATTGCATTACCCAAATATGCAGAATCTTTTTTAAAATCAAATTATTTACAATATCAGCTCAGAATTTTGGCACTTTTAGTGATTGGATTCAAACTTGAAAAAGTATTTAGAAATCATTAGTATATATATTTTTACATTTTGATCGAAAAATATTTCTCAAAAATATATTCTGAATATTATTTTAATTGATGTCAATTTTTTTTCTGTGTTGTTCACAATGAGAAAAAAAATCAAGAAAAAATGACGCACTTATTAACATAATTCAATTTAATCATTTTTTTTCAATTGGCCAATCAGCTAATCCTCCTAATTTGAATTCAATGGATATTTTCCCCAGACAAATTTAAGAGCTGTTATTATCATTATTATAATTATTGAGAGGATTAATAGTTGCCATTTTTCTCTCAATTTATAACCTGCCATTTATCTCAAAGACGGTAATTGAAGCTTAACTAATCATTTTTTCAGTAATCATAAAGTTTAATCACTATTTACTTATTGATAAGTACCCGCAGAAAAGAAAATTCTCCTTGGATGAAGATCAAATCAGAATTTACTTTCACTACCATATCATCTAACCAAAATAGAAAATAAATATCATTTTCTGGGAAGAATAAACTTATTTTTTTCATTATTTTGATTAAGGATACCCTTACGTGTCAGATTTTTTGCGCATACGAAGAAGTCATGCTAGACATGAGCTATAAACCTGAAATTTTAGCAACATATTTAAAACTTTTTAAACTACAATACACTTTAATATTCGAGAACAAAAATATTCTTTTTAGAAATTACATAATTATTTTATGTGAAATCTATATAAAAACATATTTTGCGAGCGTAACTTTTTTCTTTATAAGCACCTGATATGACTGATAAACTGTGAAGGCACATAATTGTTAATTCATAGAGTTGATATGTTTCCAAAATTGAGAGGAAATTTGAAAATTGAATACCCTTTCAATTCAATTTTCAAAAGATATCAGCTCCTTCAATAATTGAAGGACGATTTTGATCATTTGCTCTTAAAACAAGTATGCCATGGAGAAAAAAGTTACGCTCGCAAATCTGAAATATAACTATCATATAAAAAAATTAAATTTCTAATTTTTTACTCTATAGATATTATTGGCCACTTGTGTAATGCATAAAAGTTTATGTCATATGCATACATTTGGAAGTATGGGAGACGAGGGGAAATTACTTCTATGAGGCACTAGGATTTTTAAAAATTTCTCTATCGGACTCACCATTCAATTTCTCGAAAATTAAAAAAAATCAATAATAGCTAAAATGTATTATGCATAACAAATTTTAATGTTACACGGTATTTTTTGAACTTCATGACATGAATTTTCTTTATATTATTTTTTTTTTGGATTTTCTATGATTTATGCGATAGGCTGGAACAACATTGTAAGTGCAATGATATCATTTATAGAGAAATCTAAAACTTCAGCATTCAGAACTCGCAACCACAAAAATATTCATTTGCTAAGTAAGTAAAGTTGATTAAGTTCGACACTTAGCTTTTATACGTAAAACCAAGTGTGTATTGTTATTTCTTGTTAAATTATTGAGAAAAAAATAAATTATAAGAGAATCGATACTGATTATTGAAATAATATTGAGGGTAGCTGCAGATTTCTTCATTAACATGCCGGAAATTTGTTAATCTTGGTTTTCTATCATAAAATCTGTCGAAGAATCTAAAAACGGAGATATGAAATAGAGATCATGTAAATCTAGAGTATCCTGTCAGAAAAATAGACTAAGCATGTAACCCTTTTTTGGTCATAAACACTTTTACCACTTAGTCATACAGATGATCATTAAATTTAAACGAGCACTTTTTGTCAGAATTTATTCTTTTACAAAGACAGAAGATTTTAGTATTATTTAATATTAGTGCTGTAGCAAAATTCAAAAAACGGTGAAAATTCAGTGAATTTGTGAATTCACATTTTTTCGACATTTTTCTTGATATATCCATGCACATTAAGAACACAGCTTTGATACGCTTAAAAAAGCATATTTCATATGAAATTGTTAAAGAAATAAACAATTTATATAAAAATTGCACTTATGGGCAGTTTAGATATATAATTTATATATAACATATATACAAATCCATAGACAAAGTGCAATAACTACAATGTTGTAGAAAATTACAGCAGAAATACTGACTTTTTGAAGGATAATAAGAATTCTTCTAAATGTTGTATTTTTATAATTTGATTGATTTTTTTTACTATTTCATTAATCTTTTATGAATAATAATTATTTTTAATATATGTGCTATTAAAATTTCAAATTTTGACTAATATATCTAAGTTATCTGAACGAAACATTTAGAAAATATCATACTTACATTGAAATAGCAAGTAGAGCATATTAATAGCAAGTTTCTTGGCTTTATATCTATCATCTATTGTTGTTTGATCAAACAAAATTCACTCTATTATATGGTGTCAATTAATTAAAACAATTTTTAATAGTTATTTATTTAGTGCGAATAAGTGCAAACTCATAAATGAATAACTTAATAGTAGAAATGAATTATCTGATATAAATCTCACATTTTGTCCATCAGAAATACTTTAATTGCATACGCATAACTATTAGTAATACGTCTGGAGTGTCAATTAATAACAATCCCACAACAAGTAAAATTCAGATTTTTATTAAACTTATTTTTTCCTAAAAGTTTTCTCAAATTACTATATATACATATGTGGATAAAATAATAGTAATATTGTAAAAAATTAGATAATTTTTTTTATTTGAGAACCTCTCAAAAGTTCATTCAATTTATCAATTGTTTCAGTTTGATGTATATTCATTTCTGGAGCCTAAAACTTTAGCAATCATGACAATATCATATTCTCTTTCTAACTACGCAATGTAAGGGTATCCTTAAAATAATAATATGTCATCAAGACAACTTGAAAGACAACCTATATTATAACATATATCTGAAACTCGAGCTTTTCACATCAAAAGAGTCTGAAATTGCTCCAACAGTGGTTATCCTGAGCTTGATATAAAGTGGAAATGAAGTTGAAACAATTATCGCAGAAGATCATTCCTAACAAGAAAAAGATACTAATATAATATGCATATACTGTATCAGAAAAGAAGATAACATATGATTTACGAAGTCCATCACAAAATATGCTTAAAAAGACAGTTTATGAGAAGCATAAATATGATAAATCGCCTAAGCAAAAATCAAAAGATTCATCATAAAATAATATTTGATTCCCCATCATTTAATGATGACAAAACATCATTTATAGATCTATAATAAAACATCATGGATACTAATGAATATTTATGCCATCCTTCGAATTACACACTTCATCCAACTAGCTGATAACAAGATATAAACTAGTTGGACACATTCAAATGAGATATAAACTATACCAATCCTTGCGTTTATTATTCAAATGACCAGATTAGGCAAATAGTAATTTCTCATGACATTTATCATTCTCTAACAGATTTGGATTTTTGACATTTGATTTTTTCAAAGAAACTTTTTTATTTTTTTAGTTCAATGAATCGAGATCAACTTTTGCAAAATATTCGAAACGATTTTATGCACGAGATCAAGATATTTGTTATTAGCACTCCATTCCAAGCAGTAAATTCTGTTCAAATTTATTCATCCATCTTCCAAACAATAATTCAGCTACTAAAGAAGAAGACAATCGTTAATGGACTTAATCTGATTGAAAGAAATGGATATGAATACTTATTATACAACATATTTAATGATAAACTCGACTTTTCACATCGACTTACATTTCGAATGATTTCCGCAGGTGCTGCATCAATGACCACATCAGCATTAATGCTTGAAAGAAAAAACATCTCTAACTTTGTTATTATTCCCACATTTCAAGCAAGTTATTACGGAATTCTATTCATGATACAAAACCCAAAGGAGTCAAAGAAGTTTTTGAACGACAATTTTCCAAAAACAGTAAAATACATAGAACAAAATCCTATTACTGGGTCAATATGTCGAATTATTAACAAAGTTCACACTTTTTTCAACCAATCCCCACAAAATCGTCGTAATCAAGCAGATACTATTGATTTTATTAATGATATTAATCAAGATGTCAATCAATTAAGAGCAGGAATCAAAAACGCTCTTAAATAATTTTAATTCATTTTAAATTTTATGTTAAACCATGTATTTTCATCAATTATTTACGAAATATAGATTAAATATTTACTCAATTTGAGAATATCATAAAATATCATTGTATTTCAATCTATATGTATAGATTTTCTATAAGTTATCCTCATTTTCAGCTTATAAATCTTATGTTTTAGAATGTATCAACTAAATTACCACTCAAATTTTAATTTTTCGTTATGATATAAATTTGAGTATGAAAAAAAAGTGAATTAGTATGGATAGATATGTTTTTAGCGACAAACAAGATATATTTGGAGTGAACATATAATAAAAGGCATGAAATGAAAATTTATGTATATTTTTTCTTTTGATTTTACTTGATCAATACTATATATCAAGGGGAAATCAGCTTCACATAAACCAGTTGATATATGTGAAAGAGAATTCCTAAATTCGGATGAAATTCTATTTATTAAAGTCAATCTATATGAACTAAATGATTGTTGATCAATATAACAATTATAACACGTCATTGGGGATCCATGGAGATAAGCCCCACTCATAACGTTATTTATAAAACTGCAGTTGTATAAAATAGTATTACTTGAACTTCCGATCAAACCTCCAGTTCCTTTATTATGAAAAATATTACAAAAATATATGTATTTGTCTGAACCAAAATGGTCAGCAGACCAACTTGAAGTACATGTATTATTAGAAAATGTGGAAAATGAATTATTGAAATTTGAATTGCCGTTCGTTACATAATAAAATGCATCATTATAAATATTATTTTTAGAGATATTGTTTGATTTCATAATAACATCTCCACTATTAAAAAAAATAGTTCCATAACCATAATTATTTATATTTCCAGCTGAAGAAATTGTTGATTCTTCAACGTAATTCTTTGATCCAGTATTGGTTGAAACAATGGTTTTGGAATATGCACGATATGTATCTAGTGAATTTACGTTTGATCCAAATGAACAGATCTTTGACTGAACACATTCACCAGTAGTTGAAGAAAAGAATAGAGAACCTCCATCAGAGGTTGATTTACAGCTAGTGAATGATGTTTTGTCAACAAGAAGCTTTGGATTATTCGTATCTCCACTGATATAAATGGCACCATTTTTAATTAATTCAAAAAAGAAACAAAGGAAAACGTAATAGCTTTGAGGAGATGGCGGTTTTAATTCACTACTCTTACTCTCATATCTCTGAGGATTAACAGAAGATTGATAGAAATCATCCAAGGCGAATTTCATTATTTCTAGATTTAATTTAGAGGAAAAATAAGAATCAATGTAGTTATTACGCTTTATATATTAAATTAACTTTGAACAAAAACTCAATCCTCTTCCTCCAAGCCTCTTGGGTTGAGAGACTGGGAGGAAGAGATTAAATTTAGAGGAAAAATAAGAATCAATGTAGTTATTACGCTTTATATATTAAATTAACTTTGAACAAAAACTCAATCCTCTTCCTCCAAGCCTCTTGGGTTGAGAGACTGGGAGGAAGAGATTAAATTAAGGAAAAGTGCCAACTTCACATAATTGATGTAAAAAATGGTCACTCTGGGGTTCGAACCCAGGCCCTCGCGGACCAGTGCCTTAAACTGGCGCCTTAGACCACTCGGCCAAATGACCTTTACATTATTTCAATTTAATTTTATCATAAAATAAAATTTAAATCAAAATCTTGGATTATTATACTTAATCAAACTATTTAGAACTATTATAATATCAATCTATACTACATTAATTTATTTTTTAATTCAAATGTCATCATTGATCAGTCCTTTTGGTACTGATTCAAATGACATGTTTAGCAGAACAGAAATAACACCACAAACTGTTAAAAGAACTCGATTTGGTTTAAAAATGCCAGTAGTCAGACAAGAAAAACCACCATCGCCAATAATCCAAACTCCATCTACCCCAAATTCTTCAAATGATTCGAATTTTGGCACACCAAATTTTAATTCACGTTATAATATACCTGTTGGAACTGTTATTCCTCGAATATCTCTTGATTCCACAATTAACGAGTTATCATCAAACATCAAATCAAATATTCCCAGCTTAGAAATGATAAAAGATCAAATGTACCTCAATGAAAATGAGAAAATACCTGCTTTAATGCATGATATTCAAGATTTAGAAAACAGACTTTTAGAAATTAAAAATTTGCATATATCATCTGTGATTAGACCTCACAAAGAGTTCATTAAACATCTTGAAAACGATGCAGATCAAATGCTTTCCAATTTTGATAAAATAAATTCCCCACTTCGCGATCGTCTGACAAGATTGAACACAGAATCATCACATTTACTAGATGATTTCACTACTTTCCAAACATTTTTTCGTACTTCTTTTAACAAAGTTGATCAAGATCGAAAATCAGCGACAAGTTCAATAGCAAACACCCTTCTTAAACTATTAAAACTTGAACAAGGCTTCGAGTCAATGGCAAATAAAGTTGGTGATAGAAACGCTGATTTCGCAAAAACAAAAATTCAATCAGAAAACGCAATGAAAGACTTAGTTTCCGTAATGAATTACTCAACAACATCTGTATCTGTATATCTATCAAAAGCAATACAAGACACATCGCAAGCAAAAGCAGAAGCAGCTGAAAAACTCAAAACAAATCTTGCTTTATTAAATAACCTCTCATTGAAATCTGTTTCAACATTAAAATCATCAATTGACTTATTACCGAAGATGTTCAATGAAAATCTCGAAAGTTTGACAAATTCAATACAATATTCAATAGATAAAGTAAATGAAGAGTGCGAAAGTGATACAAGTAGTATAAATCTGCAGATAGATGATACTTTTGATGTTACTTCATCAACATTTAATGAAATTTCCAAAGAAATTACTGATACAGTCACAAAAGTCAAAAAAATACAAGAAGAATCTACGAAAATATTTACAAATTCGATTGAAGAAGAGAAAAAGGGAAGAATTCAAAACCATTCCGATATTAAAAATAATTTTATAAATTTTAGGTCTAAAACTAATAAAGAACTTGAAGAAAATTACACCTCAATTGAAAATTGGGCTAAGGATACTCAGAATAAGTGCGCTGACCAAATGGAGAGTTTATTAAAAGATATTGAAACAGGAGTTTCAAATTTACACTCAAATTTACCTGCATTAGATCACATTGCATCGCATATTGCTGATATAGAAAAAGCAGTTCAAGACGCTAATAAATACGCAATGGACAAAATTTTGTCAATTAACGCTGAATATGAAAATTTATTATCAGATTTTTCGTCGATGAGAGAAGTTTACATGGCAAATTTAAATGATTTTGTAAATCGAGTGAACAACATACATATCCATGCAAAAATAGAAGATGCTGTTAATAGAAAAGATGTATATGACTATGTTACTAACTACGAATCATATATTGATAGTGTTTTTAGTGGTTTAGAGTCACAATTAGCTATTTTGACCTCTGGAGCTGATAAAATCCTAGCTGGTGTTGATATTGACTTTAAGCTGAATGAGAATATTGTAGGTGTTGATAAGCCAACGCCTGTTTTTGAGGGACATAGTAGAGTTATCGATATTAAGCCACAAACTCCAATAGAACTGTTAGAAATTGAACCAGAAAAACCAATCATTGAAGAAAAGGAAGTTGAAAATCAAGAAAATGGCGAAAATAAAGATATTATTTCAAATAATGTCGAAGATTCTAAATCTGTTAAAAGTGAAGAAGAAAAGAACGATGTCCATGAAGAAGAAAAACAAATTGTTTCTCCTGATACTAATGAAAGTGATTATTATAGCGATTATTATTATTCTGATGCAGAAAATACTTCAACAAGTAAAATTATTGAAGAAACGCCCGAGACTCATGAAGAGACAGTTCAAGAGAAGACAGAACCCGAAGAAAAACACATTATTCCTGCAGAAGATGATTTGTATAGTGAATCATATTATTCTGATGCAGAGCATACTTCAACGAGTTAAATAAGCCAAGAAACAAATGAAATTCATGAGGATTTGCCTCTACAAACTGCTAAATCAAAAGGAAAACGGATAATTTATTTAGAAAGGAATGAAAACTATGAATATAGTGAGTCATATTACTCCGATGCTGAACATACCTCAACCAGTAAAATTGGTGACGAATCAATTGAATTTGATTGAAATTTTATTTAAAAAAAATTGTTTTGTTTTATTTAAAATAAACGCTGTTATTTATGGTATTTAGAATATAAAACAAGAAATAATTGAAAAATTATTTGATATTCTTTTTACGATAATCTTTGTATATTTCTCTCAACTTTTGTTCAATTTCGAGGATTTCTTGAGGCCTTTTCTCTAATTTTTTGATATTTGAATTGATTTTAGAATTTTGTGTTTTTCTTTCCGAAATTTCCTTGTCAAGAGACTGTATTTCGCATATAAGATTTGTATATGTGTCGCAATCAGCTGGTATTGAATCTCTGTTTTCATCTAAAAGAATAGATTGTTTTTCCTGTTCTTGATAGTACTCATTTACTTCTTTAAGTTGTGGGTTATTCAATTTCTGTAATTCCTCTGTATATTTTGAAACGATAGCGTTATAATTGTTTGTTTCAATAAAAATTGGGATTACAGCTGGAGTAGCAGGTGAATTGCTTTTATCGTTGGGTCCTTTTTGGTCATGATTGTTTTCTTTTTTAGTACTTTTGAATATCTTATTAAAGTATTTACTCATCTAAAACAAAATAAAATAAAAAAATAATGAATTTGCCACTATTTTTTATCAAAAATTATAATTCATGCACAATATGAAAATCATGGTTCTGTGTTATGAATGATGACTGATTTTCAAGAAAAAAGCAAAAAGTGTAATAATTCAATTCAGATTTAAAGAAAGTTAGTTTCAAAAACGATGCTCTTTATTTGTAAATGATGTAATTAAACAAACTTAAATATCTGAGGAATGATATCTTTGATGAATAGAAAAAAGAAACATTTTATTAAAATAATGTGTTTATTTCTTATCCATAATCTGTATCTAATTGTCTTTCTAACTCCATTCTTTTCAAATAAGCGGCATGTTTTCTTTTGTAACAAAAATAAACTATTATAATATTTATATATAACAATAGTTAATAACAAAAAGAACAATGATATTGATACAGAATAATATATAATCATTTTAAGATTCTTTTTATTATCAGGTTCACGGCAAACTGGCAAAAGATATGGTTTGACGTCATACATTTGTGTTCCACTGCAATCTTCAAATGTAATATGGCGTTTATCAATGTAAGCTTTGAGGTAATCATATACAGTTGAATCAATAAACACGCAGTGCATAAATTTAACTTGTTTAATTACATCAAGTGAATTGTTAAAACTTCTATCGTTGATATCATAGCTTGTTACATTCTTGTAGTTGCAATACGTTAAATTGGAATTATGCAAAGCAATAAATATGGCTGATACAATATTTTCTTTTTGGCAATATTTGATATCTGCATGGATTGCCATGATTTCAGCAGCAGTTACAAAATAAGACGATGTATTAATACCTGTAATGAATGTAGAGTTGACAAAATTCATATAATCATTCTCATTAATGCGATAAATATAATAAGAGAAACTTTGCGAAATATTAAAATTAGATGATACTGAACTTGTGTTGAAAAATATTGGATTTCTCGATCCAAAATGACAAAAATGACAATAATATCCAATAGTATCGATGCTACAAACATGAGAAACATCTATATGAGAATATTCATATTCAATGTATATTCCTCCTGCTGTTAATTCTGATTGACACTGCCACAAGAAAATGTTATTGATCTTGATGAAAGGCTGTGAATTCAAATACTTATAAGCTGGTTTTTGGATAGATATTGCGGCGCCTTCGTCATTTGTCATACTAACTTGAAGGAATTTGCAGCTTGTTATCTCAAAATGTTCATCAATAAATGTATATCGAACAGCTACTTTTTTTTCATGATTTGTGTAATTCGTTGCTAGTTGCATCGATGGACACATGATTGCTTGAATATCTGGGTCTGGAATATTTTCAGCATATGTAAAATTAGGAATAGTTAGATTAATGTCAGCAACATTATTTTTCGAGAATGAAATAGAAATATCAATTATTAATGAATTTTTGAAAAAGGTATTTTGCAATATGAATTAGTAGCAGCATATATGTATCCAGGATGTATTGATGAATTGACAAAATAATTATAATTAAAATAAATTTTGAAAGAAGATTTGGTGTCTAAATTTGAAATATTGCACAAAAAAAGTGAATGTATGGATTCATCCCATATATACTTATCAATAAAACTATTTTCTGTGATACCAAGATCAAAATATAAATTCGAAAAATCATACTTTTTTGTATCATAAAATATTACTTCTGCCCAAGGAGCATGGCATTCAGAAAAACATGATTTAGTGATATTTATGTATTCTTGAGAAGTTGAGTAAATGGCACCTCCAGCTTTGGAATAAATATCTTTACTAGGCAAAACACTGTATGAATCAAAAATGCAATCTGTGATATCTAAACTAATGAATTTCATTGATGGGACGGAAATTGCTCCGCCACTTGCATGTGACGATATTGAGGCAAAGAGGCATTGAAATACTGAAACTGTGTTTTCTGTTGGCTTTAATCTGTTATAGTATACTTGATTTTTATAGAATGCCATTAGAATTTGTAAGACATTCTGAGAAAATCTGACATTAAAAAAACTCTAGATAATATTCTCATATATTTAAATAGTTTAACTTTCTTGGTATAAAATTTTATTTCAAAAATTGAATACACTCTCAAAATGATAAGACATTTACCTTCACCGGCATAGAAATAATTCTGATGTATTTATCAACCATGATGTTATTTTATCATTTAAGGTTAAATGTAGAAACTTTTATTCCAGCTTTGGATATGATATATTATTTCATCTACATATGTTGCATGCAGGGATATCTTATGTTATATTGGTTGGTAAGTAATATTCACTTTTGGGAAGTATTTTCAAGAAATATATTTCAAACTTTTACTTTTAGGACTTTCATTATTAGATTAAAATCAGTATATGTTAGAAAAGGTAAATGTTTAAGAAACAAAATGAGATAAAAAAGGAAAATAATATCCGAATAAAAAGATAAGTTTTCAATCGAATAAACCGCAAACAAACTGTTACATCGTAATGATAATATCGTTAAAATTGTTAATCAACTGGTAATGGAAAGTGAAATCGAAATGAAATAGAAATTGCAAAAATAACTAGGTAAATTGGGTGGGCATGCAAAAATATCATATACTATATAATTAAGCAATTGAATTTATTGGGTTTGATGAATGCGCTTCTGAATCATTTTTCATATTATATTTTTGAGGAAAGTTAATTTCGTTTTCTGTATTGCATAGTGCTGTAATCATCCAAACAATCAATGTGGCAGTAATGAATAGCACACCAAACACTCCAATTACATTACTGTCATCCATTCAAAAAAAAGGAAAAGAAAAACGATTAATTTCCTTTGAAAAATGATAGAATGATCTTAATGGCCATCCATTTAATAGCTGTACATTCTGCATACGAATGTTTCGACCTTTTATTCAAATCTCCTTAACTATTATAATCTTATATAAAATCGATTACAAGTCATGCATCAAAGCTCTCTTGGCCTCTCAAAATCTAAAATGGCTGATTAATTATTATTGAACTCTCATTCAACTGTTGAAATCTCTCATCGGATTGAGATTTTAAACATCATACCAAAGAAAGCCCTTTCAATTGATCATTGATGTATTACCATATATCAACTTCTAGAACGACTACTTATTTGGGAAATAAACAAATCTAATTTTGAAAAAACAATTGTAAAGATTTGTACGACTTTTTCAGCATGGGATAAAAGAGTCTCAGCTATCATATGAATGCTAAAACTCTATGTGTTGAATTTTCTGAGAGCTATCATCCGGCCAAGGTAAAGTCTCAATCAAAATTTTCAATTGAAACTAATCGTTGTTAAACTTGGATAATTAATAAGATTTGACACTGGTCATGAAACTTATTAATGGAACTAATTTACATATGCAATAGCACAAATTAGTTGCCACTTACATCAGATATATGTATACAATGCTGCTCATACCCGAATTAACTAAAAATTAATCAATAAGCAAAATCATACATGATTTTGCTATTTTCAACAAAGCTCCGTCTGTAATAGTATATTAATACTACTTTTACAATGATTAGATAAGCCAGACCTCTAAATTGAAAAATCAATTTATTATCTATTATTTTTCTATTTATCGCTGATGTGCAAGCAAAGAAATAAGATAGCACACCATCAGGCATTGATTTATACAATTTTTAGTTGAAATTTTAAATTCTGTAGTAAATCAAATATAGAAGTTAAAGATCTAGAGTTCTGCTCATGCAGAATATAAATCCATTATTTGATTATTATGAAACGATAAAACTTTTCTATCGAAAATAAAATAAAAAATTGAATTAAAATTTCAATATCATCTAGCGTGAAAAACGAGACATTGCCTGAAGAAGGAAAGATCGAACAAGAAGCAAAGCAACAAGAAGAAACCAAACCAGTCGAAAATGAGAAAAAAGATAATGAGCAAAAGAATATTCCGAAAAAGGAAGCTCCTTCTTCTGAGATTATCAAGAATGTTGCTAAGTTTTTCATTAAGAACTTATTGCTCGGTTCACCCCTCTATTTTGCCAAGAAATTCTTGCATAAAGGCGCTGTAAGATCTGGATTTATTGTTAGGCCGAAGTTTTAGCTCACAACATTGAATCTTATTGCATTTGTTTTAGGTGGAGATGTGTCCCACTTTGTAATGAAGAAGTTGGAGTTTTTCCGCAACCTTAATCAAGATCTTCCATTTATCTACTCAGCATTGCATGGTCCTGTACACTTATTCTTCATGCTTTTCCATTCCTTTATGTGTGATCAAGAGCCCTCCAAATGGCGCTGGATGCATTGGCAATTTTATTTCCAATTTCAAAGTCAGCTTTTTCCAGTTCCTTGTTCGTGGATTCTTTGATTCCATCTTTTCAATATTCGCGAACAATAATCTTAAAACTAATAACGCAATTGCTGATTTGATTGTTAGCCAAGAAATTGCTGCAGATTCAGCTTTTGTCTCCTGCATTTGCTCATATCCATTCCAGAAATTGCTGTGCGGTGAAACATTCAATCTTTCAAGAGTCAGAGCTATTGATTCTGCTGAAACTATGAGAATTATAGTCATCTTTGGAGCAATCATCTCCAAGTTTATTTGAAAATAAAGGAATTATTATTTTGCGAATACTATTTGATATTTTTACACTAATAACAACTTCATATTTTAATTTACATGTAAAAAATTCCAGTATTACTTATGAAACAAAACATTTAGTCTATAGAGAAATTATATTTCTATTCTTGCGATCATATTCTATGTGTGCATAAAACAATGGAAATGAATTATTGTTTTAAGAAGAGTCATAGCTTTGTTTTAACTGTATACTCCATTGGAACAAAAATTTCCGATGAAAGTAATCTCGATATGGATAATCTCAAACTCGATATTTTTGAATTTGATTATAATATCAAAATTGATATATATTTAGTACAGCTTATTATTTCTCGGTTTAAAATTATAAGGAAATGACAAATAAACCACAATTGAAAAAATCGAAGATCGCTCTAACCTATTATATCAAATTAACTAGATAAAAATATTCATCAACCTAAGGGGATTATTATTTTGAAAGGATGCCTGATTTATCCAAGATAAAATGCATTATGGTAATTGAATACATTACAAAAAAATTCATGTCAAATTGAGATAAAAAAAATATTTTCAGGATGACTGAAATTAATAATGCTCCTACCTCCGATCAAATTGATAAAGAAAAAGTAAGCGAAACTGAAACTAATCATGAAAATGTATCTGATGAAAAGACCGTTACCACTGAAATTATCAAAGTTCCTAAAACTAAAGCTGAGCCGTTAGCTGATTATTCTCTTATTTCGATAAAATACCCTTCAGTGAATCAGTTTTCACTAGATAAAGAAGTACCAGAGATCAATTTACTTGGAAATCAAGCGACCATCCAAACAATTGCAGCAAAAACTGAAGAAAAATCTGTTAAGTTGCAAGGAGATACTACAACACCAGCAACTCCACCGAATGCATCTGAATCTGAAGATGCTAAAAAGAGAAGGCGTTCAAGTAATACACTCAAGATCGGTCCTAACGTTCCTTTTGATGACGTAATTACCAACCCAGGACTTATACGTGTTTTTAATACCGAACATGCTGGATTACTCATTTATTTATCAACAAGAATTAATCAATTGATTGACGCATGTTTTCATACTCAGCTTAATAGTGTTATTTCATCGAACGCTTACTTAATACTCAGCTCTCAGAAGAAAACAATCATATCTGCGTTTCTTCAAGCAGATTCATTTCAATCAATTGGCGCTGAGCTGTTTATTCCCGAAGAATTGGATTACCCAAATGTTGGAAGGTTTACTGGTATTATTTCTGGAATCATCGATAATTATCCAGATAAAATCATTGATAAACTCGGATTCTTGCCTCGCTTAGTTCATCATTGCTACTTCCCAAACGTTGCATCTTTACTCTTCAAACTGGTCAAAGATACTCCTCAAATGAAAAATGTTCATAAATACCTCAATAACTTTGGCTTGCATGAGATGATTATACGAGAAATGGAGTCATTTAAGCATGTTGATTACAAGACAGACTTGGAATACTTCAAAAGCCGTGCTGTTTACAGAATGGCAAATTTATTCCATTTAATTTCACTTGCAAGTCAAGTTAAAACACTTGAAAAGCATTACAAAACAGTTTACTTCCTATCACAATGTGAGAAAACGTTCCATCCAAAAGAATTTATGATTGATGACGAAAAATGGACTTTAATCTTATCTCTTACAAGTGACAACTATGCTGATAACCTTTCAAACTTCATTTTATCAGCAGTTGAAGTCCTCAAAACAGCTTCAAATGAGAAATTCCATCAATCTAGTTATTTTGCTTTATTATTTTTATCCCAAATGCTCAGATTCAACAAGCATACATCAGAATTACTTATTGAATTTGGATTTGTCCCACTGTTATTGAAATTAATGTTCAAATATTCATATAACAATTATTTTGTTGAAGCATTTCGTAAATTCATACTCTTGTCATTGAAGTATGAACTATTAATTAAGCAAATCATTCAATTAGTCCTTCCTGCGCTTCTGGCCTTTGCAAATGACCCAAGAGAGGTAAATCTTACAGCTTCCATCCATTACTTGGTACAAGTCTTCGAAAAGAACAAGAAAGAATACAAATATCTTGGAAAAGAACTCAAAAATTTGCCTGATTATGACGAGTATTTGAATAATGAGTACAAAGTCAAATTGAAACTATATGACAGCAACTATGGCGAATCCTATAAAGGCCAACTTAAAGATTTACTCGGAGAATAATATGTTTTTGTTTATTTTTTTACTATCAATAAAGTATTTCTATTCTTATTACTATAGTTTTTGATTCCTATGCAAAAGAAATCAACAATATATAGGGCGCCTGTACTGTATCTCATTGACATTTTGCAATTATCATCTGAACATTACAATTTATTATGGTTAATTCTAGAAAAATTTAAAAGTATTTGTGCTACACTGTTTTACAATAAGATTTTCAAAGTAAATTAGAAAATAAAGTCTGTTCAAAATACGATAGTGTTACCCGCCATAATCAAATATTTGAAAAATGATTTGGTTTTTGGTAATGGGGAATTTTTAAAGATTTATGGTCTATACAGGTATGAATGTATTTTTTAATACTTTGCCATTCAAATGAACAGCAAATTTACATTATTCAGAAAAAGTGATAGCTCTTAATTTCCAAAATCTTCAGAATTGATTTTTAAATTAAAATCACACCTAATGATAACAATATTAGTTTTTTGAATTATATCAAAAAATTCAGTGACTTCCTTCAAATATATTTTCGCAATTTGATAAAACCATAATTATTAAAATTTAATGAAGAATATCGTTTCACATGTCATTACTGGGTATTTAGAGACCCTAATACAACCTCTAAAGAACAATCAGCTCAATATTGACATATGGAACGGAAAACTTAAGATGGAAAACCTTGTTTTCAGAGAAGATGGTTTATTCAACCTTGGATTTCCATTGAAAATCATCCATGGTACGGCAACGGAAATAAAAGCCGATTTTTCATGGAACAAGCTTGAAACCGAACCAGTCATTGCCAGTATAAAGGACGTTTTCCTTTTAACCGAATTAGATTGGCAGAATTTTGAGCAGAGACAACCTATTTTGAAGTCGGATAAGCTTAATATCAAGTCCGCTGAGAGCGAAAAGGAGAAAATCCAAACGATTCAGGCTTTTCTTGACTTTACAAATAAAATAATCGGAACAATACAGATGAATGTCGAAAACATTCATGTCATTATGCAAATACCACTTGTTGATCAGAAGGTTTTCGTTGGATTTACAATGAATTCGTTGAAAATTGAAAATAACGAAAAATCAACTTTGAAAAATATACTGAAAGACATCAAATTCAACGCGATTTCGATATACATGGATCCAACACCACATGTATTTGACCTCGAGAAGTTCCAAGAAGAGATGAAAGACCAATTAAACATGAATAATCACGAAATTATATTTGAATTACCACTTTTTGAGACATCTTTCTTCAGATCCAAGGAGAAGAACGTTACTCACAACAACATTTTCGATATAAAGTTCAACGAAATTGACTTTGGACTGACAATTCCACAATTAAGGTCAATTATACAAGTTTCAAGGGCATTTCAACAGCACATTAAACGTAGAACATATAGATTACTCATGCCGCCATCAGATTCCGAAGATTTCGGAAAACAATTTGGACATATTACGAAATTTGCATCTTATAACAATTCCAGGATGAAATTCAATGTTGGACAAGCACTCGAATTCCTAAAGAACCGCTCCAAGTACTACAAACTCTATTCAGAAGACATGATTAAAGGAAAAATCTCAAAACAGTTTTCAAAGTTCTCAGAAAAAGTAAATGATGAGACAAGAGTGTTACTTTACAACTATTCACTGGCCAAATATAAACTTGACAACAAAAATTACGATTATAAACTGAAAGATGACGAATCAATGAATTTCATGGGCAACTATGCCTCGATCTTGGATTCTTTCAATGTCATAGAGTTCCATTTCGCTGCAAAACGTGTTGTTACCTATCTAAAAGATGCAGATAAAATTATAAGATTTTCAACTATCGCGGAAAGCGTCAAAACCAACTTAATCTATACTAAGCAGCTCCAGAAAGTGTCATTCTCCATAGGCGCGTTCTCTTTGTTCCATGAAAACCTGAATTTTATTTCTGGAATCGGAAGAGGTTCTTCAAAGTTCCTTACAGCAGCTTCTGACTTCGTATTGAACATGATTAAGGCAAATGCCGACTTCGGAATCATCGAAATCCGTCATGTTGAGCCTTTCATTGAACAATTTATGCCATTTATCACTGGAATGTCCGGAGCCATCCCAAAGACGAAGATAAAATTCAGAACACTCGCTTAGCCGCTCAAAGATCTCTATAATATCAAGCTTCCTGACATTTCAATTTCATTATCGAATTTGGACATAATTATTTACTCCCAGATGCATTCTTTCAACTTCTGTCTCGACCAGATGAACTTCTCCAACGCTTACGAGAAGAGAAAGAAGGAAAATGTCCACATTCAGTTGAATATCAAATCTCATTGTCTTTTTGACAAGAAACAATTCCTCGACAACCTTGTTTTCGATACAAATATCGTATCAACATACAACAATACCTCGGAATTGTTCGATTTCAAGGCAAAAGGACAGATTTCGGATATTAAACTTTACATTAACCCTGATTTCATCTTTATTATCAACTCCTTCCTCCCAACCATCATGAAAATCATCACAAACGAGGAGTTCATTAAGTCATTTCGAAGATTTGTCCAAACAATCAAGAAATTACTTAATTTCAAACGAGAAACAAGCTTCAAACTTACTTATGGAACAATACAAACAGTTATTGGTGATGAAAACCTCGGTTTCGGATTCAATGCTTCATTGACACCTTTTGTCATTAAAGAATCCCCTGAAACAGGTCATATTGTTAAGTTTGGAATGAAAAATGTTGATTTATATTCATTGTTGAACTTAACTGAGAAATCTTATACAAAAATTGAGTCAATTAAGACCAAATTCACCAAGAACCTCAATATTATACAATCAAAGAACATTACTGGTAATTTATCTCTAAGAATCTATGATTTGGTCCGTCCAATTTTGGAAACTATTGATGAACTCCGTAAAATTGGAAAAGTGCCACTCGGATTTCCAGATAACAAGTATATGTGTAAGGTTGAGAACATTGACGTGAATTTCCTCGATTACGGACACGAAAATGTAATTTTTGATATAAAAATACCAAAAATTTCAATGAATTTGGCCGGATACACACGAGCATTGGCTATTCATGTCCCTTCAATTGTTTCCAACCAAGGAGAGAAGAATATTTTTGAGATATCAGAGTTATTATTCGCATATCGAATGAATGAGTCGCTGAAAAGTGTCGAAATGAAGACAAAGGACTTCTACTACAAACTCCTGAAGGAACAGATCCTCGAACCATACGAAGAAGTCGACATAAACATTCCATTGTTCAAAATCAGTTACGACACACTGAATTTCCACTTCGACAAAGACTTCATTCCTCTCATTATGAACAACTTGCAGCCTCTCAAGAAGTACATAAAGAAAATTGATGATATCCCTGCAATCATCAACGAAATCTCCCAAAACATCCAACAAAACTCTCAAAACAACTTGGAAAAACCTAGGGCTGTACAAGATTTAAAAAAACATTGCCGGGTTACCGTAGAGGCCTAAAAAAATCGCGCCTCGGCGGCAAGCCGCCTCGGCATTAAGAATGCGCATCTAAATTTTTATATGTCCTTCTTTCTTTTATTTTTCCCTTCCCTTCCTTTTCTTTTTCTTTTTTTCCCTCCTCTTGCTCTCATTTACCTTTTTTTTCCTTTTCTCATCATTTTTCAAAATTTAAAATTTTTATCAAAAATCTTGCCTATAAAAGCAGATTATGGAACCTTTTAATGCCTCTTAATCAATATTATACAGCATAAAGCATATTAAATGAAAGTAATTACGTATAAATTTATTTTATTATCTTATTTATTAATTCTTTAGCATGTATTGTTTAATATTAACTTTTCTGTACATTAAATATGATATCTCCAAAGTATGAATGCCTTGTAACGAAACGAAAACTTAATTTTATGTTGAATATTTGTCACAAACATTAGATTATTAAAATATATGTTGGATATCCCTTAGTATGAGACTTCATGACTCTTGTTGTCTAACGTGAGCTTTGGATTGCAAGCTTGCTACAGCACATAAGTATTCTGTGGTTAAAAAAACCACATGAGCTTTAAAAACTATAAAACCAAAAATAATTGTTATAATTGAAATGAAGAAGTAATTTAAAACGATTTTATTTATGATCAAATTTTATATATTTTTTTGGATCAAATCCATTTTAATAGAATTTATATACTATTCATCTATTAGTAAACACTACCGTATATTATTTTTTAAGCTATCTTATTTTTTGAAGTTTTATTCAAATCTTTGGTCGCAAGAAGAATTGCATGATAAATAAAAGCATTTAATCAAAGTCGATTTTATTTTTCATATTCAAATGGACTGAGTGTTAACATTTAACATTTTTTGCTAATTGTCGTCAAAAATTAGGCGTAAAGCAAAAATTGATATTTCATATGGTTTTATGATAGATAAGCATTATATTCCCACTCATTATATTCGTAAATTTTGAGGGTTATCCTTCGCTTTTAAGATCATTGAATTTGATTTTTAGATAAAATAGTTATATATTAGAAAATAATATGAGTTTATATGATATTATTTTTCAGAAGATTTCATTCTATATGCCTATGAAAAGTACTCTCAAAACTAACTTTTTCCTAATTATAATTAAATCTAGAATATTGTATTATGCTTAGTATTATTTCATTTTTCTCATTCAATTTAGAATTTACAAATGTCAAAAAATTGAGAGCTGTCACTTTTGATGAATTTCTGTTTATTACAGCATTGTTATTAATAATGAAAAATAAAGCTTATTTCAATGAAAATTGTTCTGCAAATTTATTTCACTTTTGACCTCACTTTTTCCATAATTCAATTTTTTACTTTTAATATTTTAGATCTTCATAATATCCTTTGAAAAATTAACCATATAAAAAAATCAAGTTATCAATTCACTTTTTCCGTAATTCAGAAATCAAAAATATAATAATAATATTCTTTTTATCAAATATTATTATTATATTCTATGAAAAATGAGGTCCGGAAATTTTGCGGATTCCCGTAACTCAATTTTACGGAAAAAGTACAGTAAACTATTCAAAATACGGAAAAATTGGTGTAAACTAATGATTTTACGGTAAAATCACGGAAAGTCCCGGAAGAATATATGTGCCTATATGAAATTATACAAAAATGAATCAAACGCATTTTAAAAGATTGTTCTTGTATTATAAATGCTATTCGCAGATTTATTAGTTGAAGAAAATTACCAAATTTTTGCCGATTTACAAAAAATGATTTACAAAGCATATTTTTATAAGGCTTTAAAAATCTTTAAAATGTGACCGGTGACGGAAATCCATGGTAACCAACCGCGGTTCCCGTTTGGAATGCCATAGAAAAACCTGAAATTTCTGATTCAAACCAACGAAAATCCGAAATTTCTGATTCAAACCAAATAATTTTGAGAAAACAGAAAATCCAGATCAAAAACAAGAAGATAAAATAGTAGACAATAAAGATAAATCAGAATCTGAGAAGAATTCTGAAGATTTACAAAATTCAGATCTGAAATCTGACAAAAACTCAACAGAAACCCAAAACAAAGACCAATTAACAGAAGATAAATCAAATAAATCTGAATTGATTGATTTGGTAAATGACAAAGTCAAAAATGAAGTGAAGTGTTATTTAGAGATTGAAATGGACACAACAACAGTAAATATTCCAGAAATCAAAGCCACTTTCACATTGGAAGATTTCGATCTGAAAATTGCGATGAGAGACAAAATTTCTGCAGAAGGAAAACTGAAAACAGTTGACATTTCCCAGGAAGATTTCAATGGAAAGATTTTGTCATATGATTCACTTGATAATTTCCTAACAATAAAAACAGATGAAAACTTCAAAATTGTCGCAAAATACGCTAAACTTAAAACGGTTTTGTCACCTTTATGTTTAGCCTTAATTATCAATTACTTCTATTCTATAGTTATACCAAGGATTAAACTACCTGACTTAGCACTAAGTCATTCGAAGAAATCCTTGCAATTACCTGATTATAACTTCAAATTGGAAATGGAAGAATTGAAAATAATTTTGCCACAAAAAAGTGACAACAAACTTAATGGCAATTATTTGGCATTTTATATCAATTCGACAACGAATTTGAAGCCTCACAAAGTCAATTTCGATTTCAATCTCAAAAATATGAGATTCGAAAACGATAAAACTTTGTCACTTTTCCCTTCAATTCTTGACACTTTTTCATTTTTTGCCAACATGAATTTAGATGATTTTTCGATCAAATGTGGTACAAACAATATTAGTAATATAGAACTCACACCTGAGAACTTAAATTGTTTGTTTGAAATGTCAAATAATTTGAAAGAAATGATTACAGAGACAAATCATTATTTCAATGAAATTCCCAACTATGATTTACTTAGTTCCTTGAAATCTATGCCGATTGTTTCTTTGGAACTCAAGCCAATTAATATTTCTCTTTGTACATCAAATAGAAATTTGTCATGTAATGTTCCATTTTTGACATTCAGAATTTTAGAAACAAATGTACAAACAGCGTGTATTTCTGAAAGGAATGAATATGCTTATGCTATTTCTAGTTCTTTCGATTGCGAATCACAGTTTGTTTCTCAAGTTTTGAATCCAATACAAGCAACATCAACAATTGTTGTTTTGACAGATCCAAGACCAGTCAAAATCGATTTTTCGTTTGTAGAAGCTGATCCAATTCACTTGTGTGTAAATGAAAGATTGTTGAGAGCGATTACTTCATTTAAAGTTGAAGGAACTCTCGCAAACAAAACTAAGAAAGGACATAAATTTGTTGTAATTAATAATACAAATGAAAAAATTACAATTATTTCTCGTAAAAAAGTTGAAATTGTTGAAGAAAAATCTCTTGAAGAAAAAGTTGCTGATGTACACACAAGAATGAACAAAGAACTCAAAGAAAAATTCGCAAAACTCAAGAAACAAAAAGACAAAAATGCCAAGAAACAAAAACACAATAATTCTAAATATTCTGAAAATGAAAAAATTGAAAAAGTGACAAATGAAAAATCTCAAAATTCTGAAAAATCTCAAAATGAAAAACTTCAAAATGAAAAGTCTCAAAATCCTGAAAAATCTCAATATGAAAATTCTAAAAATTCTGAAAAAGTTAATGATGAAAAAGTAACAGATTCTGAAAATGAAGTTGAAGAAATTGATCCGAATGAGAAATTCATGGAAAAGAATACAACAGGAGATTTTGTTGTTGATTTGATGAACAGCGAGTATTGCAGAGTTTTGGATGATAAAATAGATATATTAGTTAAAGGAAAGAAGTTCGAAATTGAGCCAAAAGATGTATTATATCCTTTATGTCTTTCAAATGATGTTATTTTGTCAAGAAAATTCAAGAAAGGACAAGATATTTTACAGATTTATTCACCTGTTTCTGTATTCAACAGATTACAATTTTCTGTCCACATTTACGACGACAAAAACAATTTCCACCAAGAACTACTTCCAAAGAAAATTGTTCCTATCAACAATGGACATTATTTCATCAACAATGTCCAGCAGAAAACGAAACAAACATTGGTTGTTGAATCAAAATATTCTGTCAAAAATATTTCTCTTTCAAACGGAAAGTTTATTCAAGCGACAACTCGCTTAAGAAGAAAGAGAGGTGTTGTATTTGTAGAACTATCTGAAAACATACTTTTGTATAATTTCATTCCATTTGATATGACATTTTCTGTCAATTCTGTAGTTTACAATGTCAAAAAAATTGAAAAAGTTCCAATATTTAACATTGACCCGAAACAAAACTATTTCTCAATGAGCTGCAGTTTGCAAACAGTCAAACCACCACAAGAAACAAATTGTTCATTAGTTAAACCTGATGGACAATTTGTTAAATCAGATTTCGGATCCCAAAGTTTGTTGACTCTTTCAAATCTAAATATTTTTGAAAACAAAATAATCGTGTTTGTAAATTCAATAGTTTACAATCAATCACAACATACATTGAAGATTGACAACCAATTCTTGAAACCAGGTGAATCAGTTATTTTATCATCATCCGATGTGAATCTTTCCATTGACACATTGACGAAACAGACAAAAATAGAACTGAATTCAGAAAACGCCGGAGTTTCTAAAGACATTTTCTTGAAGACTTTGATTGATGAGAAAATGACAATTCCTATTCATTGCCATATAAAGAGATTAGTCAACAAATTCAATCTCTCTGTAATTGTTACTTTATCTGACTCAATTTTGGTCGAAAACAATCTCTAAGAAAAATTATTGTTATATCCGAAATTTGACATCAAAAGTGACATCATTGATTCTAGTTCATTTACTCTCAAAGAGAATTCTAAAACAATTTTGACATTTGCACCAGAAAACTACAAATTCTTGTTGGGAGAGCAAAAAACAGAAATATCTTTGGAGTCAAATTGCAACAAAATATTTAGATATAATGATAAATACATAAGATTTGAAATAATCGACCAAACCGTTGTCAAAAAGTGACATTTACTGAAGTCAAAGAAGCACCAATTTTAGTTCGAAATGATATCAATGTTCCTATCTATGTTAATGATATAAATTTGGTAGAACCTGAAAAAGAAATTGGTTTTGCTTTCACTTCACCTCACTCCGACCAAATACTTCAAATCAAACTTTTAGATTTTGAGTTCAAATTTAGTTTGATTGAACCAATTCGAAGTTCTTCATTGAAACAAGTCATTGACGGCAGGATTGTCTTCTTTAATATGATCTATTTGAAGACAGGACAGTTGTTGATTGATTTCAATTACGAAGAAATTAATTCTGTACCTGATTTCCTTCTAACCGCCAATGTAAACATCACAAAAATTGATGTTTCATTTTTGAACAAGAAGAACAGAGAAATATTAGTTTTAGTGTTAGAAAAGTTTGATTTATCTGTCAATTTCGATCAGACATTTGTTTCTTCTTGCTGAAATTTGTATTCTTTGAGTTTAGAAGATCAAAATCCAACAGCAGAAAATCCAATAATTTTCTACAACCAAAATGAAAATTTGTTGAATGTGAACATGATATTTAGATATGATATATTCTTATCTAAAATCATTCCGTTCATTTCCATTCAATTGCAGCCACTTCACTTCAATTTGAATGATTCTTTGGTTTGTGATATTTACAATTACTTTACAACTATTCAAAAAACAAGAAACACTTCAATTGAATGCGAAAAACAAAATGAAAGGAAATCTTCTGTTGAATTAAGTCTTCCATGGATAGAAGTACATCCTATCGAGTTGCAGCTCAACTACAATAAAGACAAGAAGAGAAAATCATTCTATAACAATTGTAGTTTGAATTTGTCGAAGATTCCATTTTTCGGAAACAAAAAATTGACTTTTCCTGGATTTTTCGTGTCCCATTATTTCGGATCATTGCAGCCTTTGATGAAAGAATTAAGTCATGATTACATTGACAATGGAATTGATTTTGCTTTGAAACAATTCGGTTTCTTGTCGAAGATCTTTAATTTCTTCGGAATTAATGGTTACGTCAGATCTGTTTTGAACTTGAAACAACTTGAATATAAGAAATTGACCGAAATCAACACGAAAATCAATGACGTCGCATTATCAAATCATGAGTTATTACATGGTGTGTTCAACCAATTCTTTATTGACGCAATTTCTCGCGCAATTTTGTTGGTTGGAGTCAAACAAACTTATTTGATGCAGGCAGTGAATTCTGAGATAAATGATTTCAACGTGAGAATGGTTAAAAAAGATGTTTTGAAAGATACGATTATTTGTAAAGTGTCGAATCAATTGAACGAAAACAAACAGATTAAAATAGGTTTGAGACATAGAACTCCTATTTTGATTATATCGAATTACTTGAAGAACTACAATGATAACGAAAGAGCTCTTCAGAAAATACTTTGTAATGGAAACATTGCTGCTATTTTCATAATTGAAAACAGTAGAAATATTTCAACAAATTATTTCTGTATTGCTAATGATGTTATTTTTGTTTTTGACAGAAAAATGACTTTGGCTGCAAAGATTCCAATTAGTCAGATCAAATCTTTGTTAGAAAACACTTTGACTTTGTTCACTTCAAAAGAACCAATTGTTTTCTCAAATGAATTAAGTCAAGCTGTCAAATTATTTATCTCAACAAAAACTGATTTGGCTGAAAATTAACTTTTTTTATATTTTGTATAAATAAAAAATTATTTACTTTCACTAACTATATATGTCTTTTGATATCTGTAAGTGTGTATGTTCAATAATGAACTAAAACTCAGAACTTATATTGTAATGTAGCACATTTTTCTGGGTCCAGGAAAATATGACGGGTCTTGGCGGTTTTTAATTCAATTTTTGAAGAGTATGTTTGATTTTGATAAGAGAACGATATAAAACCAATTGTAAATTATGTAGACTATTCAAAATTCCCCAAAAATTCATCATTTGCAATATTTCAAATATAAGTGTTTCTATGGACAACTATTTTAAATAATACCCAGGACCCTCAAGAAAATGTGGGACCTAAAAAATGTGCAACGTTATGGATTATAATTTTTATGAATTCCTTCAAAAATAAGAACAGAAAATATGTTTTCTCCAAAAAAATTATATATATGCACCATATTCAAGTGAAATTGAGTATTTTTGTATAAAAACAATGAGATTGTTTTGCTTATTTCCATTTTATGTGAGAAAATGATAATTATGCAAGTTATTTTAGATTTGATTCATTAGTATGTGTATATCTGTATTGTTGTTAGCTTAAAATTATCACTTTGGATTGATGATTAGCCCAATTTTTGTTAATTTACTGATTTGGTATTTCTTAAATGAAGATTGGGCTTCAAACATTGTGTTTACTTTAATTAACTCAATCGGCATGAGATCAGCTTTCGGTTTCAAAAATTTTCAAAAATCATTTTAAATTACTCTCATTCAATCTAAAATAACTATTATCCTGAACTTAAAATGTTTTTCTAGTTGAATTATCTTTATATTTGTTCAATATTCTTGAGTAAATAAATTGAGAATTACATGTCTATATTATTATATAAAAATAGCCAGGCCATATCAATGCACTCTTCTTTTTATGTCAGCTCTATCGATCGATCCCTCAAAAGTTGCAGTTTTTGAAAAACATCAAATTTGTTGTTTTTCTAGTTGAAATTCAAAATATTTTAAAAAGTATGATTTTAAGAGTCTACGTTATTTAAATAATCAGATCAATGAAATTTTAGAAATTCGAACTCAAAATTCAGCAAGATAAAATATTTTGGAAGTTATCATTGTTGTAAACAGAAATTCATCAAAAGTGACACCTCAGAAAAGCTAAAATATTGAATTTTTGGAACTTTTGATAGAGCACGTTTTTAAATATTAATTAAAGTAAATGTATATTTTGTAAAGATTCTTTTTAATAAAAAAATAAAATTTTGAAGAAGAACACAAAATCTTCTGAAAAATAATATCACATAAACTCATATTATTTTCTAATATATAACTATTTTATCTAAAAATCAAATTCAATGATCTTAAAAGCGAAGGATAACCCTCAAAATTTACGAATATAATGAGTGGGAATATAATGCTTATCTATCATAAAACCATATGAAATATCAATTTTTGCTTTACGCCTAATTTTTGACGACAATTAGCAAAAAATGTTAAATGTTAACACTCAGTCCATTTGAATATGAAAAATAAAATTGACTTTGATTAAATGTTTTTATTTATCATGCAATTCTTCTTGCGACCAAAGATTTGAATAAAATTTCAAAAAATAAGATAGCTTAAAAAATAATATACGGTAGTGTTTACTAATAGATGAATAGTATATAAATTCTATTAAAATGGATTTGATCCAAAAAAATATAAAATCAAAAATAATTGTTATAATTTAAGGGTCCACTGTAAAAATTGAAAGTCTCCCAAAATTGAGAGGCGATTTGCAAATAATCGTTATCGTCATTTTTCGAAAATCCACTTTTCCTAGTGTTCTGATTAATATTATGTGAATACAACAATGAAGCATATGTTTCAATAAGATGGTAATATATTCTATCACTTCAAATCTCATAAAAATTGCAAAATCGGTGAGTTTTATAAGAACATGATTTTTTCGAATTTTTTCGCTTTTGGATGCGTGTTTTGAAAATAGATATTTTCGAATTTTAATTTTATCTTAAGTATAAGTTTTATATTAGGAATTTTTTGACCTATTTCCAATCATTAATTCCAATGTTTTTCAAGGAATTTAATTGAGAAAAAATTAGGAATTTCGCTTTAATGCCATTACAAACTAATATTATGATGCATAATATATATATTTATTGAGGCTAATGCCGGGATATCTTGCATTTAAAAAAAATTCAAAGAATTGACAATTGGATAGCACAAATTTAATTCCCTGGACAAAGTATTATTGTTTATATATTCAAACCATTATCCTTAGTTTAGATATGTTGGCCAAAAATTTTCGTGTTATTTTTTGTGTTTAAGCATAAATTATGTATTTACTTATGAAAAATAAGCATTTATTCATTATCATAAAGATATACCATAACAATTGATAAAATTTTTTTAAAAAAAATTGTGTATTTTAGTGGGTATTATTCTGGATAATGCCAATTTTTACAAGATTTAATATTAACCATATCAATAGCCGACTCAATGTAAAAATTTAGATATTATTTTTTCATTAATCAAACTTTGATAAATTTTAGTATAATGAACGATTTTGTTTCGTGTATGATACAGAAATGAAAAGCTTAATTAATATCATTTTGCATTTTTTAAAGGATGTTAGAGTACATCTACATTAAAAAATCAGATTTGAACTGCGATACTGCATCAAATTGTTGCACATCTGATAAGGATCTCAAAAGAGTAAAGTTAATTTTTTTGTGTTTTTTTAAGTTTTGGGCCTTAGTAAAACACCATCTCGAGCAATATTTTTGGGACGACGATAGACCTTATTTGGCCTTACAGTGGACCCTTAAATGAAGAAGTAATTTAAAACGATTTTATTTATGATCAAATTTTATATATTTTTTTGGATCAAATCCATTTTAATAGAATTTATATACTATTCATCTATTAGTAAACACTACCGTATATTATTTTTTAAGCTATCTTATTTTTTGAAGTTTTATTCAAATCTTTGGTCGCAAGAAGAATTGCATGATAAATAAAAACATTTAATCAAAGTCAATTTTATTTTTCATATTCAAATGGACTGAGTGTTAACATTTAACATTTTTTGCTAATTGTCGTCAAAAAATTAGGCGTAAAGCAAAAATTGATATTTCATATGGTTTTATGATAGATAAGCATTATATTCCCACTCATTATATTCGTAAATTTTGAGGGTTATCCTTCGCTTTTAAGATCATTGAATTTGATTTTTAGATAAAATAGTTATATATTAGAAAATAATATGAGTTTATATGATATTATTTTTCAGAAGATTTCATTCTATATGCCTATGAAAAGTACTCTCAAAACTAACTTTTTCCTAATTATAATTAAATCTAGAATATTGTATTATGCTTAGTATTATTTCATTTTTCTCATTCAATTTAGAATTTACAAATGTCAAAAAATTGAGAGCTGCCACTTTTGATGAATTTCTGTTTATTACATCATTGCACTTGTTTGTAGCCCCTGAATGTAATATATAAATATTATTTTAAATAATTGTCACCCAAATAAATTTTATTGGACGATGTAATTTTCGAGGTTTCGATTAAGCCGGGGATAGACATTCTTTTGCTGAAATCGTAAAAGGCACGTTATTTTATGTGTTTGATAAACTTGATTGTTTTATTCAAAATTTTATAATTGAATACTCTCCCAATTTTGTTTGAATCCTGACCAAATTTTTTATCAAAAATGTTGCGTATGATTTTACGCCAATGATGATATCATCTATAATCATTAAAGATAAAAGATAATTGAAAGGAATAAATTGAGAGAAATTCGTTTTACCACAGAATTGCCAAATTACTTCGTTTCGAATCATAATAAAATAATAAGCGGCATTCATTAGTGGTTTTTAGCAGAAAATGTACTTTTGAGAACTTCTCTCAAAAATGATTTTAATATGATTTTAATGTTTTTTCTTGCAATTAATATTCCTTGGGCCTGTGTCGCAACGACACAGAAATACACACTACCAGCAGGTCTCTACTATGTAGAAATTCAAGGAGCCAATGGTGGTATGTCATGCAGGAAAAAAGAAACACGAGTTAATGGTGGAAATGGTGCAAAAATATCCGCTAATCTTCGAATTAAAGGTACAAAAACAGTCCAGTTCTTGGTAGGACAAATGCCACATTCAACTTGTAGAGCTGTCTGTCCAGGCGGCTATCCAGGTGGTGGAGCCGGTGGAAAAGATAAGCTCTCTGGTGTTAATGGCTACGATTATTCAGGTGGTGGTGGTGGCTATACAGAGCTAAGCCTCGCTGGTACCTCTGCTACTATATTACTAGCTGGTGGTGGTTCTGGAGGCGCCAGCTATCAAATTTGTGGCTTCGGAGGCGGAGTTGGTTATTTTGGTGGCCTGGATGGCAAAAACTCGTTCATTACTAAGAGTGATTCAGGATATACTTCTAGAAATGGCGGAGAAGGCGAAAATTCTTACTATACTCCAGGATCTGGTGGTGGTGGAGGGTGGAGAGGAGGCCCTGGAGGTGATTGGGCTGATACTTCTGACTGGAAAGCTTGTGGTTATGGTGGGTCATCCTACTATAACACTACTATGGGCGATGAGAATTGGTTTGATTCTACTCCAACAGTGACAGATGGAAGACACACCTCATATACAGGAGATGGATGTTTTAGGATCTATACTCAATACGAATGCGTTGCTAATTGTTATAATTGTGATAATGATAAAACTTGTTTGAAATGCAATTCTGGAACCAAATCTTATAATGGCCTTTGCTATACTTCTTGTTCTCAAACCCCTGTTGCAACATATGATACTGGAAGCGGAACATGTGATGTTTGCCACAGTAGCTGCAAGACCTGCAATGGAAGATATGCCAATCAATGTACTTCTTGCAAATCAGGTCAAGTTATTTGGAACGGACAATGTGTACCTGAAAGAACAGTATCTCCATCGCCTTCTGCTTCATTTGCTATGACTCCACAGTTTACAAATTCAGAAACTCCTCTCAACACACCTGAATTAACTCCAGAATATACACCAAATGACACTCCTGTTTTCACTGAGTTTGAAACGCCTTCAATTACTGCTGTAGAAACACCTCTAGTAACTCCAGAATTGACTGCATCAAATACACCATATGATACACCATCTTATACAGCAATGGAAACACCAATCGAAACACTTTCTTCAACACAGAGTATTACTCCTATTGAAACACCTTATAATACCTTACAATATACAGAATCTGAAACACCATTTGATACAGTTTATGAAACATTATCTCAAACTCAGATTGAAACACCATATCAAACAATGTTCGAAACTTTCTCAAATACACCATTTGAAACTGCCGTTGACACTCCATTCTCAACTGCAGTTGAAACGCCTGTTGATACAATATTTGAAACTTTCTCAAATACACCATTCGAAACTGCCGTTGACACTCCATTCTCAACTGTAGTTGAAACGCCTGTTGATACAGTATATGAAACTTTCTCAAATACACCATTCGAAACTGCTGTTGACACTCCATTCTCAACTGCAGTTGAAACGCCTGTTGATACAATATTTGAAACTTTCTCAAATACACCATTCGAAACTGCTGTTGACACTCCATTCTCAACTGCAGTTGAAACGCCTGTTGATACAATATTTGAAACTTTCTCAAATACACCATTTGAAACTGCCGTTGACACTCCATTCTCAACTGCAGTTGAAACGCCTGTTGATACAGTATATGAAACTTTCTCAAATACACCATTTGAAACAGCTTATATTACCCCTTCAATAACTGCAATGGAAACCCCTATCGAAACAGTATTTGAAACTTTCTCTACTACACCAATTGAAACTATGTTCGATACTCCTTATTATACATTCTCAGAGACTCCTGTTGAAACTGTATATAGCACTCCTTTCATTACTTCGAGTGAAACACCTTTTGAAACGCCATATGAAACTCTTTCAGAAAGTTTTATTGAGACTCCTTACCAAACAATATTTGAAACTCCAATGATTTCCAGAATCCGTTTTAATGCAGAAACACCAGAAAACACTCCATCTGAAACGGCAACTTCTCCTCAATCGAATGCAGATAATCACGATTCCATTGGTGGAAACGAAAATTCAAAAAAGAAACGAAATTATTTAATTATTGGCATTTGTGGTGGATTTATTTTCTTGGTGATTATTGTTTGCATTATTGTTTTTATTGTTGTGCACAATAAATCTAATGATGAATTAGATAAGTCTTCAACTGATTCTTCTTCATCAAAGCTTAGAACAGAAACTGTAATAACAACAAGTGCTCCTGACAATTCCGTGACCATTGATAATCCTCTATGGTCAACAACAGTTAATGAAGATTCATCTGATATTTTCAATCAAGATTTTGATGAAACACAAGACAGATATGGTATCTTTCTTTAAAAAAAACTTACCATGAAAACGCATTGCGGCATGTAAAAACTTTTTATTTTATTAAATATTACATATTTTTTGAGATATCAAATATATTCATTAATGGAATCAATATAAATTCGATGTGCATATGCGCTGACTTTAGGATTGAGTTCGAATCTGTAAGCAAATTCCATATAGATTTTCATCATAACATTTGCAAGATTTAAATGCTTTAGACAATTCTTTTCTAATATTTAAATATTAATGTTGACCAAATGTTTATCTGTTGCGAAAATTGGCAATAGGCAACTTGAATACAGATATATCTAGATTTTTGTGAATATGTTCCATAATAAAAAAAAATATCTTCATGTTTCTTGAGCGCTGTAAATCTCACTATTTGTGATATTGTCAATCACATTATTTCTAATAGTGTTTATTAATTGATCCTTAATTTGTGGTTAAGTGATATGTATTTTATTGCATTAAATCAAAAGAATAAGATAGAATTAATGAAATTGAATTTTAAAAATTAAAAAAATACTAAAAATAGTGAATTAAATATACAATAATTTTACTACATACGGTTCTTAGATACGTGTCCAATGATAGAAACATCATCATCGTCGATATCATTAATAAATTCAATTGGCTCGTCAACACTTGATCCGTCGTATCTGCCAATTAATTCTATCTTGTTTAGAGCGATGCATGGTGGCTCCGAATAGCAAGATTCGTATTGAATAAGTCTAACGTAGCGAGCTTTATGAGTTTCTGTAAATTTGTATGTTTTCTCTTTGCATCTTCTCATTTCGTAGTCTTTTTCGATGTTATGGATTGTTTTCCAGGTTTGATTGTCGTTTGAAATCTGCAAAGACCAGCTGAACAGGCAGCATTCGCAGCAATACATTCCCTCTTCATAGCAGCAGCATCTTGAACGATCTGAGCAGCAGCCTGATTTCAAATAATAGCCTGATATTTCCATAACTCTGTCTTTGACGCCAAGAATGAGCCATGGATGATCAGATTTAGATCTACCGCAGTTTGAGCACCAGTCGTAATTTTTCTCTATTTGATCAAAAGAATATTCTGGCTTAGTTTTTTGAATTGTTCCATTTATCCGCTGAGAAGAGGATCCACTTGCATAAAACTCAATTAAGTTATTTTTGTGAGCTGACTTTAGGATTGAGTTTGATTCTGTAAGCAAATTCTCGCAAATAAGAAAAGGAATCATTGCAAATAAAAAATTTTGAAAAAGTGTGTTCATACCTACTATTCTTGATTTCATACTTATTTGTTGCTTTGCTACTTGTAATGCTTTTATTATTGCTGTTTTGGAAGTTAAAGTTAGTGATATCAATGATGTGAAAACTAATTGATCTTCCAAATCACATTAGTAAAAGATATAACATCAGACAGGAATGAATTGAAGCTTTTGAATATGAATTTCAAAATAAATTTGAGAATCCTATCAAATCGAATAATTCTTGCCTTTCGGCAGGCAAGTTATCATACCTTGGAGTTGTCCTGTTAATGTCAGGAGCCGTATCCTTTGATATGCAAATTTCGCAATTCATTTGTATGGATATTGATCCACAAAAACTATAATACACCTGATCGGTTTCATGCATGATTGGTTGGCACATATTTAGGCAAAATATTTCATCCAAGCAAGAAATGCAAGAAATTGTTCCAAAATATTCCATCGATTTTATAATTAAGCAATAATATCTTGGCTACAGACTATCTTGATTGAGTTTATTGTATTATTATGGGAAAATATCGAAATCGAAGCATAAAATTTTGGAGAAGCTATTCGACAAGACGGAAACCAAAATTTTGGAAAAAAAAATAAAATTAAACATGCAATAATATGTAATTATTAAATACATTATTTAATTGTGACTTAATTATTGGACAAGAACTTTGCGACGATTATTTGGCAGAACCTTAAAGGACATTGCACAACTTTTTTATTAAATTTTGATTAAACATATTATATAGAATATAATGAAATCTCCACTTTTTGCCAAATAATCGTTGTGAATTGAGAGGATTCCGATAATGAAAATTTAATGATCATATATAATTATGAAACCATGACATTTAACACTACCCAAAAAGAAATGACTCAAAAAAACTAGACTGTTATGCTTCCAAAAAATTAATTGATGCATTTTCATAATATTTAATGCATTTAATAGCATATAAAGCTTTCATTCATGACAATAAAAATCAAATACCACAATTTCATACATGAAAAACACCGAAATTACTCAAATTTTGTTATATCCAAATTATATTTTATTTAATAATAGTGATAAATCATTGAAATTCATAAGTTAAGCTTTTTATATGTATGACATATTATATGCATATACGTCTTATTCAGATTCATCTTTGTGAGAGTCGACTAGCTTCTAATTTTGGTTCAATTTTTTTTCATATCGAACTTTTTCGGAAGAACTCTGCCCTATTCGATTAATTACAGAATCCTAGGCCTTTTGGGAACTAGGAAAGAGTAGTAAGAGTACTTTAAGGCAATGTTCATTACGAAATCTCTCATTCGATGAGAGACTTCGTAATGAACATTGCCCATTTCGAGCAAATTTACTCCCCTAACCCTCGGAGGTTAAGGGAGTAGTACTACAGTCAACGAGGGCAATAACGTATAACTAATATCGACAAAAGCACAGTAACTACGCAGCCTAGCTACGCTATCCTAGCAGCTAGGCTGCATAGTTATTGTGCTTCTGGCTTGCGTAACCCTCATGGAAGACCGATTGGAGATCTCTCGCCGAAATCACTTGCTGATATGGATGGAGCAGCACTATGATTGGCCAGATCAAAGGCTGCGTAGCATCCCAGCAAGTGGATAGTCGGCGGTGACTCCAGCTGTGGTCCACCATGAGATTATGGCACTTTTGTATTTTGGCGGGAAAAGTTTTTGCAAAAAATGAAAATGAAAATATATGACCACAATATGATGTTCCACGACCATTTTTAATTTTATAGAAATTTGATCGACAGAAATTGAGATACTGATATTTTCAAAAAGTTCGATATGAAAAAAAATTGAACCAATTTTGTTTTGAATGTGAAATGTCAACAAATTTTTTAACAAAAAAAGAATGTTAGAGTGTGAAAGCCAGAAATCTTTCATAAGAGTAGAGAGGAAAATAATGAAATAGAGCAATCGCAATATATCATTTTGGTTGCTAACATTTCATTCCTATTGTTTTTGAAGCATTGATTGTTTAAAATTGTGTTTTAATATGGAATTTCATCAAATAAGCATGCTTTGTAAAACGTTACATTTTCAAAATTGAAATTGGTTCTCAATAATATAAGTGAAATGAACCCTTCAAAAAATTGTAAATAATTGAAAATTTGAAATAAACTATTTCGGAAATTGACAAAATGTATAATTCTCCTAATTGGAACGTCATCATTCAAGTTTTGAGTTATATTTAATGAATTTTAACGTTTACACGGCATTATTGATGTTATCTTTATGTTTTAAAGATGAATCCAATCAAATCTGAATCAATCAAGATCTTTATAAAAATATTCCAACAAACAAAAGGTATTTATGCACATATTATATATTTGCTATTCATTTCTTTAAAATCATTTTAGAATAATCAATAAAGATGAAATTCTTCTATTGTTTGTAAACTTCAGAAAATAAATTATGAAAGAAAAAGTCAAAATAAATTAATGTATTTAAAGTCCTAGTTCTGCAGAATAAATGGATCATATTTTGGAACAATTCTAAAAGATTTTGAGTTTCGAATGAATGAAACCTCTTCAAGTCAAAACGAATTTAATGACTTGGAGGTTGATATAGATAACTATGAGAAAGTAAAACAAATTGGCCGAGGTGGTTCTGCGATTGTTTATCTTGCCCGAGATAAAAATTCAGATGAGCTTGTAGCATTGAAAGAATTTACAGGAACCATAACCAAGAAGTCAATTAAGATTATTAAACGAGAAATATCAACGCAAATTCAAATAGATCATCCTTTTGTTATTCATTTAATCGGATATTCGAATTTTGAACCATTTACAATAATAGAAGAATATGCGCCTCAAGGTACACTATTTAAATATCTTCATAGTAGTAGCAAATCACGTTTCCTTGATGCAACAAGAAAAACTATCATTGCAATGGGAATTGCACATGCGATGGCAATACTACACAGCCAAGGTTTTATCCACAGAGATCTCAAATCTACAAATATTCTTCTTGATAAATACTTTTATCCAAAAATTTGTGATTTTGGAATTTCCAGAGAAATAAAGAACGATGAAACTCTTACACGCAATGTTGGTGCTCCTCAATGGATGGCACCAGAAGTATTTACAAGCGGAAATTACAGTTTTCCATCAGATGTTTACTCATATGGATCATTATTATATGAAATATGCACAGGAACAACTCCTTGGGACTCAATTAGTATTTCTAAGATAGAGAAAGTTGTTACAGAAGGTCAAAGACCAAAAATTCCAAATAATTGTCCTAAATCTATCAAAAAATTAATAAAACGTTGCTGGGAAGATGATCCTGATTCACGTCCTACATTCAGTGAGATATACAAACAGTTCAAAGATCGACAAATCATTTTTGAAGGCTGTGATGATGGCGAAATCACATTTCTTGATCGAAAACTGAATCAAATTAATCAAAAAATGTTTTCAAATTCATCAAAACGAAAACAAACAGACACAAACAAACCTAAATCAATAGAAAATAAACAGAAAAAGAAAATCAATGAAAATAGCAGTAATTTTGTTGATTTGTCAGTTATTAAAAACACACGAGATTTCTTTTTCAGGGCAGAACTTAAAAAAGCATCAGAACATCTTATGAAAGTCCAATCTCGATCATTTTTCAAAGTTATCAAACAATTCATTTTAAAACCTGCCATGAAATCAGAGATGATTTGTTTATTCACATGTGTTTCACAAGTTATTCAAAATCAATTTCATTTTGAAACATTCATTTCTATGAAAATTCACGAGATCCTTCCATTTTCCAATGAATCTTTTATTGACTCATTATTAGATATTGTTTTGTTTATTTCAGAGAAAGATCCAACTATTTTAGTTGAAAATTATGAAAAACAGTTCAAAATCATTATGAAAATGCGACCATATAAACTAATTATCATCTTTTCACACATGAAAGATATTATTATTGGTTCTTCCATCGAAAATTTCATCATTCATTACTCAGATTTTTTTATCCGAACAGATTGTAGTCGTGAATTCATTTCTCTTATCTTTGAACTATGTCAAAACAATGAATTCATAGATGATCACAGAGAAGATGTTTTCAACATCTTCAATCGAGGACTTTCATCATCTCAATGTACAGATCTTTGTATGAATTGTCTTAGTCACTTTCACAAAACATTCGAAACAGGTTTTTCAGAAATTGATTATGATAGTTTAAGTTTATATTTAGTTGATGACGAATTTCGTTCATCTGCGTTAGATTTTGTTCTTCACATTGAAGAACTTCCACCATTACGAAATTTGATTCGTAGTTTGTTGTTTTGTTCTAAATTTGATGAACGAGGTACATTGTGTCTTCTTAATATCATTTCATTAGAAGAAGGTGCTCGTGAACTTGTTTTTTGCAAGAAGTGGATTAATCGCGACAATCCAACAATATTCGGAACACTTAAACTTGTTTTAGGTATTTTAGTTCATGATCAATTGATCTCAGATCTTCAAAAGATCGACTCATTTTGTGAATTCTTATCTCGATTGATTGATGAATGTGATGATCGAATCTTAATCCACATCTCAGTTATTTTATCCAAGTTAAATATTGATTATGAATTCACAGAAGAACTAAAGAAGAGTCAGACCGTCAATAAGATTTGTGAACGTTTATTGAGATTTGATATTCATAGTTGTGAATATTTATCATGTATTGAATGTGTTTGTACACTTTCCGGATTTCAATTTTTCTCTGAATTTTTTGACATCATTCCAAAACTTAAAGAAACACTTAATTCAGACAGCGAAAGTGTTCCTATGACTATTTATGCTATCACAACACTTTCTAAATACAAAGAATTTTCAGATATAATGAAACAGATGAAATTTGACAAATATTTCCGAATATTAATGAAAGACTCATATTACAAAGTCTATGCTAAACGATATTTCAAACACATGTCCAATTATGAGTAAAATTAATCAAAATATGTTTTCAAATTCATCAAACATAAACAAATAGACACAGAATCATTAGAAAAGAAAAATAAAAACATGTCATTTTTCGATGGTAATCAAGATTTAACTCATACAGTGACAACTAAAATATGTTACTTGCCCGAATTACTAAAAGCTCTCAATTTTTTAATGACTTTAAGCATACTTTTCCTTCCACAAGGCCGAGTATAAAGTATAAAGCAATGTATATCATAGAACATCTGCTAGGAAGTCTTATTCAGATCATTATACAAGAAAAATCATAGAATTAGGCTAATAATTTTTTATTTGATATTTATTTTTGCGGCTTAATAGATCAGCAGTGAAAACACAGATAGTACCATGACATCAAGCAATGATATATGCATTTTTCGCCATTTCAAAATCCCGAATATATTGCTTCAAGATTATTAGCATTTTGCTGAGTAAATTGGTATAATCTCATGCATAATTCTCATATTCCGGTACGCTTTACCGGTTTATCCATGCTTTTCGCAAATTTGATTTTTCTTATCAAATTCTTTCTCAAGATGCCTCTACTATAAATATAATCAATTTGATTAAATAACGTACATTTTTGTAAAATAATAAACTGCGGGACAAAATGTGTACTTCACTTTTGAAATTGAGAGGAAGCAAACAAAATATTCTATGAGATTCTCACAATTTCATATCACATGGTAGTGATACATTTTGTCCCAGGTCTAAAAAATCATTTTTATTAAATAAATAAAATAGTAATATGATATAGATATTAGATATCAGAAAATAAAAATTCTCTGTTGCGAATTTAAATTCTCTGATTTTTAAATAAAGTAAAACAGACTTTTTATCAATGAAACTACATCTACATTCGTTTCATTGCTACAAATGTAAAATGACTTCATCAAATGAAAACAATTTTTCATTGGAAATTTCGGTTTCATCGTAGTTGAAGGGGCTGAATGAGCGTAGTGATTTTCTTCTTGGATGACTTTTGAAATGTATAGTTACGATGGTAGCTTCTAATTTTTAAGAATATGCAAAGATATAACTTGATATTTTGAAGCAGGATGCTGCTCATTGTTGACGATTTTGTAACAATTCGCATTCCTCTCGTTTTGTGGCAAAATCCCTAAAATTGCAATTAAATTTAAAAAAAAATCGTCGTTTTGGTTACTATCATCGAATGCAGAATGTCACATAATATAACATCGATATTCTCGGTAAAAATATTCGTATTTGCTAATAAATTGAAGGTAAAATTAAAATTGAATCTTAATTTTCGCGAAAGTTGAGTGAGAATAACATATCAGGTTATAGTATTGTTATATGTAATGTATATGTATTATCAAATCCTCAATGTAACTTTGGATCTCTCCGCTTCCATTCAGAAGTGATGTAAATTATTCAAAATTTGAATAGTGATACATTTTGTCTCGCAGTTTATTGATTATTCGTTTGAAAATAGTTTTTTCGCCAATTCTCCATCAAGACTTCAATAAATATTTTGGTGGAAAATGTGAACATATTAAAAGCGGCACTTATTATTCAAACAGCTACTACTGCGTCGAAGACGGTTTCTTTGAAAATCTCAAAAATCGAGCAATTTATTCTTCAGGCAATTGTAAATTTCTATTTGAAGATAGTACATTTGTTAATGTATCAAATCCATCAGACTATGGTGGAGCAGTTTGTACAAAGAAAGGAGAAAACGTTCACAACCGAATTTGTTCATTCAACTGTTCTACATCAGGCTCGGGACAGTATTGTACTAGTTATTCATCCAATGGAGAACGCAAAAACTACTTTATTTAAAGTTCTATATCAAGTTCTTCAGAAACTCCAATTGGAAGTGTATCATTAGAAATTTCTAAAGGAAAACTATACTTAACTAAAACAAATATTTCATATTTTAGAACATTTTCAAATTGTGGATACCTTTTTTAGAAAGGGGAATCAGAATCAAATTCCACATATAATTCAATAATAAATAATACATCACTAGGTAATATTTGTATTAATAACAATAATTTTCCTGATAAACAATTAAAAATATATAAATGTAACATCATTAACAACTCTGTATATGATATAATTATCAACATTTATTATTGTAATCCACTAACAGTTGAAGAATGTAACATTATTGATAACTCAGGAAAAAATACTTTTTATGTATTTCATCCAAGTGATAAAACAGAAGTTATTAATTGTTACCTTCGAAATAATAATAAAACAAGAGGAAATGTTGTATTTAGTAACACTTACGACAAAGAAATAAATTTTGAAATAAAACATTATTGGACAGAATTAAGGTCGCCAAAAAAGTGCGGAAATTAAAAACCGCAGTTTGAGCACTTTCTGAGAGTCTGTTTGTCAGAAAGTATACATTTGTAAACTTTCTGACACTAAAATTTTTTAGTCCTTTCAAAGTTTTTGACATTGTCAAAAAGTATACATCGGGGCTCTCAATTTTCCTCTCAAACGGCGGTTTTTTAAAAACGCTCATTTTTTCATCGACATTATGCCAAGCAAAAAATCTTTCAGAAGAACTATTTCAAACAAATCAAAAACTTCCTTTATCAGATCCAATCAACATTATATATATTAGAGGTATCAAATATAAACGAAGATAATAAATTTGTGACTCTTATGTTAGACTTTTAAGGTGCATTAGCTGAAGAAGAAATATATCTAGAAGAGTGTTCGTCAAACTTTGTCGTATGCAATGTGTTTGTACACTTTCCGGATTTCAATTTTTCTCCGAATTTTTTGACAAAATTCAAAAACTTAAAGAAACACTTAATTCAGACAGCGAAAGTGTTCCTATGACTATTTATGCTATCACAACACTTTCTAAATACAGAGAATTTTCAGATATAATGAAACAGATGAAATTTGACAAATATTTCCGAATATTAATGAAAGACTCATATTACAAAGTCTATGCTAAACGATATTTCAAACACATGTCCAATTATGAATAAAATATTATGTTTGTATAATATCTATAAAAATTGTTTACAATTCAAAATTGAAAGAAAAAAATTGTTTGAGTTCAACCTTAATTTTTAAAAAGTGCCAAAAATACTTTTATTTCAAATTTGGTTTTTCCCCATCATCCATTGGGACTTCAGCACATATTTTGATGGAGAATGTGAGCATGTTAAAAATGGTACTTATTCGTCAGACAAAAACTACTGCGTCGAAAACAGTTTCTTTGAAGATCTCAAAAATCGAGCCGTTTATTCTTTAGGCAATTGTAAATTTCTAATTGAAGATAGTACATTTGTTAGAGTATCTGTCCCACACGGCTATGGTGGAGCGGTTTGTACTACGAAAGGAGAAAACGTTCACAAACGAATTTGTTCATTCAATTGCTCTACAATAGGTACGGGACAGTATTGTTCTAGTTGTTCATCCAATGGACAATACAAAAATTACGTTATCGAAAGTTCTATTTCAATGTCTTCAAAATCTCCAATCGGAAATTTACCATTAAATATTGTTAAAGGAAAACAATACTTAACTCAAACAAATATTTCATATTTTAGAACATTCGAAAAATGTGGATACGTTTTTGATACAGGACAATCAGAATCAAATTCCAACATATAATTCAATAATTAATAATACATCAACAGAAAAATATTGTGTTTTTAATTATAATTTTCCTACAGTAAAAATATATAAATGTAACATCATTAATAACTCCGTAACAGATAAAGTTATCTACAATTCTTATTGTAAACTATTAACAGTTGAAGAATGTAACATTATTGATAATATAGGAACATTTGCGTTTTATATAGAATATTTTGGTAAAACAGAAGTTATTAATTGTTTCCTTCGAAATAATAATAAAACATACGGAAATGTTTTATTTAATAACACTTACAACAAAGAAATAAATCTCGAACTAAAACATTATTGGACAGAATTATGCCAAGCAAAACAAAAGTATCCTTTTTTAGATCCAGACAACATTCTTCGTATTAGAGGTTTCAGACATAGACGATGATAATAACTATTTTCTCTCATTAAACTTTTATGGGACATTAGTTGAAGAATAAAGTTTATTCATAAAAATATCAATTCTATCATAGAGAAAAAGTACATTTAAGTATAAAAAGTTGAATAGTTGTAAAAATTCTTAAGATTGATTTCAAAAAGTCTAAAAAGTTGAAATATGTCATATGTACATTTTCAAACAACACTCCACTGCCAAACTTTAAATATACTAAAGACAATTCTTTTGATAAGTCAAAGTAATAAAATGTAAAGTCGGAGTTGAAAATGTTTTTATGTCATTATCCATCAAGATTTCGATACATATTTTGATGGAGAATGTGAGCATGTTAAAATTGGCACATATTCATCAGACAAAAACTACTTTTTCGAAGACAGTTTCTTTGAAAATCTCAAAAAACAAGCAATTTATTCTTCAGGCAATTGTAAATTTCTATTTGAAGACATTTCATAAACAGCGTATTTTAAAATCGTCCAATGGACAATACAAAAATTATTTTATTGAAAGTTCTTTATCAAGTTCTTCAGAAACTCAATTGGATATTCACCACTATACAAATATCAAGGAAAAACAATACTTAACTCAAACAAATATTTCATATTTTAGAACATTTGAATGATGTGGATACTCTTGTGTATCATTAATAATTCTGTAACAGATTAAAAAAGGTGGAAAATTGAGAGAATTTTGATCCTAATAACTATTTTCTCTTATTAAACTTTTATGGGACATTAGCTGAAGAATAAATATATTTAGAAGGATGTTCTCGTTCAAAAATAGATGTTTTCCATTCTAAAATTCGTGCTTCACTAGGGAAATTTCAAAATTGTATTCCTCCAAATTTCTTTCAATTTCATTGAAAGAGAGGATAAAAAGTGTCAAAAACACTTTTGTTTGAAAATTGTTTTTTCACATTTTTACATCGAGAGTTCAGTACATATTTTGATGGAGAATTTGAACATGTTAAAAATGGCACTTATTCATTAAACAAAAACTACTGCGTTGAAGACAGTTTCTTTGAAAATCTCAAAAATCGAGCAATTTATTCTTCAGGCAATTGTAAATTTCTATTTGAAGATAGTACATTTGTTAATGTATCAAATCCATCAGACTATGGTGGAGCAGTTTGTACAAAGAAAGGAGAAAACGTTCACAACCGAATTTGTTCATTCAACTGTTCTACATCAGGCTCGGGACAGTATTGTACTAGTTATTCATCCAATGGAGAACGCAAAAACTACTTTATTTAAAGTTCTATATCAAGGTCTTCAGAAACTCCAATTGGAACAGATCCATTACACATTTATAAAGGAAAACAATACTTAACGAAAACAAATATTTCATATTTTAGAACAAGTTCTACATGTGGATACATTTTTCAAGAAGGACAATCAGAATCAAATTCCACTTATAATTCAATAATAAATAATACATCAACAGGTAAGGTTTGTATTTACAACATTGGTTTACCTACAGTAAAAATATATAAATGCAACATCATTAATAACTCTGTAAAAGATTATGTTATCAACAATTGTAATTGTAATCTATTAACAGTTGAAGAATGTAACATTATTGATAATAGAAGATCTAATACTTTTTATGTAAATTTAGGTAAAACAGAAGTTATTAATTGTTTCCTTCGAAATAATGATAAAACATCAGGAAATGTTTTATTTAATAACACTTACGACAAAGAAATAAATCTCGAACTAAAACATCTTTCGATAGACCAATGCCAAACAAAAGAAAAGCATCCTGTTTCAGATCCAATCAACATCATACGTATTAGAGGTTTCAAATATAGACGATGATGAAAAATCTTTGGCCTCTTATTATACTTTTATGGGGCATTAGCTGAAGAAGAAATAAATTTAGAAGAGCGTTCGTAAAACTTTAAAAATTAGAAATAATTTAGCATATAATGAGAAAAATTGAATGGAGTGAAACGGTTTTCAATGTGGCTCATAATATGAAATTCATGATACAGATTGTGAGCAGAGCAAAATTTGTCTTGCAAATTTTGTAAAGCTCACAATCTGTATCATAAATTTAGAATTATATTATAACAAACATAATATTTTATTTGAACGAAAAAAAATCAAATATCTTCGTATGAATGTGTAGAACTAGAGGATTCTGAAGATTCGTTTTGTTCAGTCTTAGATTCATTGTCATTGATTACAATATTTTGTTTATTTGTACTGTTAAAAAGGTCCTTTAAAATGTGAATTCTATTGGAAAGACTTGAAATCTCTTCTTCATATGTTTCTTTTCGTTCTGATAATGTTTCAAGCTGTTGTTCTCGCTCAGAAATAGATGTTTTCAATTCTAAGATTCGTTCTTCACTTGGGAAATTACGAAATTGGCTAAAATCAATTTCTTCTTCATAAGAATTGTTTAAATCAATATCTTGTTTCATGTTATTTATTGTATCAGAAAGATGTTTGATGTCTACTTCAACTGATTTCTGTCTTTCTTCATATGACTGTTTGTCTTCTTCTGTAGAACGAAGTAAGCTTTTAAGAAGTCGTTGACGCTGAATCAAGTCGTTCTCTTCTAGCTCAAGTGTTGTTAATTGTTGTCGAACTTCATGTGTTTCGCGAGAAATGACCGAATCAATGTTTTCATCTGTTTCTGTTTTTGATGAATCAAGAATGGAACTTATCTCTGATTGGATCTCTTGTATTCGTGATTTAAGGGCTGCATTCTCTTGTTCTTTTATCTGAACTTCTGATGATGTATCACCAAATGATTCAATGTGAGATCGAAGTAGAAAATTCTGTTTAGTAAAGTTGTTTTCAATATGTAGAGATTTTGTTTCGTCTTGTAAGTTGTGAATTTCAGTGGCCAAGCGAATGGATTCAAGTGTTAAGTAGCTGGATTCGATGTGGATTAGAAATTGTTTTCGTTGTGAATTTTGTTTCATTCGAAGTATTCTTTCTTTTAGAGATTTGGTTTCGCGAAGTAAAATTTCACTTGCAAGTGTGTAATTCTGTTTTTCGTATTCATCTTCTGTGTCAAATGCAAGTTCTGATATAGAGGAAGCAATAGAGGACAATTGTTGAATTCGTTTTTCTTTATTTAGATAGATTTGTTTATCTTTTGGAGTAAAATTGATGCTATTTCGTATACGTTCTGCAAGAGCAATGCCTTCGTCAAGATTATCATTCTTGCTACTTAATTCGAAAAATTGAATAAAATTTTGCTTGTTAGATTCGCCAACAAACTCAGTAACATCTTTATCGTAAAACTTTAGCTCGTTATCTGATACAAATTTGCAATAATCGTAACATAATTTTTTAATCTTTTCTTTTGCGTTGTAATAATTGATATTCATCTTCTCCAGTTGCTTTACTGATGAAAGCAGTGATTTTTCTAAATGTTCCCGTGGAAGAAGTGATACCTTATGCGGGTTATTCAAAAAATTCTTCCACCACATTTATAAAAATGAATTAATATCTTATGAATTTGAATGGTATGATGCTAATATATTTTGAAGAATGAAAGAAAATGAACTATTTCTAGAATATTTCAAAATATTTTTGATCAAATTCATTTTTGATTATTGATAAAGAGAGAGATCACAAAATATTATGAAAATGTATTCTCAAAGGCATTTACTCACTAATTTTGTTCCAATTTTCAAAATGAAATTATTATATCAGGAAAAAATTTGGAATTACTTGTTTTAAAAATATGTAAGGTAAATTACCTATGATATGCTATTTAGAAGTGCTGGTTAATCTGATCGCCGAGCCAGTCGAGACCTTCATAGAGGCCATCACCTGTTGTGGCGCAGCAGCCCTGAACCTGCCATGGGCGGTTTGTAATAGTATTAAGGCGGAGTCTGTTTCCGAGTTCTTGTGGCTTAACAGCGTTTGGAAGATCCTGCTTGTTAGCATATACGAGAAGGATAGCGTCACGAAGTTCATCTTCTTCGAGAAGCTTGTGGAGTTCGTCGCGAGCCTCATCAATACGGCCAACATCGTTAGAGTCGACGACGAAGATGAGACCTTGTGTATTGTGGAAATAGTGGCGCCAGAGAGCACGGATACGATCCTGGCCACCAACATCCCAAACGTTCATGTTGAATCCCTTGTATTCGATTGTTTCGACATTGAAACCGATTGTTGGGATTGTTGTGACGTGTTCGCCAAGCTTAAGCTTGTAAAGAACTGTTGTCTTGCCGGCAGCATCGAGACCGAGCATGAGAACACGGGTTTCACGGTTGCCGAACCATTTCTTAAATGTTTCAGAGAAGAGAAGTCCCATCTTGAAAAAAAAAGTGAAAAAACCAAACGGCGGCACTTTTTTCCTTATCTCCTCCATCACATTAATAATAGTATAGATAGAAAGTCTTATTTGATTTATTTATGGATTTAAAATTTAAAAATGAATTTCATGTTGGTTAATTAGTAGGAGGATATGACGGGTTTAGTGACTTTTTTTGTTACATCTATATATAGACGATGCATTAAAATATATTTATTTATAAATCATTAAAAAATTAACATTAATTTTAAAATACCCTACGTTCCCAACTTCTGGAAAACGGTTTTTCACCCTTATGATCAGTTTCAGACACTTTGGGAATCTCCCAAACTTTGATATTTTGCATTATGATAGAGAAACGTGTCTAGTTTAACACACAGTTGTTTTAAAGGCAAATGATGATATCACATGAAATTATCAAATTATCAAATTTTGAAGTACCAGTCCAAAGGGTTAATTAGATCCTACACAGATGTGCGATAGTGAAACATATGTGTTCTTGATTTGAGAAGTCCTACTGATAGAGGTATGAATCTCACAGCTTTGTGTGAGTGTGTCTGACACTTGTATAGAGTGGAATATGCGCCGACATATATTATATAATAACATGTAGTTGATAATTATGAAAAAATAGAATTCGATGCGAATGATATTGAAAGTTGTTTTGTAATTTGATATTTTTCTTATATGTGTTAATTAGTAAATGGCTTGTTTGTTGTGAGAGTACTGTGAAAAATGAAAGGTATTTTAAATTAAAAAATTGAGATTTTGAGATATCTCTAGAATTAAGAATTTATTATGTATTTGACTTTTATATAACTATGTGTAAAGGATCTCGATGTCTATATGCTTTAAATAAAATTAAATAAAATGAGATAAAAAATTAAAATGGACAAGAAGATATATGGAAATGTAATTTGTATTGTGTTGGTTGTTGGCAAAATGATTTTAATACAGATTTAAGGATTTGGAATGGATTTGAAATTAAATGATTTTAATTCAAGGAGTAATAAGATTTTGAACTGGTTTTTATTTTGAGAATGTAAACTCCTTCCATAGGATATGTATTAGAAAGATCAATGTCAAACTTTTTGAAAGAATTGTTTTTTTGTTGAGCGATTTTCTCATATTTAATAACATATTTAAGTTGGCGTATCTTACGCCCTTCCAAAAATATGTATTAGAAAGATCAATGTCAAACTTTTTGAAAGAATTGTTTTTTTGTTGAGCGATTTTCTCATATTTAATAATATATTTAAGTTGGCGTATCTTACGCCCTTCCAAATATTTCTTAAAAATTTAAATTTGTCTCATCTCCTACTCTTAATTTAAAAAAATTTCAAAATCCATAATAGTAAACATTTCTTATTTTTATTTAAATCTGAAAAAAATAAATTTAAACAATTTCTCTACACACGACGGTTTCGGCGGTTTTCAGAATGGTTGACAACTGAATTCATCAGGATAATGTCGGTTGGGGTGCCCTTCTTGGCCTCCTGAGTACTCACCAAGATACCCCCAGCTCCCGCAAAACACCTCCCATAGGTGAGCATTAACTGATGAAGTTATTGACAACTTTATCTGATTTTTTTCTTTGTTTTTTTGTTAAGATTTCTTAACCAAAGACTCGAAAACAAAACTTCGCTTCAAGTTGCTGTCTTCCCAGTTACTCTGTCGCAATCTTTTGTCTGATTGCGTGCAAAGTTCTGCTCCATGAATTATCAAATATGTGCCATTTCAGGAGAGATAACAAGCTCATGCCTCCTGGAATGGCGGATTGTTCAACAATCTTCTTCTGATTGCAGAAGATTGTCTCATTCTGGGAGACATTCAGAGGCAATGTCTCCCGGAATGAGACACTGTAACCGACAGGAGTGCACAATACACTCTTGTCGGTCAAAGTTCCGCATTCAAGTTATGAATGGGGAACTTGATATCATTCTGGGGGACATGCAGTGACAATGTCTCCCAGAATGAGACAATCTTCTGCAATCAAGAGTAATTTATTTTTTTTATCTTTTATAAAAGAAGCTATATATAGATGATGTCAGATATTCCGCGATTAATTAAACATTGTTTAAATCCTGAATGGGTTAAACTTCAATTTAAAAATGAAGATTGTGAATTATTAAATGAATATGAAAGCCAAAATAAGCTAATGAGGTATAAATATAATGATAAAGAATATTTAATTTCATGGAATTAATGGAGTCATAATCAAAGACCTCATAAACGAGAAGAAGAAATTGAAAATAATGAAATGGAAATCATTGATGACATTAAAGAGGATGGAATTCCTAAATTTTGTAGAAAAACCTTTAGAACTAAGTTAGGAGCATATAAACGTAGAGTATTAAATCCTGAATATCTTAAACATCAATTTAAAAAGGAAGACTGTGAATTATTAAACGCTAATGAATATGAAAATGCTAAATCAAAACTGAGATATAAATATATTGGAAGTGATGAAAGGTGTAAAGATAAAGATAAAGTTTATTCAGTTTCATATAATAACTGGCACACGTTAGGGATAAGAAAACATTTAGGAGATTATGGGAAATGTTCTGAATTCTTTAAATCTAGTATATACGAGAGAGTAAAAGAAATTAGAAATAATTATTTTCATGAATAAAAGATTCACTACCATAATGAAATAAAAAATAAAAAAAAATTTTAAAAAATAAACTTCTTACGAAAAATTAAAACTTAGTTATGTTTATTATTTTATTTTTTTATTTTGTATGAAATGAACAGCTCTAAATTCGTGACTGTGAATCAATTAATGGATAAACTTTCACCAATTCTCACCCAGGTTAAACAAGTAGACGTTTATTTTGATGATTGCATACAAAGTTTATTTTATAAAGGTAAGTTTAATATTAAACATATTGCTTTTGCATTTGATGGTAAATTAATCGAAAATTCAAAAATTTGGGAATTAATTCCGAATATTGAATTTATAACAAATATTAAGGATAAATGGTTTAAACAACAAAACCACCTCACTAAAGTTCTTTGTAGATTAATGATTAAAACTGAGGAAAAAGAATTTAACGGGTTTAAATATCATCCATGTAAAATTTTAGAACTTGGTAACGAAAAACTTCAGAAAAAATTAAACGAAAGACTATCAAAAGATAAAGTTGAAAGAGTAAATAAACTCGCTAAAGGTAATGGTAATGATGAAGAAGAATTTGATGAGTTCAACATAGAACTTTAAGAAACTAATGATTATTTGAATTTATGAAATCAATTATTTGATTCATTCTTTCTTCAATCTCTTCTATTCTTTTTGTTAAATCATCTATTTTCATTAATGAGGTGATTCTTGATTGAGGAATAGATTTCAAACTAACCACTCCTTTTATTTTTGAAATTTTGAATCCATCAACTTTAAACATTTTTTCAATTTACACGTTGTCAATTCTTCAAATAATTTTTTATTATTAGCATAATAGTCATTAAATTCTTCAACAGATGAAAAAATTTTATTTCAGTAATTGGTTTAACAACGTTTATTTTTTGTTGAACATTTTTACTTTCATTTATTTCTTCCTCCTCTGTTTCATTTATTTTTAAAATCGGTTTCATTTATCATTAAATAAAAATTAGAATATAAGTGATGAAATATATTTTTTAATTAATATTAAATCAGAAATGGCGGCAGGATTCTTTAAAAAATTATGGGATGGAATTAAGAAAGCTGGGGGTTGGGTTTATAAAAAGATTATTAAACCCGTTGCAAACTTTTTGGCACCAGTAGCGAAAACGGCAGGAACTATCATAGGTGGAGTATTAGGTACTAAAGCAGGTAATCCGGCGATGGGAGCACAAGCAGGTAACGTAGTTGGTGGAATAGCTGAAGGAATACTTAATAAAATAGGAGGTAGATAGTGGAAAAATAAATATGAGATCCTATGGATCATCTCGCCACTTAGCGGCTTAAAATTATTTTTATCTTAGTATCGGTTGTAGTCTTTGATAAACTTTTTCTCCTTTATTTAAAACTTCTCTTATTGGGGCAGCTTTTGGTGTTATTGACTCATATTAGATTTAGCAACTAATGAACAGGTTGAAAATAAAAACTCAATCCAATCAGAAATAAAAGAATCACTTGAAGTTAAGCAAAAATAGTTAGTATGGTTAACTTGGGTACGGCGACACTGCGTTCCACCTTACCCAACATAACCTTAAATATTTACAAAACCATCTGACACATAAATGACTTCACTAATGACTTCACTAATGACTTCACTAACGACTTCACTAACATTTTCGCTAACGACTTCACTAATGAAAAATAAACGTTCTCACTAACGTTCCCACTAATGTTCTCATTTACAAAAGTATTGCAGCGCTTCCCATTGCTGTGCTTCACACAATAGTTCATATTCTTCAGTATCGCTGCTGTCACTCCAATCGTCAGAGTCAAAGTCACTGTCAAAATAAATGTTAGTAAGTTTTGACAAAGCTAATGAAACACGCTTACCGTTTGTATCTATTGCTTTTATATATCTCCCATTATGTTTGTTGTCATAAACGCTCAAACTAACTTTACCCTTTCTCCCTCGTATCTGATAGAATGTATTTTCACGAGGAACGAAGAACAAATTCTTGAACTCATGACCGTTGTAGTTTGTTATCTCAATAGTTTTCGTCATTTATATAAAAATAAAATAAAAAATAAACTTAAAAATTAATGATATCACCACCCTCACACGTATGAAAACATAGCACAAAAATAAATTTAGGTGAAGTGGTGAGATCTCACCTCTTTTTTCACCTGTTTTTTTCACCCTGTTGAATTCATTGCTTTATAACTCTCTTCCTTGGTTTCTTCATTTTTCATCATTGACTTTCTCCAACTCTTCTAACTTCTTCTTAAGTTCAGCAATGTTGTCCTCATGAAGTTTAATCTTCCTTAATATACCTTCTCTATCTAATGGTTGCTTTATCTTTCTAAACTGAACTCTACCATCCTTCATAGTATGAATGTAAAAACCTTCTGGAATAGTTCCTGATTTAATGTATTCTACCAAAAACTTTTGTTTCATTGCTTCAGTGACTTTATTTGTCATTTCAATCAAATAAAAATTTTAATATTAAATAAAAATAACGTTATTTTTTCAGTAAGGAAACGCAGGAGTTTTACGATTTATTTGAGGAGTAGGTTCTGGTTTAAATGTTGGAGTCGGTTTAGGAATTGACTTTTGAACAGGAGTTTGTACTTCCATAGGTTCAGGAGTCATTGAAGGTGTTGTTTGTGAAGGTGTCGGAGTTTGTTTAACTTCAGCTACTTCAGTATTATTTACAACATTTGCTTTATTTCTTTTCAACATCATTACTGCTCCTGCTGTAGCTAGCAAACCTAGTGGGAGACCATATTTTATATAAGGACTTGACCAAATGCTATTTTTGACAGGAGCTGGTGGAACACCTAACCTTGGTGAGACTGCTCTTTGCCATTGTGCAGCTCGTAAGAAATATTCAATAGGTGCTCCATAATCATTTGGTAAAGTTTGTTTCATAGATGGTGAAGGTTCACGAGAGCTTGATGAAGAACTCATTTATAAGCTTTAAAAATAAACGTTCATCCTTTATTCCTCACTGTCGTCAGTTGCTAAGTTATAGTCGTCAAGTCTTATTATTGGTATGCCTGACTGTCTTACTTGATTACAAAGCAACAATCCCTCATAAATCCAATAAGTGGCTTTGGTACGTTTTCAGTTGCTAGTTCAATAGGTCCTTTAACAGACAATTTGTATGTTATTGGAGCAGTAGATGTTTGACCTTGCTGGAAGCAAAAGTCCACTTCTGTTGGAAAACCACATAAGAAATGTGTGTTGTCATAGCTATCCCATTTATGTTCCACACTACCATCATCCACCAATGACCTCATAACATCTTCATTAAATCCTATCATATCATTGTTTGTATTGCAAGCGTTCGCAACCATTTCATAAAATACAGGTCCATATGATTTTTCAGGTTCTGCAGGCATATTTCCATAAGCTCCCATGGAAAGCTGAAGATATTTAAACTTAGGGTTCTCAAAATTAACATAATAGTTGTCTTTCTTTCTAAATAGTGCCCAAATACTTTTAACATTAATAGGCGTATAAGCTGCTGTAAATGTTGCACTTGAACTATCTGTATTCTTTGAGAATGAACCGTCCATAGGAATCCAATCCATAACTTTAACAGGAAAACATAAAGCCTCGTTTGTATAATGTTCTACAAGTTCTGTATAAATGTTAGGGTCTAAAGAGAATGACTTTGGATGAATGAAACATTCATTAAAATCCATCTTTGTTCGAAATAGTTGCTGGGTTACAGTTGTAATAGTAACTGTTCCACTAGCTTCTACTGCCTTCGTTATCATAGTGAATGGTTCATTCCATGGAACAAATTTATTTGTCGGTGGATTTGAATCTGAAGCAAATGCAACTTTAAGAGTTGGATTGAAAGCAATGATATCATTTACAGATATAGATGTGCATTGTAAGGCGTCGCTACTGAACTTTACTTTAAGCTGAATGTTTCCTGCAAAAGCTGGAATAAATCGAATAGCTTCTAATGGAAGGAATCTTCTAACAGGAATTCTTAAACGAAGCTTAAAATCAAATGATTTTCCTGCTGTAATTGGACCACTAACAATTTGTCCTGTTCTGCATGTTCCCGAATGACTCCATACATCTTCATGTCGAGTCTTTGAGAAAACATCTACTTTCTTTATTTGTTCGGTAGTTTGTGAGTTTGAAGTTATATATGCTTCTTCTCTTGCGTTGTCTTGAGAATATACGATACGACCATTTGCAAGGATTTGATATCCAGCAACTGCATAGAAAGCGTCATCGAAACCAATCCAAAATCCTGGTGGGTTTGTTTTATTGGAACCTGAACCAATTTCTTTATCTACAATAAATTGACCTTCCATTTTATACGTAATGAATGTATTGTAAAGGTCCAACATATTTTCACCAGGAGGTGAGAGATTGAATGTTACCCATGTGTTATCTTTAGCAGTTCCAGGTTGTGATGGAATCTTTGCGTCAGAATATTTTCTATTAGTGTCACCAATTTGAACTGCATTGTCTATGATATCGAAATATGAGCGAATCTGATGAATATGCTCTGCTGGAGTAAATTCGTTTAACTGTTCGTTCTGCATGTATTTACTTCAGATAAAAATATCTATTTACTTCATTATTCTCACTCTTCTTCTTGGCATTCGTGGTGGAAGTTGTTTCTTGACATTTTCAATGAACTGTACATTCTCTTTTGTCTCAACTTCTTTCACTGGCGGGTCAGGATTCTTTGACTCGGTTTGTTTTTCAATGAAATTCACGAACTTTGCAATAAGCTCTTGGTTCGTTATTGAAAGTACATCTGGCTTCTTTTCTTCTGGTTCTATTGACTTTTCAGTTTGAACAGAAGGCTTAACATGGGCTTCGTGGACTTCACCCTTGCCATACACCTTAATGTTGTCGCTTTCTGCATTCGCTAATGGAACCTTTCTTTTTCTTACGTATATTTTACCATCTTTACTCTGACTTACGTAATAGAAAGGATGTTGTATTCCTCTTGCGTCATTTAATATAATAGACTCTCGCTCTGATTTTGACAAGCTCATTTTACATCGGTTAAAGTTTTAATTTTGTTTTTTATCTGCAGTCAAATGACTCAGACAAGCCCTACGGACAAGACCCAAGGGGTCATAGATGTTGAAGCATTGAAGAAAGAAATTCGTGAGCAAATTTTATCCGAACTGAAGGAACAAAAACAAGAACAAAAGCCAGAGAGACCAAAGAGAAAACTTAGTGAAAAACAACTTGCTGCATTAGCTGCTGGAAGACAAAAGAACCCACGTTTGCTGGCGAAGAAAGCTAGAGAAGAAGCTGAAGCAAAAGCTAAAGAAGCTGAAGCAAAGAAAGAGTAAATGGTTTATTTTTATCCGAATTAAATGTATAGACAAATACCTTTATCTGTTGCGTTCAGTAGTGAAAACCCTGACGTCAAAATAAAGGGGAACAGAGTAACGTTTAAGTTTCCAACAGACTGGATTGTGAACATAAATGAAGAGAAGTACATTGGCATAACATCTATGTATATAACACGTGCTTTCAGAAAGGTTGACTTTATACTTCAAGTCGAGATAGAAAATGACGAACAGTCTTTAAGCGCCCAAAACATTCACATATACAAATACTTTAAAGACGATACAACATTGTTGCAATGTATGATTTCATTTAATGAGATGTTCGAGAAAAAGTTCAACATTGAAGTACAAACTTTACAGCCTTTACGTGAGTTTCTTGCACAACTGAAAGAAGAAGGTAGTCAGCCACAACTTATAGACTTTCATTATGAATTTAATGAAAATGAAGATGGAACTCATGACTGTCAGTTTGTTATATATTCACCATTCAATGAAGTAGCTAAAAAGAAAAAAAATCCATTACGTATAAGATTTCAAATCTCTGAACCAAGTGATGATTTCAAGAATGTTTTCAATTATGATGCAATGCTTCCGAGGAAAAATGAATTTTCAAAGATTGTAACACCTGGCATTTGGGATAGAAAGCAAGCTATATTATATTCAAACTTAAGTAAGGGAGTTGAAAATGAGTTCATTGGTCATACAAGAACTACACCACTTCCTAACCCTAAATACTATAAATTAACTGGTTTCAATCGTGAGTTTTGGATAGACATGTTCTCCACTCATGACCATAACTGCCCAGTGTTCTTACCTCCAGACCATAAGGACTGTCTCTACATTGAAGCACAACTCTTAAACTCTACCATCGCAGTATTGTAAATGACCACATGGGCTTCGCCCTTGCCGCTAGTTATTTTTATCACGAATGACCTCATTGCTGACAAAAATAAATGACCTCAGAACTTCAACTTACGAATAAAGCTTGTTTTAGTCGTTATTGAGAAGTTAAACTTCTCTTCAAAGCAAGGTTGACATGACTTACATAAGTCAAATCCAATCTCTTGACCGTCATAAAGTGCTTTGTAAAGTTTCATTAAACTGAACTCAGAGTCTTTGTCATATGTTCCTTAACATTAAACTTTATCTTCATCATGTAATAGCATTGTATAGCTTCAGGAAACATTTCATTAGCTGTTAAAGCAAGGACGTCTTGTTTGACACCTTTGCAACGTGCATGGAATGCAACTTCATTTAAATCGTTAGTGAGTAAGTCTATGTAAGTCTTCTTTCCACAAAATATTGACTTGTATGCTAAACTTTGTTTTCCAGGTGTTATTTCTGCGAAGTCAGAATGAAATGACCAAGTTTTTCCATAAGTTCTCTACCGTATCTCTTCTTAAACTCTGCTGCAAGCTTTGGTATGTCTTCATTGAAAATATGCATGCTATCACAGTCCTGGTAAAATATTTGAAGTCCCATATCTTCAGCAGTACAGAATACTTCACACATTATTCTCTTCGACATAGACAGAATGTTAACACCAAGTGGACAGAAGTTAAAGTGTCTGCAAATGCTTTTCGTTAGCTTGAAAATAGTTTTATCTGAACCATCCAAACCTTCGAACTTCACTATATGGTTGTAGTTTCTGATGGCATATCTTATAGCATCTTTGTCATTTACTATGGTTATTTTTGACTCAATAGGAGATAGAATAGTTTTGCCATAAATACTGTTCAGAATGAGCTTTATATTTTCTTGCAAAGGATTTCCTTCTTTCTTATACTTTAACCTTAACTCAAACAACTTCTTTACTTCATCTCTTATTCTAATATCTCTGTTTCCATCGTAATAGTATCCTTGCAACACTTCACATTTGACACCTTGATATTTTATGAGGTCTTGTAATGTTATATGGTCAACATACATTAAACAGCAAGTGTTTGAACTTCTGGGAACGTTAAGTTCTGGATTTAGTTCAGGGTCACAAACTATTAAAGGAAAGTGTCTATGTATTCCAATCTCTGTTATCTTAATGAGAACAAAGAAGCCAGACATAAACTTTTCACCAATGGGTTCCTTTTGGTCGTCATCGAATAAATGTCTCATGAGATACTCTGTGCTTAACATTTCTTTCTTCATAACCTTTGGAATACCTTCTAAAGTATAAAGTCTTGCTATAGCTGATGGATATAATGAAACAGCGTCGAAGTCAGCAATGAGTTTCTTTTCGCTCTTTTGTTTAATGTTATCTGACAGCATACATCTTCCACCTTGAATACAGCGTGAAATAAATTCTCTTGGTTTATTTGAGAGGTCATATAAATTTCCATTCGGGAAGTACACTCTGTTCTCAAATAATTTGTTAGCAATTGAACAAATACTAACGTAGTCATAAACGTTTAAATCAAATTCTTTCAATATGTCATTGCGGAACTTAACAAAACCTTCTCTTAAAATTCTTACATCTTGTTTGCAATAAAATGTGCTATACTTTTCTAAGTCGAAGTGGTTCTCATCTATTCTGCAACCTTTGATGGAATCTATGTTTTTCATGAATGTATCTGCATCCCGGATAAACTTACATGCTTCAGAAATGACACCAGTTCTGTTGTCATTTGCTAACAAAACACTGCTGTAGTAGTTATATGGAAATACTTCTTTCGGTCCTGTTTGTAAGTTAAACATAGCAGGAAATAGTTTAAGCTTCTTATTTATAACACTGTAAGAGTCTTTTATAATAATTGCCCTTCCTTTATATAAGCCAGTTATTTGCATTGTTCGTGAACCTTTAATGATGGGAGTTCCTTTCACTTCTGTCATGTGTCTTAAGATGAAGTTTATATCATAACTGAGGTTATGGAAATATATTAAACTCTTGTCAGGAAGTCGTTCCAAAAATTCTGTTGCACAGTTCTGACCCCAAATGCTTTCACTCACTGAACCATCTTCACTGTCATAACAGATGTTAAAAGCTTTATGAAAGCCATCGGTACTGCACTCAAAGTCAGCAAAGAAAACGTGCTCAGGAATGAACTTGCACTTATTTTTATTTACTTCTTTTGACTCGGCTTTCTTCTTCAGTTGTACACAATACTTTGGAGCATATGTCAAATCTTTAAATGGTGCAAGGTTCTGTTTATATAAGTCAGTCGTATATGTGAAAAGTTCTCCATAAGAAATAGGTTCGAAATATTTGCACTCCCACAATGTTTTCATAACATCCCATAACGGTGTTGTTCTATCATAACGAACTACATATTTATCTTCTCTCTTTGTATAAATCTTCATCTGTTTCTCAATGTTCATTCCACCACACTCCTTGAGAATTTCTATATAGTTGCGAATGAAATATGTTGTCATTGGTAATCTTTCATTTAGCATGTAGTGGTCTTCAACAAGAAGTAAGTCAATAGTTCTAACAGTTTCACATTCTTTTGGTATGTATCTCTTTATTTCATTATGTCTTGAGTCATTGAAATAACCAATGGTAACATTAAATGCTATACCTGTTGCGTCAGAAATTTCTTGTACTTTACTTTGAGGAAAGTCTCTAACACGAATGACTTCTCTCATGTGGTCAATAGTTTCTTCATTTACTCCAGCCTGAATGCAAGCATAAACGAAACAATTGTCTTCTGTCATAAGTGCTTGCAGTTCTTTTGTTCAGTTCATTGAAGATTTGGTAGCGTTCAAGATTTATAGGTAATGTGCAAAGATACTTCCAGAACTGACCGCTTCTCTTCTTATAAAACTTCTTTTCACCATTATCTTTCCAAAAGCTTTCTATAAGTGCTGGGTTTCCTGTTTGCTTAAGAGCTTCCAAAATGGCTTTCTGGTCATTTGTCAGTGTGCTTTCATCTCTATATGGTCTCTTTTTTGGTTTGCCTTTCTTTACATCTGACATCGTTAAGCCTTCATATTCTGTTAAATCATACATCTTTATTTCAGTAAGATTCTTTATGTTTGTCAAGAAGAAGTCATAGTGCATTTCAACAATACCTGCAGCATTTGCTTCTATCTCTGATATAAAGTTCTCCTTCAAGAGCTGATGTAGTAATGTTCCAATATTATTGAGGTTTAACGTAGAACATTCATACTTTCCACCAAGTTTATAACATACCATCCATCTTTGTTGGGAGTTTATTTTAATCTTCTCTAAGAGTCTCATGAAAACCTTACCGAAATGTTTGTGTAAGTAGTCTCTGTTTGGTTCATCTAAAGCTTCGATGTTAAAGTCAATGAGTCTATTGCCTGACTTCACATTTCTCTTCCTATTCTCTTCATCTTTCTTTAACCATCTCTCACCTTCTTTTGGTTTGTCGTCAATGGAACGAATGACATCGTTAGCTTTGCGAACTTGTTCTATAGCTTTTAAACATCTCTCTTCTCTGTTGTTTCAGTGTGTCGTCTCTTCTTCTTGTTTCACCAACGTTTGCATTTGTTATGTCAAACATTTCTCTTCTTACTTCATGAGGTACTGAACGTCTATGATATAAGTCAATAGCAACGTCATTTAAAGGAAATGCTCTTGCATGGACTTCGTCCTCGCCGCGTTGCGGCTTTATGAACTCATGAATTCTATCATAACTTATTGCACCATTATAGTCTTTAATGAAGTCAGCGAGTGCTTTTTTGTTTGTTGCGTAATGTTTGCTACTCTATGTTAGCTTCTGTAAGAAGTTGTTTTATTTCCGAGTGTTCTAACTTAGACAACTTCCGATACATCTTTAGTAGGAAATAAAAAAATATTTTTTGAAAAAATTAGATTAGATTTTTTAAAGTTATTTTTCAAAATAATTTAATATTTTTATTTTAATGAAACACATGCAAGATTGCAAGTTCTTTTCATACAATGCTCTCGCTACTGCCATCAAGAATGAGTTCAATAATGCTTCAAATGTTAATGTTATCTTTAACAAGAAGTTTGTGAAAGAATCTAAGTTTGGTCAGTATGTCAGACCATTAGCTATCGTCATTGACCGCAAATGTTATACTTCACAAGAGTTAGCAGTAGTTTTGAAACAAAAGGGTTTCTTCGTGAATGTCAAAGATACTCATTATACTGTTATAAAGAACTCTAATATTGACTTCTTCAGTATTGCTTTAAATCTTTCCGAACAGAAAGAATATAAGAAAGGTGAAACAAATGTGAAATATTATCCTTCATCTCTGAAGACAATAACGAACAAAGATGTTATACAGAAATTCTTACCAAAGGTTGAAGAAGCTTCTATTGACATTGACGAAGGAAGTGAAATGGTTGAAGAAATAGACCCTGAAGCTATTTAAGCAAAAATATATTTTTGAATAACTGATGAGGTCACCGGGTCACCATGTCACCAGGTTAATTAACTTCTTTTAAAAATGATGACAACATGACATTTTGACAACACAGCAGGATTAATGCAAAAATGAATGTTATCGTTTATGTTATCGTTTATGTTATCGTTTATGTTATCGTTTATGTTATCGTTAATGTTATCGTTAATGTTATCAGTGTCGAACATAATTGACGTAGGATTCATGACTTCTTCGTAAATGAGTGTAAATATAGCACAAAAATATATTTTAGGTGAAGAGGTGAGATCTCACCCGTTTTTTCACCTCTTTTTTCACCTCATTCTCTCTTCGTTAATGTTGTCGTGACTTCATTCTTCCTCTTTGAAGTTATCGAAATATTCTGTTATTTTTTCCTTCAGTAATGTTAAGTCTTCTTTGAATGTAAGTATTGTGCAACCTTTGATGTCATAGTGTGTTTGAGGAAGAGTATTTTTGACAATTTCCTTTATTTGCTCATTCGGTGTCATTGAAATCGGTAAGTTTTCACGATAGAACCAGTTTCTGTCAGATTTATATATTTTAGCTAAGTCATAAAAGCT